GCATCTCCTTCTTTTGATGCAAGATAAGAACGTCTAGACAAGGCATCAGATAAACCTTGTTGTTTTCCTAGCCGATAAGTGATGATGAACTCAAATCTTGATAAAGACATGCTCCAACGAGCTTGGCAACGATTTAATATGCGAGCTGACATAAAATATTCGAGGTTCTTGTGATCCGTATACACGGTGACTGGACTAGAAGCACCTTCTAGATAAGGACACCATTCTTAAAAAGAATCCACAATTGCAAGAAGTTCTTTGTCGTGGATCTCATAATTGATTTCTGCTGCTGAGAATTTTCTTGAATGAAAGGCTACTGGATGAAGTTTGTCATCTGTTCCCATTTCTGATAAAACTGCACCCAGAGCAAAGTCCGATGCATCTATTTCCATAAAGAATGCTTTGGAAAAATCAACACGATACAAGATTGGTGTAGAAACAAACGCTATCTTAAAAGATTCAAAAGCAACTTTCGCTTCTTGATTCCATTGGAGTTTGTCTTTACAAGTCAAACATGGAAGTGGTGTTGCAACTCGAGAGAAGTCTTTGATGAAGATCTAATAGTAGTTGGCAAATCCCAAAAAACATTGGACATCTCTTACCGTTTTAGAGATCTTCCAGTCTATAATTGTTTGAACTTTTTTAGAATCCATCATAAGTCCATCATTTGAAATGATGTAACCTAAGAAATCGACTTGAGTAGTGTGGAACACACACTTTTTAATGTTGGCATAGAGTCTTGCATCTCTTAATTTTTGTAACACACGATGAACATGAAGTTCATATTCTTCTAAATTCTTAGAATAGATCAAGATGTCGTCTAGATAACAGACTATAAAATCGTCCAAAAACTCTTGAAAAACATCATTTATTAGATGTTGAAAAGCTGCTGGTGCATTTGTAAGTCCAAAAGGTATGACGTTGTATTCAAAATGTCCATACCTAGTTCGAAACGTAGTCTCCCATTCATCTCCTTCTTTGATGCGTACTAGATTGTATGCTCCCCGAAGATCTATTTTTGTATAGATCTTAGCTTGATTCAGTTGATCAAGAAGTCCAGATATTAAAGGTGGTCGATACCTATTTTTGATGGTAATCTTGTTGAGTCCTCAATAATCAACACACATCCGCAATGATCCATCTTTTTTCTTCACAAATAGAATTGGAGCTCCTGTTGGAGATTTAAAATGGCGTATGAAATTCTTGGCTAGATTTTCTTCAATATACTCCTTGAGTTCAACCAACTCATTTTGTGATAAATTGTAGATTGGTCCGAATGGCGGTTGTGCTCCTTCTTGAAGGTCAATTGAGCAATCAGAGGGACGATGTTCCAGAGTGTATCCGCATTCTTCTTTTCAAATACATCTTGAAATTCTTGATATTGGCTTGGAATGCCACTTGAAGTCTTTTCACCAGTAGAAACGGGTGTAGCATAAATAATGTATGGTGATTCTTTTATAGCAGCATGCAAGAAAGCTTTTGTACCTATAAATACGGGTTTAATTGAACTAGACTTATGACTCTCTACTTGATTAACTACATTGTTAGTTATACTTTTAGAGAAAGTAAGAGTTCGGGAAATCTAGTCTATTTGAGGGTTGTATTTTTCTAACCACGATAAACCTAAAATAATTGGATTAGAGGGAGATCTAATAATATTAATTACTACAAAACTATTATGACCATTGATTATTACTTCTATAGGAAGGGTTTCGTGAGTAATATCTCCAGAAGACAATGGACGACCATCTATGACTTCTACATGAACAGGTTTGGTTTTCTTTACTAAAGATATGCTATGTCTTTTAGTAAATTCTTCATCTAAGAAGGATTCTGAATCTAAGAAGGCAGAGACTTTGTAATGTTTAGGTCCTAAAATAACATTTAATATAAAACAAGGAGAGGGCTCTGAGGAGAGAATATGACCTTTACTAGAAGTTGTGCAAGGTTCCAGCCGCACGATCCCTATTGTAGCTGGACAAACTCGTTTTCCGACATATTATCTTCTTTCACAGCCATACTCCTCATTTTGTGATTGCATCATTTCTTTGGACAATGTTGAGCAGTGTGCTTTGGTTCTCCACAATATAAACATAATCCTTCTTGACGACGACGAGTCTTTTCTTGCTCAGTAAGAGGTTTGAAACGTACTGCATCAATTTGCATATCCTCTACTTCCGAATGTATGTATTGAAGAGGTGTTGATGTTGCCATTGAATTATAGTAACGTTGAGGTCCACTTGTACGGTTCTCAGATCAAAATTCAAAAAGGTGATTATCGCACTTCACAACAAAGTCAATTGCTTGACTCAATGTTTGAGGATCAGGTAAGTTGAGCATTAATTTTTTTACCTCATATTGTAATCCATAGAGAAATTGGCTAATAAGTGCAGCATCATCCCACTTGATATCAGTTGCAAGTTGTCGAAATTGTGAAGCATATAACGTTACTGATCGATCGCCTTATCGTAAAATACGGATCTTATTGGTTGCAACACGAATTGCATCATGTTCTCCATACATGGATCGAAACTCTGCCAAAAAAGCCTCTAGATTATCCAATATTGGATCTGGTCGTTCAAGAAAAGATGAAAACCATGATAGTGCCGAACCTGAAAGAAGCGTACCAATGAATCTAACTTGTGATCCTGGAGTTGGATAGCTTTGGGGTTGAAGTTCAATCACAAGTTGCACTTGATTGATAAATCCTCGAAACTTGGATCTGGTGCCATCAAACTTCTCGGGTAGGGTAATTCTTGGTTCTCTAATATTTGAAGGGCGTTCTACCATAGGAGAAAGGACATGGTTTGGTGCAGATGTTGAAGCAGCTCCAACCATTTCTATATCTTCACTTTCTGCCAATCTTGTTGCTCCTTGTGGTCATAAATTGAGTTGATGCATCGCAAGCATTAACTCCCTCAATTGCTCTTGCATTTGTGCCATTGCACTCTTCATTTCAAGAAGTTCTGCCATGATAATACTTAGAAGAGAGAAGATGTCTAATATCGCTCAAGACAAATAGAAGAGAGGACTTGCGGACAAAGAAAATACTAAAGACAATATCAATTTAGAAGAGGGTAATCCGCAACTTCTAATACGCTTATACCTTATCAAGAAAAAGGGGTAATCCACTTTTAATCAAGATTAGACAAAACTCTGATATTGTAGGTGTACTCTTGTCAATCTGTCAAGGACAAGAACTCGATGAAAAAACAATTCAGACAAGTGAGCCTTCACTCAAAGAGAGGTAACAAAATATATATAAACAAGTATATATATTGAAAGAGGAACTGGAATGGCTATTGCCAAAAGACAAGAAAACTAGAGACCCTTGAAACTAGACTAGAAGCAAAAAAGGAGTTGACAAGAGTGAAGAAGCCTTCACTCTTGTCTCTATATATACTCTCTAACTAGGGGCTACGTGGCGACGTTCTGTAGGACCTCCAATATGTGTTGACTTTGTAAGGCACATGCCTTGACTTACAAGGCAAGTTTTTCTATGTGTGAGCCACATAGTTAGCTTGATCTTCAAGCTAATAACATGTGTGACACATGGCCAACTTGTTGACCATGTTTCTAATCCAAAAAGTCAATTAAAGACACCTATGAAGTCAAAGCAGCGTCTAGGAAGTTCCTAAGAAGCTTCCATATTAAATATTATAGAATTAACTTACTTTTACCTATTTTTACTTACTTCTACCTATTTTTATATATAATTATTAGCTTACATGATTATGGCCGTGACACATAGCTCCTAGTTAAGAGTATATATGAAGGCAAGAATGAAGTCTTCTTCACTCTTGTCAATGCCTTTCTAGTCTTTAGTCTTCTTTCAAAACTTTCTAGTCTTCTTGTTTTTAGCAATAGTCATTCTAATTCAATATTATATCATCTTTAAATAATTTTCTAGTTCTTTTCAATGATACAAGAGTATATCAAGGATTTCTTTCTTTGAGATTCATGTCCTTGATTTAATCTCACTTTTATAATTATCAAACAAAAAATTTATAGTTAAAAAAAAAAATCTAAAGTAAGATATCAAACCACAATGTACAATTGTTTTTTAACTATCCTTCAATACTCTAGTTTTCATCACATTTTTTAATCTATAATTGAAACAAATATTTCTTTTATCGATAATAATAATAGGCTTCAAAATCAGCAATTAATTCAATAAAGTCATTTTCAAGAATCTTTGAAAATGGAGACAAATGTGCTATGAATGCTATCAATTGTGAAACTTTTGCTTACAAAAATTTATATTTTTCTTCCAATAGATTAATTTGGACAAAAGTACTAGACAAAAGTACTGGACTCTTGGAACTTTTTTTTTTTTTTTTTCCTATTGTACTTAACAAGGTACTTAGGATTAGACATCCATTGCTAAGTCAACAAGTATTCAATTTTGCTTGTCCCAAGTGTGTATATACATATATATATCCACAAGGAAAAAGAGAAAAATAAATAAATAAATAAAACAAAAAACTCGCAACAACTACATGCAAGAGAAGATGATGATTTGTGTGCCTTTATACTAACAAAGGAACGATGCGAGATGAGTCAAAAAAGCCAAGCACCGAGAAGCATATCAATGTGCACAGCGATGCGACGCCGAGTATGGAGAAACTTACACACACACACACACACACACACACAGAATGAGAGAGAATGAGAGAATTCCGACTACTTTCCACCGAATGATTCTACGAGCACACAAAACCGGAGATGGATGAGTCCGGGCATAGGTTTTGAAGAGGGGCGGGGGAATGGAGGGGAGGAGGAACTGGATGTGCACCTGGCACATACCATGAAATACGTGGTACCCACGTACAATACGAGACGAGGAGTATCGGATTTGTTCGAGCTGGCTTCTGGAAAGATCTGCGCATGAATGAATGACCGCGAGGATCTTCGTTTGGGGACTTTTGTATTTTAACAAACCCTGGCTTTCTCCGCTGCAGATCTACCCAGAGTGGCCAATTGAATGGAATGGGCGGTGGTGGGTCCGCGAGGATAGAAGTGTTGCTGCTGCCTTATGGTAGATGTGGAAATCCGTTGATTTGGTGCATACAAGGGATCGAGGTTTGGGCGCGCAAGGGGGATGCATAGTTGCCATTTGTGCCCTCTCTTCTCGTGTCCTGAGCTAGCTCTCAAGCTTCTTCTTTTTGTTTTTGTTTTTCCTGTCTTTTTGCCTTTTAGCGCTGCAGTTGTTGGCAGAGTTGTCGCTGCTGTGCAATGCTGCCAGGGTTTGTGATGGGGTAACGTCATTTGCAGCGGGCATGGAGCAAATCGGACGGGTTGGGAAGGAGCGTGTTTGTCAGGTTGGTGCCGGTTGTGTGTGTGTGGGAGATGGTGCTGACTAGGGGAGAGGAGCAGTCACGAAAAGTGGGAATTGGGTTCTTTCTTGCCTTTGGGGTTCGTAACGAGTGGCTTCTTGAAATTTGGATGAGGAAGAAGAAAGAAGATCAGTGCAGTATTGGACTAGAGGCGCACGTCGGAGTATGGAGATGGGGTGGTCTAGTAGTCTTTGTATACAAGAAGACATTTCTTCTGCGAACTATGGTAGTTTGGACGGGTTTGAAAGTAAGAGCGCTTTTCTAGACTTTCTGTCCAAGGGCGTACAGGCTTAATTGACTTGTAGATTTTGGACGTTTACGTACCAATTTCTGCCTAGATAAGTGAGCCAGGGTTGATGGAATCAGGTGATAGGTGTTAGGTCCTTATATCGAATGATGATTAAATTTGGGCTAAGGTGATGCGAGTGAAAGTGTAGAAGGAGTCTAGAAGCTTCAAAAATCTACTATACCTTGAACGTTGTGCGTATTTCTATCTGGGGGTGAAAATCACGCGCATGTAAACATGCACCATGAAACGCACACAGCTTGACCTGTAATATTGTGAAGGTGACGAGTATATGTCGTAAGTTCTTCTGTTTGGGTTCTCATGTCTAGGGGTTTGTGTCTCTATTGTTAATGGTTGCAGAATGCTGTTTTTGGAAGGAGAGAAATCAAGTTACTTAAAGTCATTCGGTATTGTTCGGTGCTGTGGGTTTGAATATTGAAGAGAACGTATTGGATCAGGGGTTTAAACCAAATCAGAATCATAGAGCACAGGACAAAAGCAGCTGAGGAAGTGGAAGAGATACGGGCTGTTGTAAGGGGGTGTTGGGAGACAAGCTAAGCAAGAAGCAAGAGCTGAATTAGGGAAAAGAAGACCATAAGCTCAATGCAAGAGCGTACCTTTATTTGTAAGCACAGGGAAACGCTAAAGGTCGAGTATATTCCGAACCCTTTCACGTGGTAATTACGGCAATGGCTGGAAGTAAGCATGAGAGATCGGGGGATTCCCCTGTAGGAACAGGAGAGGTGTCTCCACTTGCTGCACAACTTCAGCAAGCATGGCTTCAAACGCAGATGCCCAAAGCTCAGAAGCGGAGTTTTACCTCGGTTGCAAATGCGCAGAACCAACTTCCTCGGTTGTCACCGCCAGGTCCTGGGTCTGAGATGTCCGCATCCTCGAAACCACCATCATCCTCTGTACTGAAGTCCTTGTCGACTCTTTTTCCCGAGCTTGCAAACGTTCAAGAGAAGAAGGAGGCAAAGATCTCTTCTGTTTTTGAAGAAGGAGAGCAACCAATTCCAATTCACCCAGAATTACGCCAGAAGAAAGCTGAATGCTTAGAGGTGATGTTTGGTCAAGACGTTGTTGAGCAGACGCAAGCTCAGGGGCTCAGGGACTACGACCGTCATGCATCTACAGAACGGTCATTGTCTGATAGTCTGATTCAGCAATCTGACGACTCGTTGGATTTCTCTGACCTTGGGCCGCTTTCTGTTTCCAATAGTTTCTCGAGACCTAGTGCACAGCCTGGACGAGGAACTTTTGAGGACGATCTTTCCTACATCTGTAGCGCTTACGGTAGTAGACCTTCGGCATCAGAATATGAGACTTCGGCGGAGGTGGAACAAGAGAAAACGCCACTGTTTGAATATCTTACAGACATACTCATGGATGAAAACGTAGAGGAAAAGAAATGCATGTTCATTGAAATGAGCGCTTATCAGGCCATGGCGAAAGAACTTGGAGACCTTATCTCATACGATCCTCCTCCTATGCCAATACCTGAAACTAGAAGATCGGATCCTCACTTTGAAGAAGATGTCAGATTCGTCGACAGCTGGATTGATGAGATTCTAAGTGGTCCTCTTCCTGCGGATCGTACGGATAGCCCTGGTGCAGAAGCTAAGCTTGACATCAAACACGGAAGCAGTCCTGAAGAACTCTACTCTCACACAGACGCAGATCGTGGCAGCTCTGTCTGGAATGATACGGCGTCTGATACAGCATCATACCTACATCCAGACTCCACCTTATCTCCCGTGGACTTTGGGAACTCCCATGCTCTTGAAAATGGTAGTGGAGGCAGTTTACAAGTTGGTACTCGTCACCTAAGTAGCATATCTTCGTCAAATGGCAATGGGGTTCATGCACCGCCGGTGGACTTGACTGATCTCCTCATCAGGTATGATTCATTGTGTTCCTGTTATGTCGCATTTTGCTCTTGATTTTTTTGGTCTTTCTGCACCAATTATGACCACCTGTGAGGTTTGACAGAGCACTCTATGTGAATTCCTCTCAGGAGCTTTTCATCTATGATGTTAAAAGAGAATTGCACCAACTTTTTATGCTTTGGCGATTGAATTTTCAACTTCTCCAATTGTACTTTTACTGCGCGGGACATTTGGCACTGCATGCATTATAATTGGGAACCTACTTTTCTACATGCGTGTGGAGCTTGAGCAAGCTGCAATTATATAAATGGGTTTTTAGCTCGCCACAGCTTTCCCTCATTCTTGAGTCATGTGATTACTGAAACTTTTTCTGCCAATCTGTTGCTATCAGATGCGCGCAAGCAGTGGAACAAGCGGACTATCGGCATGCCAATGAGTTGATTCACGAACTGCGTCATCACTCGTCCGCGTATGGAAATGGGTCCCAGCGCATGGCCCATTACTTCATGGAAGCTCTGGTTGTTTAACTTGGCTGTCTACTTCTATTGCCGAGAATGTGCTTGGCGTGATCCCAATCTAATGTGACCTCTTAGATATCTGGTGAAGTAATGAATATTTGACGTGGCACCTTGCAGGTCATTCAGAAGCTTTTTTATTTCGTTTGTATTTGTATTTGTGCAAGGTACTCTTCTTATTAAATGCTTACTTCAGGGATGGTGGTCATGTGCCCTTCAGGTTGCTAAAATATCTGGAACTGGCGGACAGCTTTACTCAGCTCTATCCAACTACCGTCCTTCCGAGGCCCAAATGCTGAAGGCGCAAATGTTGTTCTGCGAGCATTGTCCTTTCATTCAAGTGCCACATATTTATGCTAATCATGCAATTATGGTGGCCTTCAAGGGTGCCCCACGAGTTCATATTATTGACTACGGCATCCTTTATGGAATTCAGTGGCCGTGCCTTATTCATCAGCTTTCACAACGTCCTGAGGGACCACCACACCTTCGTATTACAGGTATGGCGTGTTTCTTGTCGGTTTGTAATCTACAGGAATGCAATTTATGAATCCTTTTTGTTGTGCATGCCAAAAACTTTAATGCTTGGTTCCCTCACTACTTCCACTTGATGTTGATGTTGATGTTGATGTTTTATTTTTATTTTTATTTATTTATTTTTGTTTCCTAAAATTATTCAGGCATCGATAGGCCTCAACCAGGATTCAGGCCCTCAGCGAGAATTCAAGATACTGGGCGGCGTCTGGCTAAGCTTGCGAAGCAAATGGGAGTGCCGTTTGAGTTTCATGCAATAGCTGAGAAATGGGAGGCAATTACCCCTGCTCATCTCTTACTGCGAGATGATGAAGTCCTCGCAGTGAATTCTATGTTCAGGTTCCGTCATTTATTGGATGAGTCCGTCACAGCCGCAAGCCCTCGCAATCTTGTGCTGAGCAGAATAAGAAGCTTGAATCCAAAGGTATTTTCCTATACCCAGTCATACTTAGAAATATTACAAATCAAACATTATCGTAGATTTTATATTCCTCTCACATGCAATTATTTTGTTGTAATTCGTTTTATGTTATGTTTCATGCGTCTACCGTTCTGTTTTCCCAAATTGGAGTCTGGAAGAAATATGATAGATCCTTTTATGGATAGTCGGTGAGCTCACCCTCAGTCCTCCTTCAGTTCCTGCATGTCTTTCGAGAACGAAAATCTCACTTGGGTGCAACTTGTTTATGTAGATCTTCGTCCAAGGAGTCCTCAACGCTGGCTACAACGCACCCTTTTTTATGTCCCGCTTCCGAGAGGCACTGGCTTACTTCTCAACAATATTCGACTCTATGGAGTGTTCGTTTCCTGCAGAGCACCCGGACAGGCAAATCATAGATCACGAGATTGTAGGCAGAGAGATTTTGAACGTGGTGGCTTGTGAAGGCCCGGAGAGGGTGGAGCGCTCGGAAACGTACAGACAGTGGCAGGCACGGACCATGCGAGCTGGCTTCCAGCAGAAGCCCAACTCTCCGGACGTCATGGCTAAGATTAGGATGGCAATGAGGTCATATCACAGAGACTACGGTATTGGGGAAGACGGTGCCTGGTTCTTGCTCGGATGGAAGGAGCGCATCACACATGCCATGACTGTCTGGGAGCCTCTCCCCGACAGCCCTTGATTGTCGCCACATATTTCCTTGTGGTCACTTCTCTGCACTAGGAAGTAATCACAGTACCATGTTCCTTCTCATTGGGCAAGTAGAGTGATAATTGTGTTGTGATTAGATAGATGGCCCTGAACAACGCCTTATCTCATTAATCTTGAGCAATGCCTTACAAACTGCTGTGCTCACCTTCGCCTGCAGCTCTGTACTATATCCAGCTAAGAGGCAGGACGTCATTTTCAATAATATGTACAGACCTTGATTTAATGAGTTTTTTTTTGTTTTTTTGTTTCTTTTTTATAAAATCTCCTCATAGTTGCTTGTTAATTTATTCGCATTCCCTCAAATCTTTTTGAAACGCCTTGATGTAGTCATGACATTTCATAAACGGTCACTTTCAAATAGGTTATGTCCGGTTCATCCGGCTAGAGTAATACCATTATCAAACATCCAACACCACGAATAGCCCGTGGTTGATTCGGACACTTGACGCAGTGGTCAAGTGTTGGCACTAACTATTCCAGCTCCACCCTATTTCTTCAGCAATTTTTCCAATTCTTTTGAGCGGAAATGAGAGCTGAAAGCAAACCTGCAAATGCTAGCAGAAACGGGTTGTCTAAGACTCCTTTGGTTTCTCGAATGTCTGTCAACGCTAATAAACTGTCAGCTAGGTCCTGAATGATAGACAGGGTCTTCATCAGACGTTTGCCTTGCAATGCTTGGAGCTCTTTGATCTCAGATACAGGACTTATCCCACCTTCTGCCTTTTTTCGCATGCCCTGCAGCAGCTTTGCTTCCTGTTCGAGATATATCGATACCTGGATACTCTTCAGTGCAACACTGCCAAAGTATCCTATGAACTCCGCCCACGCACTTATTTTGGTGAGTCGCTTTGAGTGACGTTTATCAATCAGCCCTGCTTTAACCTGTCCATAGCATCATCATTGTCATCTATAAAATAAATAAATAAATAACTTGATGAAGCTCGATCTTCAAATTGCGCATTGAAGCTCAAAATGAGTTGATGCGAATATAAACTTCGAATGTGATGCGAATACACACAAGCTTCCATACCGTTCACGAAGTTCCAAAATACTGAAGCCACATGTACTCAAATACATGCGTGTAAATTTATGATTCAATTTAACAATTTACACGTGTGTTTTCCAGTGAGTTAAAAGCAATCTACAGAAACACTCACCAGCCAGACAAATTGCTCCACGAAGTAGTAAAACCCCTCCCCTCCAGTTGCGACGAGCTCCAGAAAACCATCCCTAGTGTTGAAGTTCGTCTTCTTCAGAACATTCACATCCTGTATAAACTTCCCCAACCGAAAGGCCTTCCGGCTACTGCCTACACTAGCATCAAAATCTTTCAACCTTCCATACACCTCCGGATCCTTGGGCGCGATCGGCGACGCCAGCAACAATTTCGTGGAGTACCGAAGGATTTTCAAAGCTTTATCGACACCATCCCTGCGAGCGAGGTAAGCTTCGAGGTGCTCCAAGACAGGCCGCCCGTCCTGAGGCTTCGCCATGGCCGATCAAATTGCAACGATCCCAAATTTACACACGCACGAATTCTCCACTCTTACCAAGAACACAACTCTCACACGTCTCCTCAAAACCTAAAACCTCGAGCCCCAGCGCACTCAACTCCACCATCAGCGAGCACTCACAACACAAATTCCCTGATGACACACGAGAAATTGATCTTACCAGTCGTGAACACATTAAACGTAGCAGGAGAACACAGACTCCTACTCCTCCTGGACCCTCCTCATCTCGCACCGCGATCGGCAGTGATATCAAAATCCCCGACAAAGTGGAGTGAAGATTGAGCAAATGAGTTAGAGGGCAGCAGCATGCGTGCAATGACGCGAATAGTGACACAAGTGATAGGTTGGTTGGCGATGCTAAATTTGAGTTGCGAAACGGTGGCGAGCAGGGCTCGGACCCCGCCGCGGCCCGCTCGTGGCGCCATTCCATGGAGTTGCGGCGTCGCTCGCCAAAGCCTGCCACCTCCTCGGCGTCCCCGCATTGGATGAATAAATGGATGAGTTTATGGATGAATATATTAGTGGACGAATAAGTATCACCATCCATAGAGGCTCATCCACGACGTTGTCATCCATCCACTGGCACTAGGGCTCTACTCCCCAACGCTTTCAGCAAGCATTTTGGGTTCCAACATAAATTGCTTAAATGAAAATTTATTAGAGGATGCTAAAGTAAGGATCAAAAAATAAAATAAAAATAAAAATAAATGCATCTCATCGATGCCAAAAAGTGCATTTCTATTCATTGGGTTTGAAATTAAATCAAAATAAGAAATATAATTTGTCTTTTACATTTCTGTATTAGTATGGCACGCTAGATTTTGTTTCTTTTGTTTTTTGTTTTTTGTTTTTCCTTAAACACCTGAGGTTTGCAAACATCTACTTGTGTGCTTGAAACCTTTTCTTTGGTCTTGGAACACTCAATTATATGAAGTCATTTGTTTGGATGCATAATTTATTTATTTATTCTTTGTGTTTATTCCTACTATTTTATCTATCTATATATATATATATATATATATAGATATATTTGCTTGAATTCTCTTTTTTCTAAGTGTAGAATAAATACTTTTTATTATAAAATTAAAATTTTATTAATTTTAATATTACATAAATTTGGATAAGACATTATAATACATTGTCAAAATATAAAATTTGATTGATTAGAAATATTTCCTATTATTTTTATCATTTTTTATTTATGGATTTTTCCATACAGATAATTTTTATTTTAAAAAATAAAACATCAAATTATATATATATATATATATATATATATAAAGTAGCAAAAAGTGTTTAATTTAAATTTATTGTTTGATTTTTGTTTTTATTTTATAGATACAATATCTACAAGAAGAGCTTTGTATGGCTTGTCCAATCATTCAAGGGCCCTTTATGTCTGCTTTTCATTGAATTTAAGAGTATCAAAGACATTGTGTTGTTGCTTATAGGCACTGTAGATGTGAAAGTGGCATAGAACTAGTTATTCTCTAATGTTTTAGATTTTTCTAATCACGTTTAAACTATATCAATAGCATAATATAATTATGTATATTTCTTGTATTGGAAGTTCTATTTCTCAAAAGATCTACAAAATATTTGCATTAAATCCTTTCTATTTGAATATTACAAAAGTTTAAAATTGCCTACAAAGTTTACTATTGTTGTAATTATTTTCTATTAAAATAACATAAATTTTCTGTAAAATAATATTGAATGGTTATATATTTAAAACGTATTATAAAGGTTTGGTTCTTCAGGTACGCATCAAAAGAGTAAGTTTGTTTATAATGACCTTATTGTCAAACAAAATAATTCTCTGAAAGTAGATATAGTATTGATATAAATAAATAAATATATATATATATATGTATATATATTATATAATTTTTTTTATAAATATTTGGATGATGAAAAGAATTTAAATTTAAATTGGCGTTGGTTTTTCATTTAATATTCGAAGTAATATTTTATGCTCAATACAAGTTGTACGAAATTGCTCTTGCATAAAAATCAAATATACATATTGATATAGATTAGAATCACACAAAAAAACAAGTATGACATAGAATCACAATGTTTATTTCATATATCTTATATATTTTTTAAGATCTTAATTTAATTTAATAGAATATACCCTAATCAGAATATGATATTTGGTTTTAAAGTTTCAAATGTAATACTTGATGTTTAGTACTTAGCAAATCACTCTGATACACCATGAGATTTTTTAAAACTTGCCTTTAGAAATTGTTGCAACATCTTTGTATGGTTATATTATTCAAAATCAATATGATTAGTCAATTTATTTTAATTTTTAGATTTTAGGATAACTAAATGATTATTTTAGACTATCAATTTTGTATGTATATTTATTAAATAATTAGGTGTATACATAAGAAACATACCTTAAAGATGAGGCAATTTGGGCTCAAAAGTTTTCTATAGTATTTAGATGTAGTTTATTCTAATCAATTATTGATATTTTTGACTTTTGATTATTCATTTGCATTTACCAAAATAAAAAATTCTTACTATCATGGCCTTTGGTGAAGATGAATTTTTAGCATTTATATTTTTAAATTAATAACCTATTTATATATTAGTATGTGTTAATATGTGCATAGAATACTTACACTAAAGATGATATTACTTGTAATTTTGCTTATAATATACTTTTTGAATATTTTTATAATTTGCATGGTTGTATTATAAGCACTTTACAATAGTTTTTGAGTACTTATAATGCAACTATGCACCAGGTTATTATTGAACATTCCTATACTAGGATAAGTCTGACACATATATAAATACTTTGGGGTGTGGTTGTTGATGTAGTATGGTTGGATTTCTTTCATTAGATATTCCAATATTGCAACAAAAAACTACATAAATAAATAAATAAAATAAATAAATATTTTATCTTTCACGCAGTTTTAAGGACACGCAACAATCAAAAGTTTCTTGGTTAAGAACATTCTACCCATGCAAGCATTGAGAATTATAGGTTTGATTTAATCAAAAACGTTAATTCCCTTCTTCCATTGAACGATCGTAAATAAGTGCCGTGACGTCCACGTAGGATTGTGGCTGACGCGGACTTCCACGTAAGAAAGATAGGTTCGTGCGGGGGTTCCCCGCCCTCAGAAACTACGCGCAGACCATCGTCGTCGCTGCAAAAGGGATCCATCGTCGAGGACGCCTTTGAAGGAAGGAAGGCCATGCGCTTTTGGCCACAGCACAGCTGAGCGGAGTTGCGTCGAGTCGAGGCGAGGGTTTGTAGAAGAAGCCTTTCGCAGTTGCCACTATAGTTTTGTTTTCAGCAGGGAGTTGAGGAATACCCGGCGAAGAGCGAGAAGACGAGAGGAGTGGGGGAGCTTCACAGCCGTGCCATGGCGCATAGGTTGCTCCGCGACGTCGAAGCTGATGGATGGGAGCGCTCGGATTTCCCCATCATTTGCGAGTCGTGTTTGGGCGACAACCCTTACGTGCGCATGGTGTGTTTTCTGCCTGCTTTGGTTTTGTGGGTCTGTTTGCTTTTGGAATCAGTAGGGATATTTTTAGGGTTTTTGGTTGTGTAGCGTATTGTCTGGCGTGGTTGTTCGTGATTTTCTGTTAACATATGCACGTGCATATAAAATGAGTGAAGGAGGAGTTTACACCTAGTTGTAATTACATGATAGTTTAGCGGCATGAAGGCTGATGCGGATGCTGGAATACTGGCGAGGTCTTTAGGGTTTATGGCTCAGGGTCCTGTTTTTTTGCGTTTTATGTTTGGGTATTCTTCTATAATAATTGTGTACTTGGTTTTATCGCAGACGAAGGCTAATTTCGACAAGGAGTGCAAAATCTGTACACGCCCGTTCACTGTTTTTCGGTGGAGACCAGGGCGGGACGCACGATACAAGAAGACCGAAGTGTGTCAGACTTGTAGCAAGCTGAAGAATGTATGTCAGGTCTGCTTACTTGATCTTGAGTACGGGCTGCCTGTCCAAGTGAGGGATACTGCTCTTGGTATAAATACAAGCGAATCGATACCCAAAAGTGATGTAAATAGGGAGTTTTTCGCAGAGGAACAGGACCGGAAGGTAATGTTACGACCTGTTATCTACCTACATACTTTTTTTCCTGCTTCTCCATTCATTTTAACGTATGTCCCTTTTTCTTCAATCGTTGTACATTTGTAGTTTTTCTTACGGGGTATGGAAGCCTATAGCATAGTTTCAAAGATCTGATTTGTAGGCTTCACGTAGTGTTAAAGTAGGAATGAATTCTATCGTGATGGCTGTGTATGTTATTTACGCATCTCTTGACTCCTGCAGGCCAAAGCTGGTTTGGATTATGAATCTTCGTTCGGAAAAGCACGTCCGAATGATACCATCTTGAAGTTGCAAAGGACCACACCTTACTACAAGAGAAACCGTGCCCATATCTGTAGTTTTTACGTCAGAGGAGAATGTACACGAGGAGCCGAGTGCCCATACCGACACGAAATGCCCGTCACAGGCGAACTCTCTCAGCAGAATATTAAAGATCGTTACTATGGGTATGTTGCATTCTGCGTTCACATTTGGAAACTGTGTACCTTAAAAATAGCTTTTAAGTAGCTCGAATGCATTTCGTTCTCAGGAATACCTGTTTTTTTGAAGAGAGAATTCGTGTGCTAAGGTTTGAAGGTTTTTACTCCCGTTTGTGAAGAAGTCGGGATGGTTTGTTCAAGGAGTTTTGAATGAAGTAAGCTGTGTTTTGGGATGGTTCAGCATTCAATCGAGAGAACGACATAGTCGTGCTTGAGTTCACTTGTTCATGGTGAAGTGCGTTTGACTTACGGTTTCCATTTGCTGTGCAGTGTGAATGATCCAGTTGCTGCTAAGTTACTCAAGAAGGCTGGGGAAATGCCCTCTTTGATGGCCCCGGAGGATATGAGCATCAAGACACTTTATGTAGGAGGTCTGGTCGACAGAGTCACCGAGGAGGATCTTAAAGATCAGTTTTATGGCTATGGAGAAATTGAATCGATCCGAATGGTTCCTCAACGAGCTTGTGCATTTGTTACCTACACTACCCGTGAGGGAGCTGAGAAAGCAGCTGATCATCTGGCTAACAAACTAGTTATTAATGGCTTAAGGTTGAAGCTCATGTGGGGCAGGCCACAAGTTGCGAAGGCTGATATGGAGGCTGCAGGTGAAAAGGACGATGCTGTGAAGTCTAATCTGGGTGGTGGGGTCCTTTCACATGGTGGCATGCTTCCTCGAGCTCTCATTTCTCAGCAACAGCAAGTCCCGCCACCACCTGGCCACGAGCTTAACTCAAATTACTTTAACCTACCCCCGCCTCCTTTGTCTACAGACCGACCCTTTTATCCATCCATGGATCCGCAGCGAATGGGGGCCGTCATGAAACAAGACACAAGTGGTGCAGAGCAAGGAGAGGGTTCAAGTTCAGAGCAGCGCCCTCAGCCTGGACAATATGGGGGTCAGCCTATGGGTCCTCCTCCCTATGGTTATTCACAACAAGTGCCTCCAAATTTTCAACATCAGCATTTCAGGGGTCCACCTCCCTATCCACAGGGTGGACCACCTCCACATTCCTACCAGGGATATCCGCCCCACTTCCAGGGTGGACCTCTACCCCCTCACTTTCAGGGTGGACCTCCTTTCCGCCCACCTTATTAAGACTCGGAACACGCAAGTAGTTTCTTAGATACTGATTAGTGTGTAGGCTGTTGATCCTTAAAACTCTGTTTCAATTATTTTGTTTTAGGTTATTTTGATTCTTGTGGATTTGAACCTCCTCTCGTAATCGTACTGTGCTCAAGTTTTGAGGCAGTGAAACACAAGGTTTAGGTGAGAATTGTGTTCAGTATAAGCTGAGACTAATGCAGCTGATGTTAGAGTGAGAATTGCATCGGTATCAAATCGCATGTGGTCTTGTAGCCGAAAGCTGAGCACTGGATTGCAACATGTTATGGCTCTTTCAGCCACTTCGAGATGTACAAAAGTCCTTTGAGATTTCGAAAACGCATCCTTCGAAATATGAACTCAAAAAATATCCTTCTTAGCTGTTCTCATACTTCCAAGTTCATGCTCTGTCACTCTATGTCCTTAATTTGTTTGGTTTCTGTTGATTAGAGACATCATGCACGGTTTTACGCAAGCCATGGGGGATTTTGTTACGTCTTGGAGCATTAGCTACTTGATGTTACCAATTGGTGAGACCCTGTCATAATCCTCGATTTCAGAGCTGCAAGGCGAAAGATCTTGTAGAGCCTGGAAGGCTACTGGTGAAGTTTCTGCTAAGTTGTGATTATGTTGTAGATTTATCTACATGATATTATACGTAATCTACTGTTTTCTGCTCTATCTATAAGCATAACTATCTCCCAACGTGATTACACTGTGCTACATCGGCAATTTAGTATCTTCCTGTGGATTATTACGTCTTTAGTTTCTTTTAATCAAGAAAGCTGTCATAGTGTAGCTGTCTTCGTGTTTATTGTTCAAAAATGCAGTTTACAAAGAAATGCAGGATATATGTTTGACTCGTTAACGACATATAATCTCGTTAGACATATAATCTCTTTGGGTTGCACCAATGTTTTGAGGGCAAAAAGATGATGCATCACTCGCATCAGCTTGTTCTACATGCTTCCTTTAACACTGTCCAGAATGCTTTTTAGGACCTCTAATTTATGTAGATGTTACTGAATGTTCTATATAACACGCTCGTGCTCATGTACCGGATGAGATGCGTACACCCAAACTAGGATCGGATGTTGGACAATGTCACTGACTACACTAGTTCGTTTGGTTCCTCTTGTGATGTCATGAAAAGTAAAAATGACTCCTAGATTTGTTTCTCCACTATTGGATCTGCAACCAATAATAACCAACCACATTCATCATGATTACCATATTCTTCATAAATGATGGGTATATTGAATTAAAACATGGGTCTATTTTAACATTTCTCTATACATACATACATAATACATACGTATATAAAGAAATATTAAAATAACTTGTCTAACCCAACACCATTACCCCCCATCCCTGTCCGGACCCCTGCCTCTTCCCAACTCCCGACTTCATAGTTTGGCTTACTGCTGCCTCCCGGTTCGAGAGTTGGGACCCCACACGCGTCCCAAGTAGATGGGTCTACTAGTTGTGATTGTGCAGCCCACGAAGGAGAAGCTTGTACTGGTGTCGCATGTTCTCTTTTAAAAGTCTAGCATATAAAAGCGGCAGCTTGAGGTGTACACGAATTCTGTACAAGTTACTTCAAGATGTGCTGCAGGCGCAGCGAGTTCGAGCTTCTTTCCATGAACAGAATACAATTCATATTTTTTTGGTTTGTTTGTTTGTTTGTTTGTTTGCTTGTGGCGATCATTTTACTGCTAAGGCAAGGTGAAACCTTGTAAAGTGATTGTCCGTCTCCACAGATGAAGTCGATGCTGCCTGTTGCATCCCACAACCATTAAATCGTTGGTTCAAATTTTCATGAGACGAAGCAAAATAAATATTTTCAGTAGTTTGAGACGTCGTAATGATTTGTTTCAATATGCTGAATGAGAGTGATTTCGAACATTCTCAGGTGTGCAGAGTTCAAAGAAAAATGCGAGAAAAAGGTCGCTCACCAATCAGTTTAAATTCTCCATGTGCACACGGTATCAATCTGCACAACAGTACAACATTCAAGAAACGCCTTCACATTCACAAAACAAACAAAAAAAATCGATAAAATTTATTAAAAATATATTCCCATTCCAATCCTCCTCTGCGCTGAGCCCTTTGCACTCTGGACGGAGCAGTGTATCGGGCAGTGTTTCAGGCAGATGAGAAGGTCGGGCACAAAGGACAGACTGCCTCATGGGGGATGATGACGGAGTGTGGGAGTACAATGAGATAGGATTAAATGAATTTAACAAAGTTGGAGTGTGGCATTAACAAATCCCTACATATATATACATATATATATATATATATACATTATCAATTAAATTTCTCTATAGGTAAAATTAGAATGATTATAATTAAGCATATATATATATATATATATATATATTCAAAATGAAAGTGAAGAGTAATGCCATTCCAACTGGACAGAAAAGAGCAAGTCCACCAACGGAACCCACTCCTCGTTTCACCACAATTTGGATGAATAAATGGATGGAGAGAGACAGTTCATTCATCCACAACTATCTTATCAGGACTATCATGAAACGGGTATCGAGCCAATCTGTGCAGCACTGTGCTGTTGTTGTTGTTTCATGTGGCTTTGCTCCGAACCTCGCACTGGAGCCTTCTCGGCCCTCATCGCCACCTCCTCTGTATGTCATCTCTTGCCCTGGACCGGCTTCCTGTTGCTGGTACTACACAAGGTAGGGCCGATTGAGCCTAGATCGACGTAGCAAGGTATTTGTCACCCTCGATCCAAACACACGGGTGTAGGAATTAGATAAGTTTGAGATGCGGCGGAATTTTTGAATTACGACCAGTGCCTGAGATGGTTGATTCTGTGTGGTGATGTGGAAATGCGTCTCCGTACATGATGTTCTTGTTAGAAACGCTTATAGCTAGGAGAGACGGTAGCTCAAGGAGAGGTGTGGAGAGCATCCTCTCTTGCTACTTTGTGTGCGCAAGTAGCTTCCTCAATGACCCTGACGTTTGGTTGTTGAGGCTTCGGCGTGGACTTGCGTCGTTTGTGCCGGGAGATTTCCCGGTAGTTTACTGGTGAGCCATCAGTCTTCTGTGTGTAGTGGATGTGTCGATAGATTTTGTTTTTGTTTTTGACTTTTCCTCCATCGTTTAAAAGTATATTTTACAAATGTTCGCGAACAAATCTAGATAGTAATTATTTGGATTAGGTTGCTAGAAAGAGTTGACGATGCCTTGTTCTACGGGTTTACATGTGTCCATCAATTGTCTATGCAGACCTCTTCTGATCTGTGTAGCACAACCAAGACACGTCTCAGAGAGATACAATTTACTTACCTAGCTGGACAGGTAGAAGCACTCAACGCCCCGTCTACAGCCATGCTACGCCTCCAGTGTAAAGTCCAAACCCCTCTACACGTTACTCTGATCTTATCCAGCAGGTGCGACATATGACTAGTGTAGGTGCTGGAAGATATCAATGCTTGCCGAGGTAGAGGATTACCTCTATCGTCTTCACCGCGATGCAACCGCCACAAGAGCCGATCAAAAAGGAATTCCAAAGGGAAAATTGTTGATTTCCTGGTCAGTTCAGCTCCTTATTCCCAGATATGATGAAGTCTAAGTAGAAATTGCTGGCTTTTCGGGAACACATTCGCGGTATTCACACCACTCTACAGAGGTAGCCAGATGACGAGTCGTCTGCCTCGCTACTCGGTTTGTCTGTGTCGAGAGTGAGATGCGGCAAGCAATGCCGCTCCAATTCCTGAACCGTCATTTTGTAGTCTTAAAAACACCTCGTAGGGTCCGTTTGTGCCGACCAACTCTTGGAGAGCGTCCTCCATGTATTTCCGGTACGGGTGGTGGTGTTCATAAAGACCTCCATCCATTGCCACCACCGTCGTCTTCTTCTGTCGAGATAAGGCGAAGCCATTCTTGTTTGGTCCAGCTCTACCAATTTTTTTCAGTATCCCGTAGAGTCCTGCAGCAGCCAACCTTCCACCCCGCTGGCCAACCATGTCGCATAAGCTGTGCACAATCCTCCGCTGTTCGAGAGTGGTGTCATGGATCTGTAAGAATTGATTACAACTGGTTAGCTCGAGAACTTTTCTTGACATCAATGCGTCTCAATTCAAGAAAAACTAATTGAGAATGGGACGCAAGGTGCCCCACCCTGAGAACTTCGTGAAGAACAGTCGCTACTGTTTGGAGCTCCGATGAAATGTCAGCATGGATTTTAGAAACATGTTTGGTTCTGCAGATAGAGTACGGTATTAAATGAATCTATGCCAATGGAGCATGCAATTGAGTGGTAAAGAGAAAAACAGGTGAATCATTCCACTGAACAATGAAAGGAAATAGCGCTCATGACAAAATTTCGAGTTTCCAATCACGACTGGGACATCGCAACTTGCAGAAATGAGAAGAATTACTCAAGAGACTGTTGTTCTCTGAGTTTTTCGGGGACAGTGTCCCCAAACAACGTTGCCTCTTCAGCAAGCCTCAGCAGCATGTGTCGTACGATTTCGCCAAGGTACATGCCTGACACCATTTTTTCAAACCACTGCACAACCCACATATTTTGAGAGAATTATTGCAGAAGTGAGATCAATTCAGAGGCTTAGATGCAAGGTCCATGCATCAGGATTGTTACCTGGTCTCCGGGGTTTACACTTTCTTTGTCGACCTCATCATCAGCAAATGTGCGCGGCAGCCAAGGTGATCGAAAATTTCCCCACTCTAAGTTGATGACCTGCGGATCATGACTTTATTGTCACCATGATAATAGAACTCAACATTGAGTTTTAATATCTTCAACTCAGTAGGTCTGAGAACGCCTCTTGCATGTAATTACTGTACGCGCCATTCTACAATAATTTATGCTCTGAGATTTCCAGTTTGATTCTTTGAAAAACTTGTTTAAAATGTATACAGATCCTTTTGAAATTATTGCACTTCGAGAGACTCGGAAGGAGGTAGCAAGAACAAGAACAAGAATAATAATGTGCCAAATCAGTACCATCTCCCCTGATTTGGGAAGTGCCTCTTTCCATTTCTTCACAGCATCAGCTCGTTCCACGTAACAAGCATTTGTCCCTGTGCCAAGTATGCAACCGATCATTGTCTCTTCCTGAAAGTTATACCTACCTCCGGCTAATGTACCGACAGTATCGTTCACCTGCATCAATGAACATCGATGAGCTTTCATGTACTGACGAACCTTTTTCAACAAGACAGTGCATGAGGTATATCCTTTTCCAGCACATGTCACTTTGCCCTCATTACATGCAGTCACTGCGTTACCTGAATCCTCCAACTTCTTAGTTTCGTTCTTTCGTCAGGCACACATGACAAAACCTAATTATAGTGTAAGTCACACCCACTGTGCGAAAGTGATTGAAACTCAAGTTACCTGGTGGAAGTATCAGGAATACGGATCGTACCAAGGCAGAAATTTCAACATCGTGACCACTGCGACTAATCGCATCCTGGAACTGCTTCACAATGTCTTTGCCTATCTGCCAGCAAGAAGTCCCATTTGGAAAATAAAACATCTCTAGTCAAAGGCTTGGGATCAAGAAATGGTTGGCCAGCGGCTAAAACTACGCGTGCACAACCATCTTGCGTGATGCAGTCTCACAGATGGAAGTTGTATCAATGGTGAGCTCCAAACTGAACTTATTCTCTTAAATACGGAGTACATGGTGTAGGTGGTAATAGAAGTCAGCAAAATGGATACATCTTTGTTCAGAATTTTGCTTGAAATGCATGAATAAGTTGCGCTCAACATATGAACACACATACCGCATCATCGATTTTAAAGCCTTTGGTCCATTGAATGACATTGCCAGATTTTACTGATGTTTGACGAACGGGAAAAGAAAACGCAAACCCGGCTTCCCTGTGCTTGTTGGACTTTGAATCAAGCAGAATGTCCTCCGTGTCGACAAATGTGGCAAGCGTATTGGCAATGAAGTCGAAAAGATCCTGCGGGACCAAAGGGTAAAATCATAACCTGGAACTCCTTGTACACTGAAAACCTAACTCACTGTGGTGGAGCACATGCCTTGATTGGTTTCCAGAAGCGAAATTGATGGGACTGAGGAAAAGAAACCTTACCTTGCCAGTGCCCACCATAAGTTCGCGAGGTATGGCAATCTCCTTGGACTCTTGGCTCAGAACTTGGCCTTTCCCGCCCAAATGTAATCGCAATACCCGAAAATTTGTGCCACCAAGGTCTACAGCGTAAAACAGCCCTTCCTCATCCCTGTAAGAATTAGAAGAGGAGTAAGTCTCATGCAGACAAGTACGAACGTTAACCACGGAAAAATGCATTATAAAAATATGAAAAAATATTCTTATATCCACACGTCACTGAACAAGAAAACAATAGAACCAAAAAACTGAGCTTCAAACTACCAAGTACTACAAGAAATACGTCGACAGCATTTAATCTCGGTGTTTCCCACAACAAACGTCTCCACGGAAAAGGGTTTCCATGCTAATTCAAGGCCTAGGATCCCTAATCAAATGGCATGGGTTCATTGGGATTTCCGATTCAAAAAACACAGACTCATAACCAACACTTTTCCAATGCGCATGCAGGTTCCGGATCCACTATTCTCGAAGAAAATGAACCCTTGGTCCACACCTCGACACAGTAACAATTCTCATACCAAAAGATTTTTCCAAAACTGAGATCAAAAGCAAGAATTTCTCCCCGCCAATTGCAAATTAATCGCCCTGCCAAGACCATCGATTTACCGAGGTCCTCAAGATACCAACAGGAAACGAGGTAAAAGAATGATATTACACGCACCCAGTGGGCAAATTCTCGACGTACGATGGCAGCATCTTGAGCTGATCGCTGCCCCCTTCCTCCTCCAGCCCAGCGCACATTTCTCCCACCAGAGCATCCGCCACTTGGCGCAGCAGCGGGAGCGGAGTCGCAGCGGCCAGCCGCAACCCGTGCACCAACCGATCTGCATTGTGCACTCGCACCACCCTGTTCGCATTCGGCGTCGCCCCAGCGACTTTGGGCAGCCCCCACCATGGAGACCTCACGCATTGCACCCTCGCGCTCAGCAGGCCATGCATCGTCACCCCCGCCCCTCGCGAAAAGAGCGAAACGCGCTCCACCGTCATCGACATCGCTCCGGTTGCTTCTTCCCTTAATCGCAGCAGCTTCTGATTCTGCTTCTTCTTCTTCTTTCCTGCCCTGCTGGGTATTCGACGTGATCGCAAGGAGCATTCCGCGAGTGCTGGCCGCAGTGCGCCTTCTTTTACGGTCGCATGCCCAACCGTATGCTTCTAAAGTATGTTCGGAATTCGCTTACTCAGTAGATTCACAAAGGATTACTTCATTGTCAATGTTTATAAGAATACTAATCAAACTTATCACAACCCTTCATCAATATTCACAGTATGCAACTAGACATGAGTATTACTTCATTGATCTTTTACATTCCACATGTTTATTTTTTATTGAATTTTTTTAACATTGCTAGTAAAGAATGAGCAACACAAAACATTCCACACATATATTGCCACATATTACAAAAGAATTCAATCTTCCTTTGCAATAAACCATTCATTTATATTGAATTACAACCTAAATATATGGAAACACTTTCATAAATACAATCGCATGACGTACATCAATGAAAGATTCAGGCTGTCGTAAGGCGATTCCCCTCGGTTGCTGACATGGAAGCCAAGCCAGCTCAGCCATTGCTTAGCCGAGCTGGCAGTCTACGTGGATATGAGTCCCTTGCCCTAAAATTGGCGGGGTGTGCTGCGAAACGGAGAGGAGCAGGCAGCGTTTCGGAAGAGCTTCGAAGGCTTCACATGAAATGCCTGCTTTGATGCAACGTTCCTCTTCGATTCCTACCGTCGTAGCGTGCGGGCTTTCTAGTCCTCGGCCACTGTTCCTGTACTCCGCAGGTCAGGCTACAGATTGCTGGAAAAAATTTCCCCCCCTCGAGAAGGCGAACAAGACACGGACTCCTGAATTTCATGGTTAGTGCATCGCCTCATGCTGCTGCACTTAATATTCTAGGCATTAAGGTCAGGATTGATTAGTGAGTTTGTCCGCTCTCCACTCATCACAGCACTTGCTGTACATTTGATGGGATTCACGAGCGTTGGGCCCTAAATCAGGTCGAAAACTTCTTGTGGATTGGCTGGGTTTCGCAGCTTCGTCGCCCTGTCGTCGTTTTCTTCTCTTGATCTGTTTGCGCGCAGAGTTCTAGAAGTGGAATGAGTTGTGACGTGCTGGGTGTTATTCGAAAACATTATTCAAGGAAAAAATATTCACAAATGCAAATCCCGTTCTCATGTGCTTGCTGTGATTTTCTTTATTCTCAATTCCTTATGCGCGTATTGTAGCTTGAGGTGCCCCTTTAAAATTAACCTATGCTGTTACTGAGGAATGATTTAATCGTCAACGTTTCGTCACTGCTCATTTTCGTCCATTCAGTCAAATGAAATCAACCTTTCCCCTGGGCTTGTGGATTCGTTTGTTCAATTCCGTTTCCAATCGAGGTTTCTGAGATTTTGGTCACTTGTGTGTGTGGTTGCTTCAAACATTTCCTTATAAATCCATTGATTGAAATGAAGAAGCTCGACGTTCGTGATTCAAGAGGAACAGCTCATCACGATTGTGTCAGGTGTGCATGGGAGAGAACGGGGACATAATGTTTTCTCTGGAAGTTAAACGTGCGATGCCTAGTTATTGCCAACACAATAGCGCGGCACTTGTGATTGCAAGATTCTTATCAATGCATTACAGAAACTACGTACCATACATTTTTCAATAATTCTTGTGGTTTTAACAAATCTTTAACATCCTTCGCGCATACATTACAAATTCCATATTTGACTTCTCTGGAATCAGCTCCCTTCTCATTTATACTATCCCCACTCTCATCAGAACTGACCCCAAGTTCATCATCGCTTTGGTATGAACTGGATACTAGCTATTCCAAACACCTATAAATCGTATTCCCTGTCTTTCGTAACCTTCTGTTGGAACTTCGCAAAATATCCTTTCTACCCATGGAATTTATATTCAACTTAACGACGAACTTTTCCCTGCACAGTGCTGACGGAATCGCTGAGAAGGTCCAATCAGAGGAGACCAAATATCCCTGCAAAACCTCAGTTGAAAAGAACTGGCAGCACAGAGAGTGTTTTTCAAACCACAGTGACTCTGCACTAATTGTCTGCAAGCTTTCCGCTCCTTACCATGGATGGCAGCCTCTTGTGAGATGAAAGACAAGCTTAGGGTCAACTCCTCGGCTTCTCAAGTTGTAGTCTCAACATTCTCCTACCCTTGGAGCGTTAAGCCCAGTTTTAGGTAGGTTGACCAATTTCTTCACGTCTTTCACTTCTTCCATTTGTTGCATGCAATTACGGGTCATTGCTAATGTTTGATCGGCGTTTTGCAGTTTTGTATCATATTTTTTTCCAATCAGAGGCAATAAACGTCTTTCCTATCTGACAGCCGCGAGCATTTTATTATTCCTCCTGTGGATTACACTGGCACAAATAGCGCATTCGAGGGCATCCTTCGTTTATCTGACGGTATTTCTCGCTACTCAGAACATCGCCGCTGCCATGCTGGACGTGGTCGTGAACGTCGTAGTTGCCGGAGCAGCAAGGGCAAGAAGGTCAGCAGTTTTCTCCATGATGAAGCTCTCTTGTTGCTGCAGCTATAAAGACTTACCTACTGATTCTCACAATTGATTTTTACTCTTTGGATTGCCAGGATTGACTTTGACTTGCAACCGATCTCGTGGTTTTCTATGATATTTGGCGGAATTGTTGGTAGAATTTGCGGTGAATTAGAGTTACCGGTTTTCAATGTCGAAGGCATTTTCCTTTTCTTGTCAGTGTTCCCATTGTTGCAGCTCTTGGCGTGTGACCTGTTAGACGTCAAGACGCGAAACCACGTGGCTACGGCGATTGACGAAGGCAGCTACAATCTATTGGAATTCGATTACTGGATGATAAGCACTGATATCCTGGAGGAGTCCCACGTTGAGATGGATTGCTATGGTATTCTTAATGGTGTAAGCGAAGAGGAGGAGTACTCGGACACAATTATATTGCAGGCAGTAGACAAAGAGAGGCACATCTCTGATTATGATGGGGTTGCCACGGTTCTAAGGTTGCCTTGGAGGATTGACCACGGCGAAGGTAAGTCTAACCGTCGACTTAGTGTTGATTATCTTCATTAGTAGCGATGTGCTGCATATCTTAAATCTGAATCTGAAGGGTTTGTAGGGAAAGTTGAAAAGTCATTCGCACCACCAACGGAAGAAGTTAAACGTCAACACGATGGTGAGGATGATGGAGACTGGATAGAGATAGGACTAAATGGGCTGGAGAAAGGTTCAGAACTCGCTGAGAATATTGGGGGCTCAGATATAAAAGAAGACATGCACAAAAGTTTCATCTCGGATGCGGATGATCCTATCGAAGACCTTCATCTTCAGGTGATTCTCTGTTTAAATCTCTACGTGAAGCAAATAATTGAACTAATAATTTAGCAAATGCATAATCAGTCACGATATGGGAGCAATTGTTAGGTGAAGGAGCTTCCGAGAAATTCAGAGCAGTTAAATGAAAAACCGCGTTCAAGTAGTGGACGGCCTAAAGTTTTCAAAAGTGAGCAAGTTGTGCAAAGAGGGCTATGGCAAGAGCTGAGGTCAACAGTTGCAGATATTCTGAAGCAACCCGTCCTTATGCAGTAAGAGTATTGCAAGCATCCAGTATAATCACATGTACAAATAATCATCTTACAGCATCCTTTTCGTGATAATTACCCTATATAACAACTTAGCAATAGATTTCTCTTGGTCACCTTCCTCTGTAGCGTTGTTACGAAGAAAGGCTCTCTTCAAATTGTGAAATGCATGAGTCTAATGTCGTGCTACTAAAATTGGCACTAATATTACGTGATGGCATATTTGTGCAATTGCAGATCCATCTTGTGGTTTCTTGTCACTCAACTTGTGATTCACAATTCATCGTTCACCATGCTTTGCTGTCAGACTGATAGTATGCAAGCAGAATCCTCATTCCTGAGAGCTTCTCCCATGATCATCTGGAGTATTCTCATTATGACCACTTTCCTGTTCAACCAGTATTTGAAGCATCTCCCTCTTCGGAGGATTAAGCCCTGGTACGCTCCTCTCTTTGTACACAATTTTTATTATCTTTTGGACCCTTAAAACTCTAGCTGTCTACTTTTTTATCTACCAACAACTGTAATGGGCTGCTAAAAGAGTAGAGCATTCACCATTCCTCTTCGCTGATCCTCCATGCTCAAGCCTGACCAACTCAATCCATAACTTCAAGTCACTGATGAGCTTTTTCAAACCTCTGATCACCGTTGTTGCATCGTCGTAATGCTTGCAGAACGACGTCATTCGTACTGCATGAGAAGATGCACTTATGCTAGCCTGGAAGTAGCCTGGAAGTAGGTAATCCTTCGCAATGTGGTGAGCTTCAACCATTGCAGCCCATCATCAGGAGTTTGTGCAACTCCATATAGGCTGTATGACCACTTGATAGTAGATGATTTTCAACTCTGACCGGGCCAAGTAGGGTGCTGCATGTCCTTCAAATGCTTGTCGGCTGGATTGGCTAGTCGAAAAATGATGTTCAATCAGCAACTGGGTTTTTAACTCCCTGTAAACTGCGTTGTAAATCAAGCTTCACAACTTCATGTGAAAGTCGTTATTCAAATCTTTTACTCCTTAGAAGGTTTGAATGGAGTATTTGAATAACATCTTGGTTTTTGTAATTCAAGGATACGACCCTTCAGAAATGTAAATTAGAAACACTGTTATGCAATTGCTAAGAAGCCCACAAGAAACCGATTTTGCATTGTCAGCCACTCAAGTATGTAGCAGTTGACACCATACATCATACCTGTATTCCTCCGAATAAGGTCAAACTATGTTTTCAATGCTTGCACTGGGGTCACTAATTTTGTGACATTGTAGGTGCTAGGGAACAGTACCTCAAATTTATGTCCATAACCTTAACTGGATTTGGCTTCTAATTCGCAATATTAATTTCAATCCATTTTTCTGAAAAAATATGCTTCATGATGAAGCATCATTTGGGACAAACAATATTTAGGCAATTTTACGTAAATCAATCGTTTTTGCATGATTGAAATCACTTAAATGATTGGAATTATAATTATAGAAAACATAAAAATAAAATAAAGTAAAATGATGCAAATAAAGTAATAATAATGTAACTTTGGTTACATTTTAATTTTTTAGTTTTTGACACAAAGACATGGTAAACCCAATGCATTATATTTATCAGATGATTTTAGTTTTTTTCTTTTCTTTTTTATAAATTTTGACATTATATTATAACTCACATCGACATATCCACATTATAAAATTGTGTACTAAAGGACAGTGATAAATTTTACTCAATTCTCAAATTTAAAACTAAAAAGTTACTTTGTGAATTTATAATTTTTAGCAGTGAAATTTATTCATATTTGTATAATAACGACAAGTACATAGAATTCATATAATAATGACAGTACCACTAATAATGACAATACCAATAATGACAATAAAACTTTGATTAATTAAACTACAAAGATAAGGAAGAGCCCATATGCTTTCAATCCACCTCGTTGCCAACTTATCAAATCCTCCTAAAATCATGAAAATTGTTTTGCTACTTCTTACTAAGATACATCATCTAGAGAATTCTATCATGACGCTCACTTGACGCCCCCAATAAATTCATATATCCTCTCTTGCATAATTTAGTTGAGGTGGTACCTGATTTTTGACAAGAGGCGCCAAAAGCTTTGTATGGATTGTTAGGGGAAATAGGGAAAACACTGACCTCCTCGTGTTCGTGGGAAGTGGTGGGACTACATTGGGTGGATTTGGAAATTTTGATTGCAGCGTTCTCTGCGACTAATTTTCCATCAATCAGCGATCTTTTCAAAAGCACCGCTCGAAAACCGCGGGTGAGGCCTGTACGTCCTCGGTGCGTTACGATTTTCCAGCTACTTTGTCTGAAAATGAGGAAATGACGCATTCCTCTGTCAGTGTCCTAGAGCGTCTGGAATCAGAAACATGATCACTGAAAGTCGTGTGTGCAAAATTCTGCGCAACTGGATTTAATATCTCCAAATGAGTGGACTAAGATGTATTTAGTGAACTCCAATGTCACCACCCGTAATACTCGAAATAATAACTAGGTAAGACTGCAACCAGATTTTTATTGACAAGGCCACGAGAAGATCTGCAAAAACCTTATCTATTTATGAAGAGACCACTGCTATCGAAGGGGAATTTTTTTTTTTTATTAACTTGCTGTTCCTTCGAATTGTTCTATCCATGAATTAGCGGATCTGGGACTGCCGGGTCGAAACCATCACGCCCCTTGTTTGCTTTAGACAATCCTGCGCTCGGATAAACTTCATATTTTAGTGGTGCGTAATTTTGCGGTACACAAAGAGATGATTTCACCTTCAACATATCTGCAAATTTATCACGGCTCCGGGGGTAGATTACCGAGGCCTTACTTTCTCTAGTATCAAAATTTTATGATCCGTTTTAACGGATTTATCACCGCCATAGATGATCACGTTCAAAAAGTGTAAGTGGTAGAGAATTCGAAATTTCAGTAAAGATCACACTGACACTGCGGAACAGAGTCACATATCACCAAAAGAATTCCAAGTGACTGAAAATAATAAAGGGATGCAGGACAATTTGTGAAAAAACCTTGAGATACACGATGGGGAGTTGCTTGCACGCTCAAAACCAAAAGAATCAAAGATGCAGACAACGACCAGTAACTGCAGGGCCTACAACCAGTGCAACTCGAGTACCATTATGATGCTGAAAACAGAGACTCGAAAGTTCTATGTTCACGTGAAGCAATGAGCTAGAAACAAAACCAACCACATCCATCTCCATTGAGACAGCCGCGCTACCCAGCGATAAGTCATAGATTGTCCTCTCAATTACACTCCAGCATCACAAATTAATTCCCTCCACCAACAGCTCCACTCCGAAGAGCACGAAAATTTCTAACATTATCCGTGAACATATCATTATCTCACAACCTGGGCCGAAAGACAAAAGGAGAACTACAAAGATATCACCAACAAATCTAAAAATTCCTAACGTTTCGATCGTTCGCAAGTCCGACCTGTAGTGACACTGCCACATGGCTAGCGGACGTTCTATTAATAACATTTCAAGTCCGAGAAAAAAATGCAACATCAGTATCAGTAGCATCCTGTGGTTCAGAAGCGTAAACAAATTTCTCATTCGGAAGATTCTGCACTAACCTGAGCGAAACATAACAGCCGACTCAAAAGCGGCTATAAAAACGCGCGAAACCAGTTTCTCTCGATAATAGGATCCACTCAACTGTTCACAATCTACTGGAAGCTAAATATGTGCTCTGTTCCATCTAATTTAGGCGGAATCCCTGGTGTGCAATGAGCTTGGTCTGCGGCATCGTCGTCGTGGAGGCAAGATCTTCGTTGCGTGCTCAGCGCATACTCTCGCCAGCCTCAGCTTCTAAAACCAGGATTTCGCGAGTGGAATCAGTGCAACATGATGAGGATGCGGTGTCACCACAATGGCAGCCAAATGCACATCCCTTCCTTCTTCTGTTTCAACAACGGAGTTTCTGTTGGTTCGGCCTCCTTGACGATCTCTCTAGGCTCTGAAGAGAAACCACTTCCACGACGAGACAAACACACACCTCGCTTGTTGAGGCACTTTATCTTCCCATTCTGCAACGGCCTTTCACAAAACCACATGGCAACAAGTTCCTTTGCAACAGGTCAGTGATGCGCCACTCGAAAACATTTGAGACTTGCAGTTGAGCCAATCTTGCTTTAAGCTTCTTAGCACCAATAATATTGAGTTAATATTATATGATTTTTTATTACAGTGTGAGACAAAAACTTAACGAGATAGTGATTTTATTTTTCAACAAATTATTAAAAAAAACCTTAAGTATTGTGTGTTATTTCATTTACCATTTCCCATGGTTTTATATTAATTTTGACAACATTTAAATTCTTAAACAAACATATTTTTCTAAAGATTTTTTAGTTTTTGTAATGATTAGATAATAAATAAAAGGTTAGAAAATTAATGTATAAATGAAACTATACTAAAAATAACTACAAATAAAATATATACAGTTATTGGAGAAGTTTATATATATATATATATATATATATATGCATACTATTGTGCATATTTTAAGGTGCATAATTTAAAGGAGGTTTTGTAAAAAGATAATTAGGGTTTTTTTATTTATGCATCAAAATTATTTGTAATTAGCAATCAACATCAAATAAAGTTATCAAATCTTCTTTAATATGTTTTGTATATTTTTTGATATAAAAAATAAAATATTTATATTTTACTTTTGAAAATTATAATTAATAACTAACACATTAATTTTATTTCAATATAAAATAATTAATGTTTGATAATTTAAAATATATATATGTTACAATATTTTGATATTTTATTGACTAATTAATCAATAAATAATTGATAAATATTCAAATGTTATATGTTAAATAAAAAAGTGAAAACAATTGTCACATAACATGATTTAAATTGATATATATATATATATATATATATATATATATATCAAAATATTAAACTATAATAAACATAATTACTAATCAAAATATAAATAGAATATAATGTATTCAGAAATTCTCATATATATGTATATTTATATAAAATAAAAATAAATTTATCCTTTATTTCTTTTGTAAACTAATTATATATATATATATATATATATATATATATATATATTTTAATGCTACTTAAAATTACTAATGAACATATTATAATTTACTAAAGAACTATTAGCATTTAATAACCTTGCTTAATATATACTTATGAGATATATGAATGTTATTTTAATTATCTATATATATATATATATATATATATACACAAATATCTAATAAATAAAATAAAAAATAATATGTTATTTCGAATAATTAAAAAAATGAATAAATAGAATTTTATATTAAAAAATATAATTTGCCCATAGATTTTATAATATTATATAGTATTTTACATTTTTATTTTTTATTGTCAAATTTACAAACCACTAAAAATCCAAGCTTAAAAAAAATTCTTCATTCAAATCAATGTATTAATAAAAATCATGAAAAAGTTTTAAATTTGGTATGTATAATATAATTATTTGTATAATACATGCTTAAACTCATAAATCACTATTCTTATTATTGTTATGATATATGGTTATTATGTTAAAAATTGAAATTTTTAATTAAATTCATTGTGCAATGGCTAAAAAATAGATCTCTACGGCTCATATAAAATAGTAACATTTGATTGTTGGATTGAATGTAACACTGTCAAGTGAAAGAACTAAATTTTCTATAAAATAAAAGCAAAAAATCTATTATATAAAATAGCTCAGGGATGATAAACCAAAAGAGACAAAAACCATCTTTGATTGGTTGTATATTTCATTATATTGATCAAAAGTGAAGCAATAACTTAGCTTTTAATCAATTGCATATCAAAATTTTGCATATTATTGCTATATATTGCAGAGAGTAGCACTACAAGATCACTTTGTGTGGAGCTTGCAAGCACCATAATATGTAATGGCACAGAGTTTTATGCCATATGAAGCTTCAAGTTTACAACACAAAATTTGTAATGTTTTTTTGTTGCCAACAATATGAGTTTTAGCTAGTAAAATAAAATAAAAATATTATAAATTCTACTAGCATATGTCACTACAATCAAAATTTGGATTGGCTTAGTAACAATCAATGAAATCTAGCTAGCATGTGATTAGCTCAAAGAGCGGAGGCACTTGATAGAAGTTTGTTGCCTTCAATCATATCACCTTCACCTACCTATAGTGCTTTCCCTATATAATACCAGTCCCGCCTCAGCCTCTTCTTCTTCCTTTCTTATTACTATGTATTATAAAAATCTTCTTATTCAATCGATTAGCTCTTCTATTGTGGGCCTTTGGATTACAATTGCAACTTAGATGAAATTCTCAATCACTCATTGGATTTCTATGAACGGAGAGAGAAAACATAAGAAACCACAAGAGTAAGCAGGTTGGAGGGATGCAAGTTGGGAATTCAAAGCTATTCCTCAATAGGCTCATTCAGATCCTAAATTTAAATACATGAGTATTAAATTTTTTTCAAGGGCTGCCTCTAAATTCTACTTTTTAGTGATCACACTTACTTCAAATAATTCTTTTTTGTTATTGTATACAATAGCATATAGTGTACATGATACTTTTGTTTTGTAGAAGAATTCTTGCAACTCATAATATTTTTATGTAGTATTTGAATTTTTAATTAAATATTAAATATATAAATATATATATATATATATATTACATAAAACTAGATTTAAAAATTATAAGTATAATTATTTAGATGATTTTAAAATATATATATTATATATATATTATTTCAATAAAAAAATATTTTAAAATAAATGGATTTTAGTTTTATGATAACAAAATAGTTCAAATTTAAGATAATAATCTTTAAAATTTAGTAATGTATAAAATATCTTAGTTTTGAGTTTAATATATATATTTTATGACAAAGCTTTTTAGAAGCTTCATAGATTCATATTTGACTTTATACATGTTTATAGTTGATTGATAAGTTGGAAACTTGACCAAATAAGCCATGTATTACACATATAGATAGCTTGTGATACAAGCTAACAATGTGGCGTGCATATAGGAAACTTACCTTGCAAGTTGCAAATTGTGTTGCAAATTGGATATGTGTTGGAGGTCTTGTAGAACATTGCCACATAACTCCTAATTAGATAATATATGTAGAGCCAAGAGTGAAGCCTTTTTCACTCTTATCAACACCTTTCTAATCTTTAATCTTATTTTAAGACCTTTTTTCTTCTTGTCTTTGAGAATAGCCACTCTTATTTCATATTATAACAGATTTGAGTGCTTTTTCAATCTTTTTGAGTGACACAAGAATTTATTGATCTTTTAGTTCTTTAAAATTCATATCCTTGACATAATATTAGTCTTTTTAAGTATTTTAGTTTTTATAATTTATAATATTAATATAATTTATTTTTAAAAATAATTAAATAATTAACTATTTAAATTTAAAAAATTAAATATATTTTTCATTTTTAGCACTATAATTACGCTAAATGCACCTTTATACTTTTATTAAAATATTGTGTTCATTAAATAATGTACAATAAAATTGAATTAAAATTATATTTTTTAGAAAATCACTTAAAAATAAATAAATAAATGATATTTTATTTTTAAATTTTAATTTTTTTTTTATATTTTACAAAATTCAGCATCCATGTCAATGTGGATGAGTGCGGGCCCAATGAGGAATTGATTCTGAGTTCCCAACCTACCACTCTCCATATTGCCCCGCCTCCAACCTGCCCGCCCCCTGGTTCCCCTATGTTCCCTCCCTCCGTTCCCAGAAAACCGATTGGCGGTTGAGATTGCATCTGAGCGGCAGCTGCGATCCGACGGCCCACGATGGCGGAGCCAGTCGATTGAATATGGAGGTTTCTGCAACACGATTCTGCGAGGCTCCTCCTCCTCGCGATTCCGTGTCGCCTTGCGGCTCTTCAAAAGGCGCACCTTCTCCCGAGCTCAGAGCATTTGGTCCTCACCACGGTAGCCATGACCTCCAAGAGGTGCTTGGTGCACAAAATGGCTCCACCTTACGAGTTGTAGTGTGGTGTCAGTGGGCGCAATCAGTGCCGATGTAGTACCTTCAGTCTGAATCGAGAGGTTCGATTCCGTTGCCTGGGCTGGTGGTTTGCCTGCCTGCCTGGCTGAGGTCCAATGGCCGTGAATGTGGTCGGGGTATGGTCCATGCCTCAACTTAGCTTCCGGTTGCGGCAAGTCGCGAAGGGGAAGCAATGGCAGATTTTTCAGCAGTTCATTTTGTTTTTTGTCTTAATTATCTGGTTCGCGATGGTGACGATCTCTTCGCTCTTCACTCCGTCTACAGGTATTTGGAGTTATGCCCTGTGTCGGGTTTGTTATAGATGAGAATGGAGTACAGAATGATGTCGAACTCAAAGTGGACGTTAGATTGTTGAAATTTGTTGCGCCTCTTTTCTACTGTGAGAGTGTATGAGAGAAGACCGAAGCTGGAGAACCACGCGGAAGTGGATGATGCTCAGCGTAGTAGGTACTCAGAGGATTAGGTTACTTTAAATACAATAACTCTGGTGTTTTTGTTTGCTTGCTGATGCAGTATTCAGATTATGTGGGAAAAGCCTTCAATGACATTCGTTTTTTCTTTTCTCCCAGGTACTGAAATTGGTTCCAGCACCGCTGGTACGAAAATGAAGCCTCTTCCATTGCTCCACGCGAGGAAACTTGCATGGATCCTATGATAGTGAATCTGTGGAGGCGATTTCCCATCCAGACATATATTTAACTACATGCAACATAAGCCAGCTACAAAGCTTTTCCCCACTTGGTATTTCACTCCTTTATTTTGTCTCGTTCCTGTTCTTGCCGATGACCTTGCGACTCTTTAATTCAGAATTAGGTGACAGTAGCGACGACACTGCGAAGCCAGCTAATCATGGGCAGTGGATGGTAGTGCTATAGCTGAGATGAGGGACGAACAAGCGCATTTGAAGAATGAGTCCACCCTGGCCCATGACTAAAGATCGCCATGCGCAGAGAGTAGACTAGGGTTTAGATAATCAATTTATCGACCTCGCCATAACAGCGAAGTGTTGCAGAAGATAGAAGAGCCACTCCAGCAACGTGTTTTGCTTGCGGATAAATGCTGCAGGAAAATTACATTCATTGTAAAAAATTTGGAACTGCCATTTTTAAATGCAGGGTAGTCAGACATTGGATCTCTATCCTCAAAGTACCAACACCTCTCTGTATGAGTTGCAAATTTTCCTTGTCCTCTTTCAAATGACACTTCGACAGCTTACATATCCCACACCTGAAAGTCATGATTACTTACAAGATAATAGCGCTACAATCTGACTTTCTTGAATTCGAAAGTGCAGAATAGCAGTCCACTCATTACCTCTGCTTCACCATGTCACAGCATTTATCTGCACATGTCACAGCATTTATCTGCACATCTTTGTTTACCACTGACACCAACGTTCACTACCGCATCTTACCAAAATAAACATTCCCATTTACACTGTTCATAACGAATAATACGAGCAGAGAAATATAAATTCAGTCTACAGTTGAATCCACGCCTACAGAGTCATCTTCATTCCATTTGTTGACACAATTGTCCCTCTAGCACGAATGCTCTTGGTACCATATTCCTAAATCCTGTCCACATGGCGTCCACCAGCGTACTGTTGCTACGCAATATGTGTTGATTGAATGCCAAATTACTCTCTTATCCAGAGGTCACAAACGCTTGAGCAAAACTACACTATCCGTAGCACAACCTAACCAGAACTACAGCAATTGCAATAGCACCTCCATGTCTCTAGACAACTTGTCGGTAATCGCAGCAGGGGACGTAAATGCAAGTACTGCTTAAACGTTCAGCACTAAGGAGGTGGCGCTCATGGCGTTATAGATTAACGTTCCTTGTATAGGAGTGAACTGTCTGGTCAACAACTGCAAACAGAAACAGTGTTCAGAACCATGGAAATCGTGTAATACACTCGACAGAGTACGAATCGACACATACGACGATGCTATCATCGTGAAAACCAACAAATTTGTGGGAATGAGGTACAGTTTGACACCTTGATGCATTCTTGAGAAGCAATCCCGCCCACGATTGATGCTACACAGTGTATTTCGCTTGCTCCGAATCGGCAGACTTCACTAACTACGTCTTCAGGGAGACTAGCTCCACCTCCTCCCATGTCATTCAATAATCCTACTGCTAATGACTTCAACCTCGATACATCCTCCTCAATTTCTCTAATGCACGCGAACATTCCCACATCAAAAAATAAATAAAAAGAAAAAAGAAAAGAAAAGAAAAGAGAAGAAAAAAGCGACAAATAATTTGAAGACTCAACAGTTTAGGATGAGCACGTTATGTGCGCAATTCAAGTAATATTCACCGTAGACCAATTCACAAAAACTACAGTACCTGATCACGCAGAAATCTCATCTATAACAAGAGTCAAGTTGCATCAATCAAAAACGACCATGAGATCTAAAATGCAGTAAAAGCATACCCGTCAAAGGCACCCGGAAATCTGTTGTAAGTTGCAGCGAAGTGGTCCACTGCCCGAAGTAGAATATACAAAGCTGGATGACTGCACAAAAATTGCTCGAAAAAAAACCTTACATCCTTACTGAGAGATTGCTTATAACTCAATATAATTTTCCATGCAAGAAACATCTCAGGATCAACGCTTAAGATTCCATTCGATCATTAAAAAACCTGACATTTGAAATACTGGGTGGCAGATTGGGAACAATGAAATAGCTCTCTTTACCTGCTTTCTTCAGCTGCAAGAAGTCTCTGAAGTTCAGACCCTGACCGTGAGCTATACTCATCGCTTAACATTTTACATCTCAATACCTGGATAAGATTTGACAATGTTAAGAGCTGCCTCAACAATGTTGAAGACGCTGATGTAATCGGCAATTAACATACTGTAACAAACCATCTCCAAACCCATTATCCAAATCAACGACCGAAGCAATCGATGAGGCCCATACCCTTAGATTTCGAGAATTTTTGCAAAACAGTTTTATTGTACTTCTGGGGATTGGAGAAGAGTCCCGGCCTATTCGCTTCAATATACGGGCCACATATCCTTCCACAGCTGTTACATCAGCCTCAGCTCGTGCTTGATAAATTTTTTGTAATTTAATATAGTAGCTGCAACATCAAGAAAGACAATGCCTTCAGTAGACAACTTTTGACTGTGAAAGTTTCCATCACTTCGCTTACTAAATATTACAAGGTGCGATTCCTATCATATGTGATGAGGAAATGTGATAGATGCGAAGGAACTTATATGAGATTTTAAAGCATTACTCTGTAAAGGAATGCATATCTGGAATTGCACCATCTAGAGGAGGTTCTCCTTGACCTTCATTTGCCATGAATTGCTGGAAAAAACTCCAGAACCAATTATCAGAATAGTTTTAAAAAAGATACGAAAGCACACACTCAAAATATTGAAAAGAACAGGATCAAGGTTCAAGGTTCAAGGTTCCATGGAATAAGTTTATCCACATAATAAGTAGGATCTTCAATGTACAATTACAGCTGCATAAGATGTACCGTTTAACAGTCTAAAATTCCATAATAGAAATTTCAATTGATATAAAAGGATTGGGTCCTAATGTAATCAGAAAACCAATGCAAGAAAGAAGTAACAAACGAACCTTGAGGGCAGCAACCATGATCCAGAAGTCAGAAGACGAAGCTTCGACTTCGGCTGCCTTATCTTCCAAAACAGCTCGAAGTTGCGAACCTGTCACGTATCAAGAACTGAAAATTTAACACTGACAAAATCATAACAGAATCGAAACAAAGACATAACCTTGTAAACACCCGATGGGTATATATACATATATCTGTATGTAGATACACAATGAGAAACAGCACTTATCATCTTGTGTAAGGAATCTGAACGCAGGAAGCTTACTGATCCCAGGAGGAAATAACATGATGTATGCACTTTTCAAGGCTTCGGTATAATTATCCTCTTCCTCCACAACCCTCCTCCTGGCGGTGATCGCTTCCTATATTTTTGGCCAAGACCACAGAGAGATCTTCAGAAGCAGAAGTTCTGAAAGCGTCTGAAATCAACAAAACGTACACTCTATCACGGATTATCGTGTGGTTATATGCCTCCACATTACAGGTGCCTTCTAAAGTTTGAAACAGCTTTCAGTTTCAAATGCTATCGGTGATGACATCTGTTGATGATATGATCCATTACCTTGAACAACCTCACATTAGCTGGCAACTTGCCACCATGTGCCTTTTTCCAATCTTCTGCAATTTTGATCAGGAGTATTGCAAATGGAATGTGCTTGTGAATATTATTATCTGGAGTATCAATATCAAATTCGTCAACATAGCTGCACAACAAAAGGTGATGAGGAAGGTCAGCCTAGCAGGAACTACAGGTATTATATTATTTAATCAAATCGAAAATAGTGAAAACGTAAGAAACTCTTGAAAAAACTTTTCTGCAACAAAATCAGTAAAGAAAAGAAAGAACGTAGAATGGTCTTTCATATCATGGCAACCGCAGAAGAATAGATATACATACACAATTATCATGCCCCTAAAATTACGGCACATACGTCTGCCAATCTAGGTGCTGCACAAGCAGAATATAAACACGCACTTCCAGCATGAGTAAGCATCTCCTTCGATCAGAGAATCATCTGAAGTAATTTTGACGATTTTATACCTTTGAAGTTCAGGCCAAGGTATGTGAAGCCGAAGATCCTCCACTCTGTTATCTGGCTTAGACTCAATTATAACATGCTCCTGTGAAAGAGTGGACATAAAGTGGGATTATACTCCTGCGAACATAGTCTCAATCTGAACCCTGAATAGATAAACATTCTGACGTTTTGAATACAGCTTAGGTTAACACGTAACTCCAAACACCTTTCACACCCCGATATTCTTGGTACATTTACTTTAGAATAACCAAAACTGAGGCATACAATGACTCAGACAAGGAAGTATGCGAGCTGAAGTGGAAGAATTACCGACAGGTCTACGTACCCTCACACTAATTCGAACAAGTCCCGCCAAGCCATACGAACGAGCAATCACAAGCATGACATTGTGTTGTCGACATATCTCCTCGAGTTTCAGTAAATGTGTCTCAGTCATCTGGCCAAGTCCCAATACAATAACTTCACAAATAAATGATATGATTACTTCAAAAACGATCTCATCGTTTCCAAAACCAAATGAGGTAAAAGTTATATAACTTGGGATTTTGAAAACATCTAATCCCTGCACATCAGAAAGCTATGTGATCCACTTAATTCACATTATCTCGATGAATGGTAAGGTGAGCTACATCATCAATTACACCATATTAGGAATCCTGGATGACGAACCATTTGGATACCGACCATGCAACAACAACTTTCAAAAGAACGTCTAACAATGAACATAAACATTTACAGGATAAGTAAACAGTTACCTGGGTTGCAATGACAAGAGTAAACTGTGCGAAAAATGTCGGGTTGGATTTCAATAACGCTTCTGGAGACTCTTCAACAAACTTAGCAACGACTGATTCATTGAGTTCCTGAAGCAACGCACAGACACTCTTTGCTTTGGATTGCCCCATACTTTCCCAGTCAACTGTAAAATGCATCAACAGACATCCTGAAGGTTAGTACAAACAATCTCCAAAGCTTCGTTTACCAGCCAAAGTGATGGTGTAAAAAAACTTTGCTACAAAAATATAGAACCCTCGATCCCACAACGAAACAGAAGAGGCTAAAAGGATATCCCACAGTCATCATGCCACAAAGCTGAATTAGGGAAGAGCAGGAATGTGAAAGGAAACTCACCTAGGTAATTATTGCCCAAGTCCGAGACAGAGACTTCGGATGCATCCACAATTGTGAACGATCCTATGCCTCCAAGAACTAAATTCTTTAGAGCCTCTGAGCCCGTAGGTCCACAATTGAGAACACAGACGCGTGCTCGTTCCAGCGCAGTCTGTCCATGCTCGCCCCATATCCTGCACAAAGCAGCACCAAGCCACCTTGTTTTTAATTTCACTCAAATTACGTCACATATTACATACTCTCTTCTCAGTAACGAATAACATCGCTATGATCCGAAATGTAACTTCACAGTTTGCAGCAATGATATTACTCACATCAACAGCCGCACAGCAATCCAAATGAACTACAGCTAAAAAATACAACCTCTACTTGACATGACGTTAAAAGACACAATTTAACGCCCAAATTCACCAAGAATTGAAGTTTGCGAGTTGCTTCACACCACCGTAAGCGATCACATCCACAACAGAAAAGCGCAACACCGCACAACAGAATTCCGTCACTCCATACCTGAGCTGACGATCATACTTGTTGTTACGCTGCGCCATCGCCACCACCTTCCGCCAAATTTCAAGCTAAACCAAGCAGCACCTCAGAACCGAAACCCTCAATTTCTGAAAGAACTACTCTGCCAAGCGATCAGCTGCTCAAAATTTTCGCGCACTATCAATCCAACCATAAAATTACTTATACACTTGCAAACGCACAAATTACTTATACAACAATCACGCACAAATCACCTGCATATCTTTCGCAAATCACCCATACCTTGACTCCAGACGAAAACACACAATCGTTCTCTAGGGAGCGAAAATGCGATGTGGTGCCATACCTTAAAATTGTCAGAAACTGGCGAAATTTAACGCCAGTACTGAGTCTCCGTTCATGAAACAGGGAAGAGCAGGGCACGCTTGATAGAATTCGAATGCCGGCCCTTTTCTACCGCTTCAAACCCACAGCGTCAGAGTCCCGCTCTCGTATGGATGAGATGCATCTATGTTCGTTCCTTTCGACAACTGTACATTCATCGGATGAATGAGATACAACCTCACAGCCCCAAGATGGAACTCATGTGGGAGTATGTACTGCAGACTCATTCAATAAATTAGGAATCCTTCAGGCTTTGGCAAACATAGAAACTCCTTCTAATTTAATACTTGTATCAGAAAACATAGTTAACATCACTTAAAATATACTTCCCGTCTACAGATATGATCCAAGTACAAATGTTCATGATTGAAATTTCGTAATTTTTTTATTCTCAAAACACATTTTTACTTATTTACAGGTTTACTGATTTTTTGGAGTATTTTTATTTATAAGTATTTAGGCTAGACAGATTTTTAATTCATATTCTATGGTTCTGAAAAAAAAAAATTCTAATGGTTGCTCTTGTCAAATTACCCAACAAGTTATTTTTGGAATATTCCACCATTTCAGACAAAAGTTATTGACATTTATATTATTTATTGATACTTGACTGCTCTTATATTATGGGACCAATGCAATTTGTGATAAGTACATTGTTACTATTGATTTTTTAAATTTTATAAAATTATGTTTTTAAATTTTGGTAATGACAAAAAAATAATAATAACAAAAATGTCTAACATATTGGTTGGCCATTGCTACAAGCTTTTCATTACCTAAATAATATTTTCTAAATTATACAATCTAAAAACCTACATTAGAATATAATATTCAAAAAATTTCTTTTTGAGGTTTTTAGTATCATTTTTTTTCTTTTCTATATTAAAATACCATTAAATAGAATGTAAATTAAATTAGTCAATTGTCAATAAAATATCAATATGCCTCAATTTTGGAAGCCTTTTTAGGTGTAAAATTCTTAGAATTAATCTATATACATATTATCATGATTACTTTGTCATATGTGTGTGTATATATATATATATATATATATACACACTAGTGGAAACCCATGTTGTTGTCACAGACTCAAAATATTGTTAGTTCACATTCAAAACTCCAACAAATAGAATATGCCAAAGAGGGTATTCAAATTGACCACCTTCACAATGCCATTGTTGAAGTCATTGTTATTATCAAACAAGCATTTGCACCCCTCTTCAAACTACAAATCCACATATATTATTTACTTTTCATCAACTTGCTACATGTTATTAAAGGGACATACTTATAATCACTCTTGCAAATTAAGGTCAATACAGAAAGTTGTTGTAAAAATGAGGAATATGAACTAGAGGTGAAAGTTTTTCAAGTTCTACAGAAGCGGTTAAGATGGATTACTTTTTCGAGACCATCGAGGTTGTGGCTTGTGGTCAATATGAATGCACCATACACCTTTTCATCCTAAAAACCACCACATTATAAAAATTAACATAATAAATTATCCTACAAGATTACAAACTAGAGTTAACATAGCTCATGTCAACTTCATTCTCCCAACTTCAAATCATGGAATCAAAAATAGATAAAATTATTGAAAAATGGTGATTAAAATTTTACAAGATAGGATGATAAAGATCTAAGAACATTTTATCAACTTTAGTTGTTTTTGCATCAAGTTAGCCATGTCCAACCAACAATTCAATACTTCTACTTACATAACTATTCACTCATTCTCAGATGATTGCAAACATGGTAGAGGTAGAAAGAAGAATGTTTTGTCCTACCCAGATGTTCTTTACCCCATTGGATGAAGCAATTTTGATGATGATTTGCAATAATAAACACTTAATCAATAACATGTTCATGCCTAGTCTAATTCAATGCTTAGTTCCACATTAACAAATCTATAGAGTTGTATCAAAACAAACAAAATAAAAGAAATAGCTCCTCCAATCAATGGTCTCAACTCCAAAATAAAATATCTTTAATGAATAAATGAATCACCAACCTAAATAGCTTCTTTTGACCAATAACAGCCATTACCAAATAAGACAATATTGAAGCCTATACAACATAAAAAATAGACAATGCAAATGTTCTATTCAATGCAATAAATAATACAAATGCTCTAATTACAAAATGCAATCCGAAATGGTCACCAAGCCTTATATTCTTGTGTTGCTCCTCCATCTCTTCCTCCCCATTTTATTTTTATACTCTCCTCACATTGCCCTCCTTGAATTAACAATACAAATTTGCTAGTGGCAAACAAAATTCTTGTGAGGCGAAACTCCAACCGATTATGCTTTGAGCTTGCATTGTTCTCAATACCATGCAATTGTGCATAGTCTTTTGATACAATCACTGTTAGCTTGGTTTTGTTAAGGCCTTGTAAATTCGAATTTTGATTTACTTTTGATGAAAACAATAATGCATGCACCCAATTAGAGAGAGTTTTTGTCTCCTCTTATTTATCTCTTATATTTGTCTATCATGAATTGTTTTGTATGAAAGATAAATAAAGAGAGAGAATCATATTTCAGTGCTTCACATTTCATTTTCGTCAAACATTGACACCATAATTTAGAATAACTTCTTTCAACTACCTTCAAAGGGTGACTTTTATAAATTTCATGGTCAATGTCTACATAATTATGTTCATTGCAAATATTTCAATAATGGACTTCTAGATCAATTATTACGATTATAGTCGGCGCAGTTTTTCTGCCACACAGTAATCGTACTACAAAAACTTATGTAATAGAGCTTCATGATTCACCAGATTACTGAAAAACTCCGCTAATCAAGTGCCGCAGTCTCAACTACATACGATTCACAAATAGTTCCGCTTGGAGTGCAGATATCAAAGCAAATATCTAAGAAACTTGTTGTTTAGCTCTGTTCTCACACAACTTTTGTTTTACTATTATTTACAATTCTAAAATTATTTCAGAACAGAAATACGATTTGGTTGCAAAAGACGTTGGTCTAGGACCTGACATCCACTTCATGTTTGGATCTTACTAATTCTTTGATGCACCATGCAAGAGATTCCTTTTCAAACATTTCACATTCAGTGTCATTCACCAGGACGACATAACCTCCATTCACCCATGCAAAGTTGAACACACACTTCACACATTACCAACATCAACACAAACCGATCCTACAAAATCCCAACCTAAACTACCCGGCATGCAATTCTTTGGTCATAACGTAGCCAGTTTTCGCTGAAACTATCCTAGTCTGCGTATGTCGACTTCATTCCGTTCTAGAAATTTCAAGTCTGCTCGTCCGTACAACTACATTGCACACACGCACACAACCCCCCCCCCCAAACCCACTCTCTCATCCCTGCACATCGAACACTCAATCCCATCCCATCCCATCCCATGCATTCAGACATCCCACACTGCATCGCATACACTACACCCACTTCACCATAATCACATCATATTCCCTCGGAGCCACACTGCTCCACTTTCCAATACCTACATCCACATTCACCACCTACACTGCTACGCCACGCTCTTCACAGCTGCTCATCGCGCTCACCATCCTGCCCCTGCCTATCGCGAACCCTCGTGTCCCATCCGGCATGCGAGGTCCTGGCGGCGGCTTTCCTATCATCTCGCTCACCACATGTAAACCGTCCCGAGGTGGTGTCCCCACGTGCGTGTTGTAAAACTGCTGACCGCGACCCCGACCACCTCCACCCGTTCTCCCACCTCGGCCTCGACCTCTTCCCTTCTTGTTCACATGATCTCCGCCCTCACCCTGCAACCATGCACACCAACACACCTATCTCCTCAACATCCTCTCACGTTTTCCCCTCCCACCCATTCTCCCACTATCCCCGCACACCAACACACTGCCTCCCGCAACTACCAAACCACCACCCGCCACGAAAGGACAAACGCCCACTCTAATCCGCACATCGCGTAGCTCACACAACTCACCATAACCTCGTCGCCACGATCTGCGTGATGGTTGTGGCATGTTGATTCCCCACCAGCCTTGTCGCGAGATCTGTCGGCGTCCTTCTCTGCCTTGTCACCGTCTTCATCATCCATCACGAGATCGATGCCGTCCATACTTGGTTTGCGCGTCCTCTGATGAGGGGCCTGCTGGTAATTTTGTTTGTTCTGAAACTGTGCACACGCACACATCTCCCATCAGGACCTTCAGCGTGCAATACTCAAAAGCTTGTCGACCGGGGAATAGATATATTCGACGCACAGTCGAACTTGGAAAGCACCGCAATTATCCAAAATGTAAGGTATACATGACTGTATCATGTACTGCTACAGTGGCAACACAAAGACTCCCATTGTACTTAGTTGAGCTATAGGAAATTTGAACGCAATTACCTGACGTTTCAGCAGCAAACGAACACGTAGTCCACTTCTCCAGTTTCTCTCATCTGTCAGCTCAGTCACCTGGGCAGAAGAAGTTACCTTGTAAGCATTCGCGCCCGACTGCAAGCGCTTTGACCCCTCGCAAACTTAGTACAGGAATCTGATTCAGTTCATGATACTTACGAGTCCGTTTGTGGAGAGTTTTGTTCAAAAGCCAAGACGGTTTTCTAGAGTTTCATGAATATATGTTAAACGAAAAGCACGTATGCGAGGATTAGAAAACTTTTAGCATATCAATACTTACAGCTTTCTCAGCAAGCTCCACGGTCTCGTATTCCACCAATGCGTGCAACTGTAACAGAAGTTAATCATCTGTCATGTACCTACTCACGTCCAAGAGCGGCCTAGATTTTAAACAAATCTAACTACAACGCCCATGGTCTCTCCTGTTATGATGTTCTCTATTCATGTAACATTTACATCAAATTAGTGCATGCGAACATTTCAATAACAAGAGCAAGGTTCAAATTGCAATCGGTGTTAGTACATAGTAAGCCCTCACCTTATTGCTAACTAGCATGTCACTCTTCGTATGCCTCCCTCCAGCTCCATGGGTCCCAATGGCAGCATCTGGTGAACAGATCCGAACCAACTTGACAGTGCCCACTTTACCAAACAACTGTTCCATGCTTTCAATGGAGTGCTCCTCAGGCAAGTTCTCAGCTACGACAGTGCGTGCCTGCTCAAATACGCCAAAACAGATTATCAGAAAACCCAGCAGTGAAACGAAGTTATCACTGAAAAAAAAAAAAAAAAAAAAAAAAAAAAAAAAACCCAAGGGGGGTGAGAGAAGTTGACGAGAAATAATTTCGGATGTGAAAAATGATAGTCTGCCACGCTACCATGATAAGTGTGACATCACATACTGCCGACAACCTCGAGGTATAAAAACTAGGTGAATAAATTACGAGATAATGAGTAAGTTAGAGAATCGATAAAATAAATAAATAAATAAAACTCATACCTGCACTTCCTCTGAATCAACATCTGGAAGTGGGAGAGCTCGCCGGACCTTTTTCCCATCCTCGCTTAGAACCTGATTCAACCAGCATGTTTACCATGTGAATGAAATGTTGGCGAAGTTTCTAATTTCTTCGAAACAGAAGGCGCAATGACGCAAATTCATAAACGCAACCATGAAATAATATAAAACTGTGATTCACATAGTTAATATCCAACTGAAGTCCTTCCGATAGCACACCTCGTTAAATATTGTTAACAAACAAACAATGAAGATTATGTTTCAAAACTATTAGGACAATCATGCACTCACCAACCGAGTCGACTTTCGCAACGCAGCTGCCACAACTCCGTGATTCTTCATCAGGTTCTTGATCTTCCTGAATGACGCCACCACAGGAATTGGGACTGTGACCACCAACCAATTCTTAGTATCACTAGAAATCTCATCCCCCAGGGACGGCAAAGGCTAAAAACGACAAAAGAATTCTCTCTGAAGAGGCAAAAATACATCCATAAAGACGCTGTGATTAACACTACAAGTAACAAACCGATAAGAATCACATACCAAAGCCCTCTGCATCCTTCTTCACAAACTTCATGAGGTAGGTGTCTGTTGAGAGGTTCGCATCACTAAAGTAGTACTCCACCTGGCACGCAATGCAAGATGCGTTAATATTTCCCATGAATGTATTAGCATTCTCTGTTTATAATCGTTGAACGCATGCAAGAAGAAAATCATCACGATCACTGAAGCATGTATTCAACACAACGAATAACATCAGTAATCTAGTACTCTACTCTACCACATGGGACGAGGTATACGATAATCCAACTAATTACATATTATGAATGATTCCGACAGTCGAAATAAAAAGGCTACCGCAAAAGAACCACGGAGGTTGAGGAATAAGACTCATATTCCTTTCTGTCAATCAAAAACAACTCATTCAACGCGAGTTGTCACGTGTAGAGGTTGTCCAAGTGGAAACTTCTACAGCAAAGATAATGCGTGTAAGATTCTACTTCGAAGGCCACAACTAAAACCACTAAATTATCCACAAGGTCATACTAGAGCTTCAAGGAGAAAATGCGCATTGTTCGCAAGCTCTACTTTACAAATGAACCTCCCGACAAAAGTAATTCAAAAGTTCGAAACAAACATACTTGCTTCAATATTTTATCCTTCAGCTCCTCCGTGACGATTGGTTTAACAGGCTGTGACACAGAGGTTGAAGCTGCCTGAGTCTGGTCGCACTCCTCACTATGCTCCACTGCCACCGTAACATCGGAGCAACCTGTGCCATCTTTTGCGAGAACCCGATCAACACTAGGTCGAGACTCTGCGACATGTTCCTCAACCTTGGCAACGGCAACCGCCGGCACGGCATGGATAACGCCAGACGGTGGAGTTACAAGCACTGGAATCACAGACGATGGAGAAAGAACCAAAGACGGGGCACTCAACCCTAATTCTTGAGCACGCCTTGGTGCCGGTAAAGACGTAGAAAAAGCTATCTGCAGTCCCTTCGGAACAAATTCAGGAGCTCCTGCATTCAGCTTCGACCCCGATAAAGATCGACTGAGAAGAGGAACCTTCCGGTCATTCTTGCCACGTCTATAATCTAAGATCTGGTATTCACATCGAGTGGTCAGTACAAAAGATATATATAGATAGACAGATAGATAAATGCGTAGCAAAGAACAAAAAAATAGACGTTTCTTCGATGCAACACTCAGAATGGCTAGTGAGCACGTAGGGCACAACTGTGAAGGCATGTATAGTGCTCTGTCACCATGGGAACCGAGGAGTGTAAACAAAGACTAGGACACGAGAGCGTCGCAAGAAATAGCAAACACCTGAAACAAACCTCAAATTGGCTCAGCACAAATTGGCTCAAAATCAAATGCTCAAAAGATCTACTGTTGCAAATTAAAATTCAATGCACAGAATGACTACGCATTTTCTTGCTAACTGTCAAAGTCGCGATGAAAAGTTACGCAATCAAACCAGTTGTAACGGACAAGCAGTAGACAGAATGAAAATGAGAACTAGGAAAGGCTACAAGAGAGATGGAAATACTCACAAGGTATGCAACCATGAGGAACAGACCAAACAAGGGAAAGAAATTTAAAATTAAATTATTAAAAAAAAAAAAAAAAAAAAAAAAAAAAAAACCAAGAAGCCAAGACTCAGGACAACCAGAATTCCCTACCCAGAGGCATTTCACGCAGTCCCATCACCAGCAACTTGTCCAAAACCTGCTTTTCCGATTCAATCTGATACTTTGCCAAAGCTATTCTGCCTGACATCAGCGAAAACTCTCGAATCACTCATCTCCCAAACACATTCCCCGTAAACCTATGCCACGCATACGATCTCTTCAGGATCGAAACTGCCATCGCCAATCCCAACCACGACGGCACTCTATTCCATCGTCAAATCCACCTCACACCCACTACAACCAGGGCCTACATCACAGGCACCGCTGATCACGACCTATTCCAACCGAAATCGCAGATCTCGCCACCGCAATTCCAACCTGAGGCTCCACACTGCTCTCTCAACAACAGACAATCCTCACATCACACACCTCATACTCACAATCTACACTCAAACCCCGTACATCGAAGCCCATCACACAATCAAAACCACCAGCAACCAAGCCACACCTGAGGAGGTAAGCCGCCGTAGGCAGAAGCCGTCGAATGCGTGCGGCGGAATTTGACCACATCAATGGGCGGGGTACCCATGCCAGAGGCAATCATGGAATAAGCGGAGAGAGGCGCGCCATCCCTGCGGTCCTGGTGAAGCTGATTCTGCTCCTTCATCGTCGTCGTCGACGACGCAGGTGCCTTCACCACAGGAATGGGTGCAGCATCGGCATGTTCAACGGGGGAGCGAGGACGGGGCTGGGCTGGCGCAGCAGCTGCAGTAGCAACGGGAGGCGCCATGAGCGGAGCCCGTCTAGAGCTGCTGCACCTCCATCGCCATTGCCTCCCTGCAGCAGAGGCCCCGACCTCAAACGAAGGGCCTGGACACCAGGCGTGCTCCTCTCTGTTTTGTACCCTTCAACGCCCTACTCTCTCCATGGCTCCCAATGACACATACCACGCTTCCTACCGTTTGCGGCATGGGCCGCGAGGATGCTGGGAACGCGAACGCCCCTCATCCGCGCACAAGGGTTCCCCAACGCTCCCAAGTCAACTCAACTGATCTTGCATAGATCCCATCCTCCCTTCCTCCAAGAGACTCCAAACCCACACGCGTACGTCGGTAATCGAAGACCCCCTGATGGACTGGGAGATGCGGTGTGGCTCTTGTGCTACGGTTACGATTGTCCATTGTTCCGTTATTGTGTGCCGTGTCTTGGGACGCGGTTTGTCTGTAGTGCCAATTGAAAGATGCCCCTCGCCGATCTACTCTTTTGCAGATTTGGAGTTTGAAATGTTTTCGTGACTCTCGTTTGGCATTTGTGATGGCGACATGAACCCTTTGAGCTGCTGTCGCTCTGTCGCGATAAATATTCATGGTTTGTCGTCAGCGTCTTACCGACGTGAGAGACCATGTGAGGTTTCTGTTTAAATTGTCAATCATATCGAATAGGCTGTCGCGCACACACTCCTGCTGCAACCTTCCATAACTCTGCAGATTGATTGGATTCTTAGCACACGATGACTTTTTTGTCAGGTACTGCATAATCCCGCTGGCGTCAACGTGGTGTTTATTGCGGTGTGGCATTCATCGTGTGGCTGCGTCTGTGGAAACTCAGGTACGATACATTCGGAAAGATGTTGTGGCTGTTCGTAATTGAAGAATATTGTTAAGTATTGAAGAACGTTATTTAATACTGCAGAGCGGCATTTACAATCGAGGAACAATCTTTTGTGATCGAAGGACGTTGTTTACAGTTGCATGCCTTATGGAGGAATATTAAATCGATATTAGTTCTGTGTAACACTATTTGAAAGCATAAATATGAAATAGGCTAGCGATGTTGAAGAACAGTTCCGATGTTTTTTACCAGCTGTGTTAATAATTCATTGAATTCACCGAAAAGTTTAAATCTTGAAATTGCTCTCCCCGTCTCACTCCTTACACGGGGAATCATGTATAGTTTTTGGTGACACCATTTTAATTATTTTCACTTTTAATTGTCAATATGTATATGTTTGTGTATTGCGAGAGAGAAAGAGAATTTAATCATAGTCCTGTGAAGAGTTAAATGAAGATTAATCATAATAATAATAAATAATAATTTTTTTACTAGTATTATCATAGCATAATTGAGTGCTTTTAAAATTTTATAATTACAAATAACATCATTATTAGACTTACATGTTTTACTTTAAAAAAGTATACATTTATAATAATGCAATTAAAAAATTCATCAGGTGTTGTAGAATATTGTGATATTTTCACATTGTAAATTTAGGAGAATGTTAAATAGACCCAAGTTTTTATTAAATTTACCTATCTATGATAAAGAATATGATAATCTTTATAAATGTGATTGATAAAACATATGATAAAACATATTTTTATATTAATTTTAATTGATATATAAATTAGAATATTCCTAAATCCACCACAAGTTATTCTTATTAAATTTTAAATCTTTCTTATTAATATTATTATATATATATATATATATATATATATATATATATGAAACAAGTGGCATGCTGTGGTTGCAATAGCAATAATTGTAGTGACATAAAAAATAACCAAAAACTAATCTAATATATATATATATATCATGTTTTATAATAGTCATGAATTTATTAGCATTAAAGTTAATAAATTAAGCAATAGTTAAATAGAGATAGTGCTTATTAGATTGTTCTATCTATTAACAACTTGAGTAGCATCACTGTAGCACTATTGTATATATTTTCATCTATATGCCAATTCCATGATGCAGTACAAAATATGGAAGAACTAGGAAAGTCCTTTAATAATATTTGTATTGCTTTTTCAATAGAGCAACAAAAAAATAACTTTAAGAAAATTCATAATTAATTACAATATATATATATATATATATATATATATATATATAATCAATTATTTGGTAGCTTTTTTATAAATTTTTTGGATAATAAACAGATTTTTCAGACATGTATTGATCTGTACAACACTTTTAGTGAATAATAAGAAAACCTTACATATAATTCATATCATCTTATTAAAATAAAGATTAAAAATCTTGCAAGATGGTAGAAAAAAACTAAAAGTACAAAGTATATAATTAAATTACCAAATTACAATATTTATGATAAAATTTTAAAAATAAATAAATAACATATATAATTTTATATTACATTATTTTTATAGAAATATCTTTTTAGACCATTACATCATAATTATATTTAAAAGTTTTTGAATTGTTACAAAAATTGTTAACAATATCATTTGATACCACTCTCCAAATTTACAAGCTCCAATTTTTATAAGAATTTTAAAAATTATATATATATATTATAAATTAAATTTCTATTTAACTATCTATATTTTTTTATTTTTTATTTTTTTACCTATCTCTAAATAACCAAAAAATAACTTCTTTTCTCATTATTCACCAACTTTGCCATCAAAGTCTTGAAAAAAAAATACTAAAAAATATACATGTCAAACTCAAATGTTCTTACTATAAATGTATAATTCCAAAGAAGTGAATTACTCCCTAGAGATCTAGTAGTGTAAACAATTGTTAAGGTCAAATTATTGCACCAATTCTAATATATTTGTCTAAAATATTGATAAATATATTTGTTACGATTTTGTGATAATAAGATTATTTATCCAATCTCTTGTTGTTTGAACAATTGGCAATAATAATGTTTGTAGCAAAGACATATAAAATAAAATTATTACATTGTGTAAAGGACTTACCTCTATAAATTCATTAATTAGTAAGCTTTTTTTCTAACTTATTATTTTTAACTAATGCAAGAGACATAAAAAGTGTTGTCAAAGTGAATTTAGATACAATAAGCTTAGCTCATTATTTTCTAAAGTTTAAAAATTTAATAAAATAATGATATAAAGAAGCTCTATGTCATTTATTAAGAATAATGTATGCAAAAGCTCTTTGTAACATGGAAAAATTTACAAAATTTGTTAGCAAACTAGCATTATTGAACTACGACAAAGTAGAATTAAAAGTCAAATTTTTATTTAAAATAGATTAGAAAAATAAATTGAAAATTAATAAACATATTATTGATTTTTCAAAAAAAAACAAAAAAAACAAAAACACTATATCTACAATCATATGTAAGAATAATATAGTGAATTCAATTCACAAAATTATTTGTAAGCTTTAGGATCTTTTCTTCAAAGAAAAATTAATTTTCTTTATATAAAATTTATTATTTCATTCATTGATTTTAAATATATTATCAATTAAACTATAGTTCAATAATTGTAGAAATAGAGCCCAAGACTTTAAGATCCACCATTAAAGCTTATTCCTTTCTTTTCTTTTATTCAAAAATTATGTTCTTTCTTCATCATATTTCTTTATGTTGTTTTTTTTTTTTTTATGTTTTTTATATTGATATCTTCTCATTGACTTCGTAAACATTTGTTAAAATTTCAACCATCCAATCTCTATATTTGATGTTCCATAATAAAAAAATAAAAAAAAATAAAATAATAAAATAATAGCATAACAACCTCCAAAACTATACTTATGGACAATTTTCGTCACAGTGATATTTACATAGAGGGTTCTTCATGCACCTAGTGCATGACGAATAATAGGAAAAGAATTAAAGTCCTTTACATATTTGTTTCAGATTTTCTGAAATATTACAAAAATTGGAGATCATAGTACATGAAACAATAGAGATCATTATAATACATGAAATTTCAAGCACAAATCCCAACACTCGTAGAGATTCTATTGTTCTTGTATATTATTGCATGTCAAGTGTATAGTATCATTTTGAGACAAAGAATCTTCCCCTGAGCTTGTCACATGTGGATTCAAAAGCAACCCAAGTTAACAGGCATAGAGAAGAATTTCACAGCTAACCAAAATTTTGATGAACACCATTCATTCATAACACATCCTCCCTGAAGTGTGGAGGTTGATTCTCCTCACACAAGCTGTTCAATCATCCAGAGCTTCACCTTTGCACATCTAGGGACCAGATTAGAAGATCCTGAGACCAACTTGCAATGTATCACTGAATGGAAGGAGACTTCTGTTCCAATCTGAGCTTGTTTTAAAAGTCACCATGAGAATCAAGTCAGCATGACACTTAGATGACGTCGCCCAAGTCACTGCCCATGTGATGCAAAGTAAAAACATGCAGATGGGAAGTCTGAGTGAGCACACAGAGTGCGGCAAATCTGCCCAAATAACACTCTTGATCCAGGTAACGTTCCCCTGTCGAACCACTTATCGGCTGCGAAGGTGTTGTCACAATCGTACCTGGACTACTTCTCCACATTCAACAAATTAAATCCATACCTGTTCTGCTTGCATTGCAAATCGATCCAAGTAATACTGCTTCGAAGCAGTAGCAGCCAATTCGTATATACATTTATTAGATTACGTTAACTGATAGACCGCTCCTCCAGTCACTTTGCTTCGTCTCTGACAACTCCGTCTTAATTAACTTACCATCATGTGAACTATGCGATGTCAAGTGAAACACCAATCAAAGGATTCTGATCCTTGTGCAAGGTTGTAGCACATCGAGAATTAGACGAGTTTTCAACAAGTAAATTGATTACATACTGGACTATAACCTCTCGTCCACTTAAGCAAAGATTGAGAGCTATATAGTCTGAGAACCAAGTCGGTACTCACGGATATGACTGGTGAATCAGGATAATATCATGTATGAAATGGGGTTCACACATCCAAAAAACACAAAAGCAGCCCAATTGATAATTCTGTAGCAGTTCACGAACATGAGACCAACAAGCACAGATGCGTGAACATTAAATTCAGATTAGAAGGGCTAATTCCTAAGACCAGCACATAGAACACCACAATTTATAAACAAAGCACTCAACACTTGGTTGAAGGTGCGAATCAGACAAAGCCTCGCAACCTTACGCAGCACGAGGCCTACAAGAATTTTTTTGTACACTGCCACTACTCGGGAAGTCGATCAAGATTCACTTCAATACCATTTCTTCGTGCTCGTTCAACGAATGAGCTCGAGGTCAATGCGCACTCAATAGTATCTGCGCACTCTGCAGGTGGTAAATCTCTGGCAACCCCCAACAAATTCTATTTCGCTTCTTCAGTAGCTGATGACGCACCAGTCGGCAAGGTAACTGGAGCATGCATTGCACTATGAGGGGAACGTAAATTTCCTCGCGTCTGACAAGCTAACATTGTCTTACAGTGCTCTGCTTCATCTTCTCGAATGTTGCAAAATACATCATACAGGTTTTCGACCTTTGGCTGCCTCGTATTTGGAGGGCAGGCAGTCTGAAATTCATCGAACAAGTACAGATCACCAGAAGTATAGTACTTCACTGCGACCTCAGGAGCTGGCAAATTCTTCAACTCCTCCGCATTTAAGTTAATAAATTCGTCGTATGTGTGAAAAGCATGCTTCTTAACACATTCCGAAAAATGGTATGCCATTCGAGGACTCAGTAAATACATAACTACCGTCATGAAGTAATAACCGACAGCGATATGCTGCGCCAAAAAGCGATCCACCCATCGCTCGTCTCCACCTAATGCCTCCATGGTCAAGAGATGATGGAGCTCATTCCAGCTCTCCGCAAAGTGAACCTTGAGGTAGTCTGCGCGTCTCCACCAACCAAAGCTTTCATACATGTTTAGAACTGAGACAAACGCAAAGTAAGGAATTCTGGCAATAGTCTCCAAAACGTAGAAACGCGCATAATCCCTGTTCTTGTAGAAGACATCTAAAACTTTAATTACAGCGTCAGTGGCGAGCTGATTAAAAGCCTGCTCTCCTTTGATAACCCTTTTCTCCAATCCTTTCGCAGAATCTACAACATTACTTGGCCTAGCCTTCTTAACATCCTCGAATTCCCCCACCTTCTCCACCGCTACTTCCCCTTGAACCCTCTCCTCTACCAGAGCTCCACGAGAAAGTTTCTTGTCTGTACGATGCACAACCAGGGGCAAACTCGAACATTGAAAGTTGCTCGAAATGCAGCAAGTTCTTTTAATCCACAACAGCTACAATCCTTTCCTGCCACATTCTACCCGAATTCGATCAACCTCGAGAGTGCGTAAGACCAACCCCTCGCCCCTAAACAACCCACTTGTCAGGCTGCTGGTCATCTTTACAAAACGACACCCAAAACTTTCATATTCCACAGCATCAGGTGTGTAATTTGAAAGGGTTTCACAATGAGACGCTACACCACAAGACAAAACCTCTGTGGCAGCCTCAGAAACTCCTGACGAGAAACAAAAGCCTGGCAAACAAGGGAGACCCTAAAGGACCGAAACGCGAAACCAGGACCTAATGGACGAGAGCCAAAGGGATCTCACGACTCGCGCATCGAAGAAGAAACACACTTCAAGCTTCCAAAAGCAATGCCTCGAGGTAAGTATCTGCATCTGCTGATTTCCAGGCGGTCCGGATTGCAGTATACCCTCACCGAATTCACTTGGAATCAGCGACTGTAGAAGGCGCGGTGAGGCGGTGCCGATCCCAGCAGACGAGGAACGGGGATCGTTCCGCATCAGCTCCGTCCGAAGCTGCCACCATCGCCATTGTCACGGAACAACTCTGCCCCACAAGCACACCTGAGCATGGCTTTTGCCTTTTTCCTTTGAGGTTAGACATCCTCGACGACAGAATAAAAGTGCGGTTTAAAAGCAAAAAGTTGTGAAGTCCCTGGCACTTGGGGAACGCATCCCATATGTTGAGACATTTTGACATTCTTCCTCACAATGGAGTCACATCAATTCAATTACTAAGGATGAGATGGATAGTAGGTACAAATGTATGTATTTGTAGAAGTATACAATATAAGTTTTGTAACATAATTTTTGGCGTTTGTACCTTAAATGTGAAGTGTAAGTTGGTGACTTCAATTAAAATTTTGTGTTGAATAAGTGTTCAATTTGGTACATGTGGATTTTAAAATACACTGATCTAAAATCTATTGTTACTATTATCTTGATTGATTCTTATTTACTTGATTCTTGATTGATTACTGTTCATTAAAATTAAAATTAATTTTTATAAAATTTGTAAGAAAAAAATGTATAACTATTAATAATAATATTTGATTGGAATGTAAAAAACTAAAGAAATATATCAAGTAAGTGCTGAATTGTAGTGGCATTAGCAACACAATATATTTTATTTATTTATTTTTAAAATGTAATTTTAAAATGTATATATTTTTTGATATTTTATTAGTTTAAAACATATTGATTTTTATTGTCCAATTTTTTTAATTTGAGAAACACGTTAAATCTTTTAAAAAATTCAATGTAAATTATAAACAAAAGAGTATCAACAATACAAAATAATATCAAAAAGAGATTTACATTGAAGTTTAACAAAACTATTATTTTTTTAAAGATGTACTAATTCAATAAAATGATATGTGTGTATATATATATATATATATATTATTAAATAAATATATTTTTGAAAAATATATATTCATTTAAAATTTTCACTAATTAAATATCTCTTTTTATTAATATATATATATATATACACCATTAAATTAATTTATAAATAGTTATGTATATTTTATGTATGTATGTATACATGCATGCATATGTACATGTATATATAAAGTATTGTTGATGCTACAATAGTTTTTGTTGCTTTCACTTCAACCCACTATCCACCACATGCAATCTACATCTTTTGTCAATGCTAAATAAGAAAGTACTATCTTCATATATATATATATATATATATATACAAATATTAGCATTAAAAAGTTCTTAATAAATTTTATTTATAGTTAGAATGAAATTTATTTTCTATATAGTTTGATATATATATATTTCTATATAGTTCAATATATATATATTTCTATATAGATCAATATATTTCTATATATATTTTCTATATAGTTCAATATATATATATATATATATATATATATATATATATTGAAAAAATTAATAGGTTATTAATTAGAATTAAAAAAAAAAAAAAAAAAAAAACTAAAGAAATATGTTGACTAGGTGACAAGTTGTGGTGCTAGTAACAAAAATTGTGGTGACACTAGCATAAATTAAATAAATAAATTTATCTGTATAAAAAATACTAATGTCAAATATTTTAGACTTTAACTAATAATGCAAATATCTTTAAAAATAAAAGTTTAAAATCATATAATTTTGAAATTATTAATTTATACTTCAAATTTCATAAAATTTATTTATTTGAAGATTGGGCTTGATAAAAAGAATTCTTATAAAAAAATCTCGTGAGCAATAGAAAAAGCATAAATCTTTAATAAAGAAAAGAATAAAAAATAAAATAAAAGAAGAAAAGTATAGCATAAGGACGCTGATGCCAAATCCTACAGTTAATCCAAAATGCCAAGCTTAGAAGTAACTTTAAAATCGAATTTCAAAGACTGAAGTTCTCTTTTGTATTCAAGAAACTTATGTTTGTTGTACAAAATATTTCACAAAAGAGAAAACTAAAAAAGAAAACAAAATTCCAAACTAATCATTCAAGCTCAAACGGTGTCCATTCATTCACGAATCAAAATCAAACAAGATTCTAAAAAAAATTATGGTTATATGAAAAGGTTACATACATTTATAATGATATAGATTTTGAAGACAAATATTTTCTTGTGAGCAAGAGAATGTTTGCTTAAAACAATGGGCGTTAGATGGAACCATGCTCCCGAAAGGAACTCGCCAAGAACGGCGTGCGATAGGAGGGGAACGCAGTGCACGACGGTCGTCGTCCCGTCTCGCATAACAGGGGGGGGGAGCAGCGGCCGCATCAAGCAGCGGGGATTTGAGCACCGGCGAGAAGGCGGAGCTGAGGTCCTTCGTCGCAGAGTGGGAGCTTCGCAGCGCCCATGGACGCCATGGCCATGGGAGAGCAGCGCAACTAGACGGGCTCCGCTCATGGCGCCCCCTGCTGCTGCTGCTGCTGCCGCCACGGCCCAGCACCGTCCTCGCTCCACTGTCGGAGCTGCCGACGCCGCACCTATGGTGATGGCCACGGCACCGGTGTCCATGTCGACGACGACCAAGGAGCAGAACCACCAGCAGCACCAACACCACCGCCGGGCTGCTGGTGTCCCTCTCTTGTCCCATGCCATGGTTGCCTCTGGCACGGGCACTCCGCCCATCGATGTGGTCCGATATCGCCGCACGTATTCGACATCTTCCGCTCGCGGCATTCCTCCTCAGGTGTGCCATGGTTGCTTTTGTTTGATCCCGTTGTGAGTTTCGATGTACAGGGGTTTGGGTGAAGATGGCGGACATGAGGTGTGCGATGTGAGGATTTTTATGTCGTTGAGCGGGCAGATGATCGGTGCGGAGCTTCGGGTTAGAACCCTGGTGGCGAGATCTGCGAGTTCGGTGCGAGTGTGGCATGATCAGCGGTGTTTTTGATTTGGACCTGGATTTTAGTGGTTGTGAATTGTGAGGTGACGGTGAAGGGGATTGCATTCGTGGTTGGGATTGGCGATGCTAGCTCCGATCTTGCAGCGATCGTATGCTTGACTTAGGTTTGTGGAGAATATTCGGTTGAAATGAGTGATTGTATCGGTATGAGGTAGAGTAGAATTGGTACACTTAGAGTTTACTTTGAAAGAGGGAATTTATTGTCTGTGTTTCACGTCGTCGGCCCGAATCGGAGTAATTTAGGGTTTCTGGCCATTTTTCTATTGTCACCTGTTTTCGTCTTCCCTCCCTTTATTCCACCAGTTACCTTGTAATGAGAGTTTCTGCATAAGTGGGTTATCCAACCATCGTGTCATGATCTGAGCTTGTTCCCTTGCATGGAGCCCATCCATATGTTGTCCTTTCCTCCCATTTGTTTTGTTATTTCGATATTTTTTTAATTGTCGACGAGTACTGTTCAATGATCGTATGTTTTTTTCGATGCTGGTAAATTGCGATACCATTATGTGCTTTGAGTTCCACTTGGGTCTACCAGCGTATGATCTCGAGCAGAGTGTGTCTTAATTTCAGATCAGATAAGGACTGATTACTGAATGGTTGTTCTATGATTGTGTACTTTTTATTTATTTATTTTTCGTTTTGAAGTTCCTTTTTTATTTAGTTTAATTGGTGTTTTAGTAAAATTTGTTTGCTTCTTTTCTGACTAATATATTTGTATGTCAGGCCTTCGATGGCAGAAGTGAGAGGAAGGTACATCTTCTCAGTCGGTCTCTATCGGGGTCCAAGCTGAATGCAGGAGCACCTGAATTTGTTCCTAAGGGACTGCAGATAGCCTTCTCCACGTCTTTACCGGTGTCAGAACTGCCTCAAGAGTTAGGGCTGAGTCCTATGTCTTTGATTCAAGCTCCATCTTCTGTGATTCCCGTGATAATAGCTCCGCCGTCCGAGACGGACTCTTCCTCGTCAAAATTTGTGCCGGACGTTGTGGTTCCTACTGTCGAGTACCAGATTTCAGAGTCTCCACCTAGCAGTGATGAAGCTGTTGCAAAAGGTGGTCCTAATGTCTTCCTGTTAGAGGAGAATGGTGGGGAGAGCGAGCAGGTTCAGGCAATTCCAGCTACTTCTGTGCAGCCTGCAAAGGCCGTGCTTACGGAGGGGCTGAAGGCCAAGATTGTGAAGCAGGTGTGATTACTTCTGCCGGTTTTAATGCTCTCTTGGATATGGTTGAAATGTGGTTTGTTGCGAGGGCTATGAATGAGCTTTCTAGTGAAGCTTCATATTGTCATTAGAACTGTGGAGATTAGTTTCACAGTTTGGAACTTCAATTTTCAACGTATTTTCTTATCGGTTAGCAGACTCTCCTAATGCATTTTCTGAATCTTTTCATGTATGTTATATTTTCTCACCCGCAGAGGCTTCTATAGTTAAACTTTTAAAATGTAGAATGATGTTCTACTACACTTAAATGAAAAGAAGATGTTAAGCGTTTGGATGAACTTCTCTAAAATTAATGGATTTATTTTGAAAACACAGGCGTTAATTATCCTGGGTGGAACGGTGCTTTATACTTCTAAGATTATTGGGTCATGGTTATTCGTATTTGCTGCTCAACTATCTGTAATGTAAATCGGGGTTAGAAACCTGTTTGAGGATCACATGTAGGTGAGATTTCAATGTAAGTGGTTGAGTGGGAGATGCCTATATTTTCATGTGTAAAATTAACGAAGCTTGCATGGTGTGCAGGTAGAATTCTACTTCAGCGACGCGAACCTCCCAACAGATAATTACTTGATGAAGTTTGTGAAGAAGGATCCCGAAGGGTTTGGTACGTGCGAATAAATGGTCTTTTTTCTGCAGTGTTGATTATTGTGTTAAATCGGTTGTTTGTTGGCCTCTGCTTTGTGCAAGTTTTGTCTTGCATAGCCTTCCGCCCCCTGCACAATGGGAGATCCAGTCGTACTGAGAAATTAGTTGGGTGATTGCAGTCCCGATTCCTGTGGTGGCGTTGTTCAGGAAGATCAAGAACTTGGTGAAGAATCACTCAGTCGTGGCAGCTGCGTTGCGAAGTTCGACACAGTTGGTGAGTTGATTGTGTGCATTCAATGTCAAGGCTATTTGTTTGTTCCGCTGTAAATCATATTGATTAAGATTTGGACCAATTCTTTGCTTGCGCTATAAACATGGTTCTCAAAATAGGTGGTAAGCGAGGATGGGAAAAAAGTCCGGCGAGCGCATCCACTCCCAGAAGTTGATCTCGAGGAAATTCAGGTCTCTTTATTCTGCCGTTTTATTGGGACACACCTTAAGATCCACGAATTGGCTACTGTTTTGAATTGTTGTTGGATTTTACCATTATTTACTCTCTCAACAGCTCCAGCTGTGATTTTAATTATAATGCATTCATCGAACTATTGTGTCACTGGTGTCTGAACATTTTTTCCCTTCAAACACCCTGTGTTGTGACAACTCAATGTGTCGTTATTGAGCAGGCACGTACTGTTGTAGCTGAAAATTTGCCAGAGAACCCTTCTATTGAGACCATTGAACCGTTGTTTCGGAAAGTCGGAACAGTGAAGATGGTTCGAATTTGTTCTCCAGAGGCTGCCAATGGAGCCAATTCAACTGCAGCAAAGCATCCAAAGACCGACATGTTGATTAGTAACAAGGTGAACAGGAATTGTGGCAGTGATAATGTGTTCACGGTAGTTTTGTTGTTCAAGGGGTGTACTAGATGTTGTCATAGGTATGTGAAAGTCAGCAATACCCTGAATTGGAGACAGCATTTCTGCGACTGCGGCTGCGATTCTGTTCTGCCAAATGCTTTTGCTGTGTAGGTGGTGATTTAATAGGGTGAGGTTCGTGATTTTTTGTTCCTGCAGTTGCACGCGCTTGTAGAGTTTGAAACCGTGGAGCTTGCTGAAAAAGCTGTGAGCAATTTGACTTTACAATACTATCCGCACGATTTTATTCCTGCTGCTCATGGCTTGTGTAGCTTGTGATCGACTACAACTTGCAACGAACAACTTTATTATTCGCACCTTGCATTGTTAGGTGTTGCTAGGATGTAATGCGATTTGATGCATTCGTTTTGAACCAGACTCTGTTTCATGCAAATATAGATGTCAATACCAGCTGGATGTCAACTAGGACTTCTGCTAGTTCCACTGTATTCACTATCCATTTTAATTTTTAAATTCACTGTCGCGGTGTATACAGGTAGCAGAGCTGACAGATCAGCGGAACTGGAGAAGCGGTCTACGTGTGCGCTTGCTCTTGCGACGTCAGGTATGCACCTCTCCTTTCGCAAACTTTCCTCCTATTTGTAGTTTTATGTCTAAATAGATCCGTTTGAAATGATTGTAATAAAAATTAACCTCAAATTCTGAACCTTGCGCAACTCAAACTTCGCGTACCACCTTCTTGACAATTGCATAAACCCTGTCAATTTCCTTCATGTAACATAATGCATGCTGAAGGTCCTGATGGGAGAGGTGTGCGTGTGCACAGTTTCAGAACAAACAAAATTACCAGCAGGCCCCTCATCAGAGGACGCGCAAACCAAGTATGGACGGCATCGATCTCGTGATGGATGATGAAGACGGTGACAAGGCAGAGAAGGACGCCGACAGATCTCGCGACAAGGCTGGTGGGGAATCAACATGCCACAACCATCACGCAGATCGTGGCGACGAGGTTATGGTGAGTTGTGTGAGCTACGCGATGTGCGGATTAGAGTGGGCGTTTGTCCTTTCGTGGCGGGTGGTGGTTTGGTAGTTGCGGGAGGCAGTGTGTTGGTGTGCGGGGATAGTGGGAGAATGGGTGGGAGGGGAAAACGTGAGAGGATGTTGAGGAGATAGGTGTGTTGGTGTGCATGGTTGCAGGGTGAGGGCGGAGATCATGTGAACAAGAAGGGAAGAGGTCGAGGCCGAGGTGGGAGAACGGGTGGAGGTGGTCGGGGTCGCGGTCAGCAGTTTTACAACACGCACGTGGGGACACCACCTCGGGACGGTTTACATGTGGTGAGCGAGATGATAGGAAAGCCGCCGCCAGGACCTCGCATGCCGGATGGGACACGAGGGTTCGCGATAGGCAGGGGCAGGATGGTGAGCGCGATGAGCAGCTGTGAAGAGCGTGGCGTAGCAGTGTAGGTGGTGAATGTGGATGTAGGTATTGGAAAGTGGAGCAGTGTGGCTCCGAGGGAATATGATGTGATTATGGTGAAGTGGGTGTAGTGTATGCGATGCAGTGTGGGATGCCTGAATGCATGGGATGAGTGGATTAATTGTGGAAAAGTGTTTGGGGTTAAACGGATGTGTTGGGTAGTAGTGGGTTTGAGTAAGGTGCGTGATGTTGGTTTTTTGAGGGAATGAGTGGCTAGTCATGAAATGAGGCATGGGTTTGCAAGTGGGTAATACGAAGTATGTCGTGGACGAGCGTGGATGTTGTGGTAAGGGGGAGCATAAGCGGGAGTAAGGTTTGTTGATGAAGTTGGTGTCGCAGAGATGGTTGTGGCGGGGGCTTGTCGGTTTGGTCGTCTGTGTGCAGATTTCGGTATAGTGTTTTTGGGTGAATGGGTTGGTGAATGATCGAAATGGGCGAAACATGGTGATGGGAATGGTAAGTTTCGGGGGCAAGTTATGAGAATTTTCTGAGAATGTTGCATGGCAGAAGACGTGTTCTACGCAGAGAACGTGGGAAGGAAGTGTAATTAGGAGCATGGTTGTTTGGGCATTGTGAGGTGTTGGGTCGCGATGCACACGGGAGCCGAGTTTGATGTGTTGGTGGAATGGAAATCGATAAGTGGGGTGTGAGGTGCAATGCGGTAGTGTGTAGCAGCATGGGGTGGAGAGGAAGTGAGGACGGAGAATTTAGATCGGGTAGATGGTAGTGGTGAGCTATCGGAGTTGTGTGGATGGGGAGGGAACTGGGAGAGTGGGCAAGCAGAGAGATGAGCGGAGCGAGGTCTATGAGAGAGGGGAATAGAAGCAGAGAAGTTTGAGGGATGGAAGATGTGAGAAGCTAGGATTGATGGTTTTGCAATGCCGGAAGTAGATTGAGGGTAAGAAGCAATTGTTGAAAGCCGAGGGATGAGTTTCAATGCAAGTATGGTAGAATCCGGATTTCAGGGGTGATGCGAAAACATGTGATGTTGGAAGTATAGTTCGAACGATGTTGGCGACATGAGTCCTGGAAAGTAGTACCTCCGCAGATTGATTTAGTTACAGGAGGGACGTGGGCAAATGATGGTTGGTTGATAGCCTGGTTGACGCGGCGTATAGATCTGCAGCTGGGACTGCGGAGTATCGAGGTCAGAGCTGCAGAGTGTGCGGTAGTGAGTGTTGGATGTGTAGGGATGAGAGAATGGGCTTGGGGTGAATTAGTCGTAAAGAAGAGGCTTGAAAAGCCCACTGCACATTGATGTAAACATTGCACTCAATTAGGATGGTTTTAGCGAAAATGGGCTACGTCATGACGGAAGTTGTGCATTCTATAGGTGGTTTGGGTTGGGGTGTGGAAAGTTCGGTTTATGGTAATGCTGGCAATGTTCTCAAGTGTGTGTCCAAATTTGTAGTGGATGGAGGCAATGTCGTCATTGTGAATGACACGCAAGATGGAATGATTGAAAAGGAATCCGTTGCATGATGCAGCAATTAACTAATAAGACGCAAGCATGAAATAGAGTTTAGGTACTAAGGAGGGGTTTGCCCATTGTGCTAACAAATCGTAATTCTGCTTCGAAACTGTACTATTTTAGTTTATGAAATATTCTTAGTCCATCCTAAAATATAGATTTGTAGTGGCATAATCTGTAGATTTAATGTTTGTTTTGGTGTTTTTTTATGAAGTTTTTGTCAATGTGGATGGCCAAAAATTGTCATTTTATACTTCTGAAAACACAGAAATGAAATGGCTTCTACAGCACTGATCACTCCCAGCAGCTGTCGGTTATAGGACTCAATATAAAGTTTATTCCTAATAAGAGCCTAGAACACTCATCTTACTAAATTTTGGAAATTATAATTTTGAATAAAGGATTATTCGAAATTGAATTTTCCTACCCTGGAAAGATAATTTACGAACTTATCTGAAGACGTGATTATATTGTAAAGTTTTTCTGATTAGCAATGATTTCTGTATGCTTTTGAACTATGTATGTCATGCTCATCATGGTACATGATGTTAATATCCTAGTGATTCTTTGCAATTAATACCAAAATGGGGATTTTTTAGTCATGTCATGTAATCCTTCGATTAAACACAAACCAAACAAAGTGTGCTTTACATTGCTATTTTGTTGCAATGTATAAAATTTGTGTTCTATCTTCTCATGTAAGAGAATGTTGCCTATTGATACATGTATTATTTTTGAATTTGATAAGATGAGGGAACATAAAGTCATGGTTGTGTTTTGTTAATCTTTCTGAATAGTGCTGCAGTTTTTCTAAAACAACCATACCTTACTGTGCATTTTGATACCCAGAGATGATGATGAGTATTTGATAATTTATTATATGCAAATTATATGTAGTAAATAATCAAAGTTGTCAAACACTGACATGAAAGCAAAGGATTACATGTTTTAACATACTTTCACAGCCACATAATCACTGCATTAAATTTGGTGACCAGTTCCATCCAAGGCTTTATGTTGAAAATTACATGTAAGTTATATTAAATGATGCAAAATTCCCAGTAATTTTCTCCTATTGATTGGTGAAATCAATAGCTAATTGAAGAAGAATTATCCAATCTACATAATGTACATTAAGAAGTCTCTCAGGTTTTCTGACGTAGATTTCATCCACGATAAGAATACATTTATTGTAAAACACATGTGCCTTAATTCATTCAAGGCCAAACATTCCTTGAAAACATGTGGGTTGATATTTGTGGTGTACACAAGTAAACGAATATTCAACAGTAAATAACATACAATTGAAACGAATATATATATATATATATATATATGAATCAAACACTCTTATCATTTGGATTGAAAGCATAAAAAACAGAGAAGTGGGTCAGCAGAATATGGCCACACCACAGCCAACAATGGCACCTTGCAGCACAAGCAATGGAAAAAAAACCAAATACAAAATCAATAAAAAGTCCCACACCACCTCATTTACTTTTTTAACAGAGCCAAGTGAAAAAAAGGAAAGAGAGGAGGAAAGCCTCAAGCACAATGTAGACAAATGTACATAGGCAACAAAAGTGGATGAACCAATGCAGACATGCCATGGAAGGTTGAAGAAGAAGACAAAGATGATGAGGAATAAGGAAAAAGCAGAAAAAATATGCAGAATGGGCTGCTGCTGCTGCTGCTGCAGAAGCTCCATTTGTCTCCACCTTTGTGTGGGCCACCACTCTGACCACCACACTAGACAGCCCTGCCTGACTAGGTCCAGTGAGTGAGTAAGAGAGTTTGTATGTGTGTGTGTAAGTGTGTGTGTGGTGGTAGGGGTAGGTCCAGAACCTTCTACTGCACATGGGCACAGCTATGGGGTGGGTGGAGTAGGAATGGTCATGAGACCCAATCCCGCCCTCCCCCTTTACCCAAGTCTTACCACCATAGCCATCACCACAACTGGAGTCAGCAGCACAAGGATGCCAAGGCAAAGTAGACATGAATATGGAAACAAAAAGGTGCAAAAAGAAAGAAAAGCAAAAGTGGCAGACACCTAAAGCAGCACATGTGTGTGAGGGCCCTTGGTTGAGGTGTGGTGGCCTTCCATGTGCTGCTTGTTCCTAACCTGGCCCAACAGCCTCCCTTACAAAACTGCACATGCAAGACCACCTCCACCAAGCATAAGCTAACCCAACACCCACAAACAAGAAGAAGCAGAAGAAAAAATGGACAAATTGTGGGCCCTCTCATGCCCTAATTTTTGCTCAACTACCCAACAGATAAGCAACTGTCTGTATGCATGTGTGTGTGTGTGAGAGTGTGGTGGGTGGTAGTCTGCAGTGGGTCAGTGTAGGTGAGTCATCCCATGCATTGCAATTTCATTAAAAGGGCTGTAGGGCCTCCAGTGCCACCAAGTGGGATGCTGCCCCACCCTTGTCACCTGGGAGCTCCATGGTTGTTATTATTACTACAACTGCTTGTTGTTGTTTTTGTTAATAACTGTAAGCTCTGTTGTTGTAGCAGCAGTACCTGTGGTTGATGGTTTTTTCTTCCATACAGAGACACAAAAAAAACAAAACACAAAATGCACACAAGAAGTTGAAGGATCTATCACTGCTACTTTGTTTCTAGGGTTTTGGGGGGGGGGTTAGGGTTTCTGTTCATTTCTTCTGCCATTCTCTGCACCCCTGGCATTTTCAAAAATATCACACATGAGCAGTGGATCTATTGGTGATGCTCCTCCAGACCCCAACAAACCCACTGTCATTAAGTGTGTGTGTGTGTGTTTTTTTTTTTTTTTTTTAATTCTAAAAATGTCGTTTTAATATCTCCCTACTGGGTCCTTGTACCTACAGAAGGTGAACCTACTGCAACCAAATTGGGCTTCCAATGCTGCATGAGAATAATGTAATAACTGTTTGAGGATGGAGTAGATTTACTGTGTTTTGGTGTTGTGAAGTGTTAAGCATGTGATGATGCTCCCACTGGAGACAAAATATCCAAGTCTCACTCTCAATTGAAATTGTGATAAATGTTAGAATGATACTTGATCTGATGTTTTATGAACTGAATCTTTGAACAATCTCCATGTGTCTTTTAATAAGCCATTTGAAAATCCACCCAAGTATCGACTTGTCAAAACAATCCATGAATAATATTCAGAATCTTGTGTTTACTGTTTAAATCTTGATTGTTCTCTTTGTCATATTTTTGAAATAACACCATCAAAAGAATCACACATATGCTGTAAGATTATATTTATACTTTTTTTTTACACATACATTATACAATTCAACTACATTATCATGTAAAGCACTAAAAAATAAATGATAAAAATTGAAAATAGAAAAAAGAAAAAAAGGGTGTGATTTTCTAACAGATAATCTACAATTCAACAAAATTGTAAATCAGGCTCACAAGTTAGAAAATCAACATGCTTTTTTTCCAAAGCTATACATTATTTTGTTTTTTATTTTTATTTTTGTGATTGAATTAAAATTATGTAAAGTGTGATTTCTGTAAAACATAACCCAAAATAATAAGAACAATATTGCTCATTTTTCTGGTCTAATACCACAGTATTGTGGTAATACTATTAAGTGCAGGGTGTTCCTTTAAGCGACATTTATACTCCCGAATATGGATCCAAATTCCAAAGCAATAGTTCACCAAGGATGGAATTCAATAATTCACCATATTTTTAGTCGAAACATTCCTTTGGGCCACTTTGATACCCCCAAGGATACTCAAGGGGACCTTTCAATGGGGCCTAAGTGATGGATGAAAGGTATACCATTCATCCAATATCCAAAACGAACAGAATCCCCCCTCAGCTCCCCTGCCAGTCATTTCCTGGAAACAGACTCAGTCCAACGGCCCCAGTCATCCATCCTTTGGATGAATGAATAACGGGCTCACGATTCGATTCAGAAGGTGCACTTTCTGGAACGAAGGAAGGAAGGAACGAACGAACGAAAGTACGCCCTCCCTCGAGGTGGGCTATTCATTCATCCACCGTATACGTTCATTCATATTGACGAGTAGTAACCATAGTAGGCCACTCTTTTCCCTTTCGGATGCCTCTGAATGCTTCTAGAAACTTTTAAAGTATACGGACGTGGAGTGTTGTTTGAGGTCACCCTAAAACAATAATAGAGTGTGGGGTTTTTCTGCGCACATGGGGTTTGGATTCAGCTCAACTCCATTGGTTCTTTTATTCATTCTAGTGAATGAATAAACCAATCTCATGTGGAGGTTAAGTAAAATGACTTAATTTACACAATTTTATATTGAATGTGTACATTTAACCCATCCCCACAGATATTCTACAGGTTTTACATTTTTATACTCTTGAATACAGTTTTCTTTAACAACAATATGCAAAAGGATGTTGGCTCTTGGCCATGGACTTCATACAAAAGAAGTCACAGTATTTGATTAATTTTATAGAATCTAACCTGGTTTTTGTAACTTAGTCTCTTTTATCCTTTTGTATATTTCTCGTTTGCAAACATTTTGATTTTATTTGCCACGACAGAGGCATTGTTTCTGGAAATAGAATGTGCATACTTGTTTTTGAAACTGTGGAGACATAAATTAATTGGTGAAATCATCCATTCCATCTTAATTTGAAACTATTTTGAAAAAATCAAAATCAAAACCAAAATAAATCGAATGTATTTATTATATTAGTTGTGCATATATATATTTTCAATGTATTTTTAATGTAATATTTATTATTTGCTAGTTTCTCACAATGTATCCTTCTCAATGAGCATGCTAGCTTCTGAAATGGTTAAGTTGTTCAGTTTTAACTTAAATTTCAAAGAACTTACAGTCAAATATGAGAAGACTAGTACACTGGACAAAATGAAATGTACTGTTGAATTCTACTTAAAAAAGTAATGTCAAGGATTAATGAACACAATTGGGATGTAAATGTATACCATAATGTGTGTAGTAATTGGTTAGAACACTAGACTGTTATTATTAATTTTTAAAATAAAATATTAGATTCAATCCAACTTATTCCCTTGAAACAATACTAGAATACAGAGTCAAATTTGTTTTTTGTTTTTTACAAAATTTATAAAGAATGTGGAGTTGGTACAATGATTTTTTTTATAGTAAAACTATTCCGCTATTATATATTAGACTTCAAAAAACATAAAAATGTAATACATTCTGATATGGTATTGTCATGTTATTGATTTGTTTGTTCATTTCTGGATGTTACAGATGTGAAGAAGATTCACCAAGAATGATTTGTCGAAATTGATATGATTTGTACTACATTATCAAAGTATTTTGCAGGTGATGTGATTTTCCTGATTGCAAGCATCAAATGATCTTTCAAATTACAACTGATCAAATCTCAACAAACTGAAAAATGCTTATGTTAATATACAATCACATGTGCAATTATCACAAAATAAATAAATAAATTTGATGGTTTCAACAAGGCTAGAGACAAAATCCCAGATACTTTGAGCAATGATGTAACATGAATATTGACTTATTTAACAATGCTTTCTCAATTGAATCCAAGATTCGTACAACAAATGAATACACACTAATGAAGGTAAATACAATGATTTTCTCAAGTTCTTGATCTCATTTGATTGTGAACACTAGAAGATGTTAGGCAAATAATAAAATAGTGTTCATTTACAACCATTGGAAATGATGCTCTTCAATGGTGCCCATCAGCATGAACCCCCCATTAAAACCAAGCATACAAAGAACATGGACCCAAAGATTGGATATTCTATACCACAACCCATCAAACCATGCTCATTAACCAAATAGTTTATTGCTCTCAAGGCAAAGTGATTTTTATTCATTTATTTGTTTTCCTTCTAGAATCATAAAGGAAAAAGTTAAACCCAGAAAAAAGTCCCGTGAGACCGAAGTCAAGAATGGACGTGTGGAGGACGGATGGATATACATATGGATGAATTCATGGATGGATGTGTCAGGAATAACGAACTGGAAGACGGTGGAGGGAGGGGTTGAGGGGGCGTCACGGCACCTGCAGGAGTTGTCGGTTTCAGATACCGTCGAAGCCACGGAATGGCGGAGTTGTAACTGGCGTCTCCGGTAAAATCCATCAACCTCGCCGCCGAGAATGACTGTCTAGGTGCCTGCCAGGACAAACGCTGCTCCCGGTTCATCCGGTTCCCATGGTTTGCCGGGTTCGGCTCCCACCAGGTGTCGGCATCTCAGCACACTGCACCGCATAAGGGCCCGATGAGGTATGATTGGACCAGCCTCGGCCCCCGCCCCATCCCGTTTCGTCCCGACCCAGCCCGTCCCCGGCCCGTTATTTCCGTCTACCCCCTCCTTCCCCGCTCTACCTCTCTCTGTCCCGGCACTTCAGCATATGACCCCGCTTCGCTTACATTGTCATTGCCAAATCATGCTTCTCGCCTTTGTCGTGTATTCTTCTCTTCACCTGCACCTGTTCTGTATTTTTTGTCGTGAAGGAGTTGATCGTTAGTGTCTCGTTTTAGATCCCAGTTTGTTTGGGCTGGAGCGGTTGTTGAGGAGTAAGTTTTCTTCTTCTTCTTCTTCTTCTTCTTCTTGTTGTCTCGTTTCCGCCGTTGGGGTTTTTTGGGGTGGTCGGAGTTTCGTCGGAGTTGGATTGCGTGGTGTAATTGGAGAACGGCGTGTTGAATGCGTTTATGAGGAGTTTGGAGGAGTTTGGACAGGGTTGATCGGCGGTGTTTGTTGCAGTGGAATGGGTAGGGGTGCGACAGGAATGGGATCGTGGTGTGAAACTGCGCCGCCTCAGATGATCACTGTCGAGCGGTGCTCTCCTAGGCAGAAGACGATGGAGACTATCTTGGAGAGGATGGCTGCGTTGGGTGCGATGGTGGAGACCGCTCCACCCCGAGTTATTGTTGTTGAGAAGAGCTTGTCCAAGAAGCGGGGCTCATTGGACACAATAGCCGAGGAGAGCATATCCATGGCCGTGGATTTGGCTAACGGGGCCGCGGTGGCTGTGAGACCTTTCACCCGGAAGGTGGAGAATTCGTCGAGCATTGGGTCTCTCCCTCAAAGAATTACGCCAGGTTTTGTTGCTTGCAACTAAATCGAGCAGTTCCAGAAAATCAGTTGATCGGAAGTCGAGTTTTTGAGATAGTGATCAACGTGTTCGGTTTGAAGCCGACGGCGCGCGTATTTGGTGGTAATGTCTCGTCGCTGCTTCATCTTTCATGCGCTCAACAGCTCGTCAGCCTAGCGCCTGGAGGACTGGACGCTACCTCATGCGATGCCATGGAAATCCGGAGGAATATTTGCAAGTGAAGCGTCCTTGCATGTCCGTTAGAGTAAGACTCATAAGAAGTAGAAGTTGGCTGCGGTGGTCTTCTTGGCTGTAGAAGCCGGCTGCGGTAGATTAGTGTTATTGAGAAGGGTACTCACCCTTGCGACGGGTGACCCTGAGGTGTACTATAGAGAGCCTGGTGATTTTTAAATCACCTTGTACTTCATGAGAGCTGCTCTCTCTCTTTAATCAAAACAAAATTTGTGCTTATTTTTACTCCTTTGCTTTTGTCCCACCGTATTTATGTGTGCAGCATGTTTCACCATGCCAAATGATTTAAGCTACCCTATCAGTTCATGCTGTGGGCGTTGCTTTCGTTCCCATTGGGAATTTTCCTTTGCTTGCTGTCGTGCAGGTAGTTGGCAGCTTTTTTTGTGTGGACGCTAATCAAATCGCTATGTTGGGCAGCAGTGGGTGGTCCCTAACCTGCCGATGGATGCCCTACACATACCGGATTCTCTTACAAGGGATGATGGTCCCGCCTCTCAACGATGCTGACAATGGCATCTAAGCTACAGCATGCTGGCTCGTGATTCACCCAAGGGTCTAATTCACCCTCTTGATGCCTTTATATCGGATTGTTGGTCATGCAGGATTGTCTGGTTCATCGGTAGAAGTTTGTACGGATGGAAAATTTCGTCTACATTGGAGTAAGGTGTGTTGGCGTGCATTTTGGATTGAATAATGCAGGGGTTTGTTGTCTTGAAGGATAGCCATGTTGTGGCACTAATGCACCTTCTAATGTTTAGGACAAATGCTTCTGCGTAGGCATTAAGCAAGGAATTCTTCAAGCATGTGAGTGGAGGCTTACGAGTCGCTGCATTTCAAAACGTTCCGTGGAAGAATGATCTGTTCGTACTGGTTGGGTTTTCAGGAAAGAGCTTCTGGACTGCTTTCTCGTATAGTTTGGAAGAACTCCGAAAGTGTAATCGAAGTCTACGTCTTTGTTCACTCTTCGGGCCTGGTTCAGAGTGGAACTTTTCTTTGCACAGTTGAGGCTTCACCGTCACGATTGCAGGTTTCTAGTTGTAAGATTGTCAAAGTTTGTTGGACGGCAACTGGTTTCCTGTCTAAAAATGAATGTTTTTTTGTAATCCACCTCTGCAACTTTTTTCAAACAGTGTGATGTAGATACTCGATGATGAATACCATCCTCTACATTCTCCTTGAATAACAGCCTCGTAGTTCTTGTTGCCCGTGAAGTAACTATGGTTACTTTTGATATCCATGACGTGACTTAACACTGAAGAATGTTCTGTCGGGCTTTTGGAAATGCAGTTGGTGGTCAGAACACTACAAGATGAAGGCGTGACTTTTCCAGATACTGCTGCAGACCTTGTTTATCCTGTGGTTTTATTTGCTGAGGTTGCCAGCTAATGTGCAGAAGTAGTCAAGTTGCTGGTGATGCATCTAGCTGAATATAAACTTTTACAGCTTTGTTCTTAAACCTTTTGCTTCTTAGTTTTGCTAAGCACTTGTCATGCCGATTGAGATATCTGGGGGTGGAGATTGGTGTGAAATGCCTGGTTTTTTTCTTCCAGCTAAAAATCACAAATGTTTTCCACCTCCTGTTCTTTAAGCTCCACCTTGCTAGTAAATGTTTTTGCTAATCAAATTGTTTGGTAGCATGGTCCTTGGCTATGGCTTGCTTTGACCCACATCACTGAGACTCTCGGCATGTGCATGACATGTTATCTTATACCAGATATGATCGTTGGTGAAATTCATGGCTTCTATTGGTTCTTTTCCTGTAGGTAGTTTCTTGTAGTTGTAGAATATCTTTGGCTTGCTATTGGGGTCTTGAAGACATGTATAAATTTTAAAGATATGTATAAATTTTAATGGTAATGTCTGTGTAAAATGTTCAGATTTTATACATCACCTTTAAATTTTGTATTACAATAACCATCTAAATAATCAACATGATGTAGAAATTGAAACACGGTTGTGGAGAAAAAGATCCTCATGTCAAGAACTAGTTGCTTCAACTTGAAGGTTTAGCAACCATCGACTTTTGAAAAAGGAAAGATATCAAGTGTTTGGTAATTGTAGATGCATGATTTTTCTACATATTGATATGTCGAAAGGATTTTGATGAAGATGTGAATTTCAGTGTGCATTGACAAAAAAATCAATAGCATATTATATATATATATATATATATATATATATATATTTTCACACACACACATAAAATGTGTATTACCACTGAACTGAATAGTTCTTTTTATCTGTAAATATTAAATGTTTTTATCTGTAGTTTTTTAACAAATATATTTGGTGTCAAGTACTTGATTCTACATATATTTTGTGGAAACATTTTTTTTTACTTGTAGAATTGATCTAAGAAGTAATGTTGATTTTTAATGAAGTTCCAACATAAGCTTTATAAATGCACTAATTTGCTTTTGCATTATTTGAAATAGTTATGATTAAAAATATATCAATAGTTACATTTTTATTAATATTCTATTTTAACAATTAATCAGTGTATGCCTTATTAGATGTTTTAATTTCAATTCTAATTACTTTAATTTATTTATGCATTTGAAATGCCATGTTGTTTTTTTGGTTTTGATTTTTTGCTGTAATGATTTAATATTCAACACAATTTGAACTCTAATATTGAAATCTAGAAAGTAAATGTCATCATTTTGTTAATCTAAAAAAAAATGAAGAAAAGAACAAAGTTGATTCTTTCCCATGTGAATTTAGAAGGCGTGATTGGTGCACTACTCAAGTGACTCACTCCATCAACTCTTCCAGATTTGGCTGATAAAGATAATACAATTATTCTAATACAATCTGTGCATTTCATTACTAAAAACCAAAGTTTCTCTCCACTTAGAACTCGTTCGGATCTGCTTTTGAGTCATTTTAACACCTTGCCTTGTGTGACAAAAGTCCGTTAAAAAAACACTCTATGACCAAAAAGCACAATTATAATGAATTAAAAATTGAATTGCATGGTAGGAGAAGAAGAAGCTTATGTAAACAATCACACATTTTCACAAATACATATTTCTTATAGTTTCTGCACACTTGGAACACAACTCATACACAAAACATTGAAGGTGCAATGTCTAGGTGAAAGAATAGTGTACACAATAACCCAATTTTATCCAGATTATGAGAATGTAGGACTGTGACCAGCGAGGAAGAGGAAAGAGTATTAAACGGCGAAAGTATGGCAACAGGAAGAAGAAGAAGATGAAGATGAAGTAGAAGCAGAAACGAACCAGGGAGTGGAAGACACGACGATGGCATGCGCAGCTTGCAAGCCCTAAACAAAAGCAACAGCAACTGGAGAAGGAGCAGCACACATCGGCGCAATCCCTGACTCCATCGCCATCGCCATTGCCATTCCATGCATCTTCACCGCCACGGCGTTCGAGGCGGAGGTGGAGCCCTTGGTCGCCATCGTTGCATCCCTCCCTTCGCTTTCCTCGCACCTGTCACGAATTACCGGCGTTGGTTTCGTGAGCGCTCGTCTCTGGATGCTTCCGGTTCGCGAATTGGTGTTGTTGTCTGTGTGCCGGGATTTAACGTTGGCACAGGTAAGCGGAGCCTTAACCCTGGTGCAATCGCCCGTTGCCGAATGTCTTGATTGCATTCCACTCTCGCCTAGAGACCTACAGTGAGCGGGTTCCCTTCCTTTGTTGCTTCGCTGCTTCTTAAGGTCTCGTGTTCTTAGCATTTTTGTTCGTGTGTGGCTCTTAATTCCTTGGTGGAGTCGTCGTCATTGTGTTTTTATTCACTTATTTTTGTTTTTGTTTGTGAAAGTGTTGGATAAAACCCTACTGTTCTGAGTTGATTGTTGTGCAATGTGGTTTCATGACGTGACTGTGCTTCTGCTTTTAGATTAGGTTCGTTTGAGGGTTTGGATGCTTTCGGGAGTTGAAGAGGTGGACCCTGGCTGCGATTGGCAAGAAGACATCTGTTGTGGCAACAATTTGGAATTAGGAGGTCTCGACCCGGCGCGGCCTCTTCAGCGTGAGAGTTTGAAGTACTGCCGTTACTTTAGGTCAAGCTGTGGCTCGTAGGCTAGAAAGTTCGCAGAGACATATGAGCTGCACATTGGCTTAACTCCGAAGAGGATTGATTTAAAGATGGCGGAGACGCCACTTGGTAACGTGGACATTGATGATATGCTTAGCTACGTGGAGAGCGGGCAGAACAAACCTGGAACCTTGGGATTCTTATCACCTCGCAAACCTGAGCTTCTAAACCCGTAAGAGTACTTGTACTTCGTTTCTCAATTGGCTCCATTATATGGTTCTGGTATGCCTAGCAAATATAGTCTACAGCTGCTTCCAAGGGAAAGTCTAAAATTCAGAATCACAGAATTTCTTAGGGGTAATTTAAACCAACGCCATGACGCGGGAAATCACGACAAGGTTGATTGCTAAGACTTCTTCCTTTACACGCTGTTGCCTTGAGTGCGAAATCATCCAATACAAGGAAACTTGATTGTGTAACTTTATTTTAGTTCACAGATAAGGGTGCCCGAGTATGCTTGATTTTTCTTGTTAACTTCTTACGGCTAAAGCCCTATTGTAACGTCTGATCGTAAATTTATGAAGGATAACGAAAAAATGAAAGATTCTACATGGTGGAGTGTTCCCGGTGCTAACGTGGTTGAAGAGTAGGCGTTTTTTTTTTTTTTTTTTTTTTTTTTTTTTTTTTTTTTTTTTTTTTTTTTTTTTTTTTTTTGTTGCTGTTGTTGTAGCTGATGTCAAATAACATCTGCAGAAGGATCTCTTTAACAGTTTTTTCACGGTTGCCTGAGCTGAGTTGGCTGTAGGTTGGTCTGTCTTTCATCCTGTAAATATTAAATGCATATTAGGCTTCCCGCATGAGTGTTATGTGATGTTTATGTTCTCCTCTTTTGTGCCTTTCAACACCCCTTTCTACCTCCAGTGAAACTCTAGAATATGGATCTCGTCGTTGTCCTTCCGCAGAGGAGTTGGAACTCCTTAGCACGTTTGTTAAGGTATTCCTTCGTGTGAAGTTTGACATTGGTTTAGTGAATATTGGTATTGTGTATTTATACCACGATTCCGCATCTGATATTTCCCTATCTCTGATGCAAATTTCTAGAACCAACTCGATTGCACCAGTTGTGCATAATCAGCGTTGTGTGAAGAGGCGTGGACAGACGTCAAACATTGATGCTTCTGGGTTGCAGTCCAAGCTTCCAAAGCGACAAAGCAAGAAAGGGCGGACAACTTATGAATCGGACGATGACGCACAAATCCAAATGAGGTTGGCGCGATTACGTCGTGATGTTCTAGAACAGCAAGAAGATATCGAGGAAGAAGTGGTGAATGAAAATGAACAAACAGATGATGCTCTGGAGCGGCTCCGGAATTTTAGGGAGTCACTTGGCATTCCTGAGCCTCAGCAACGACAACATTCAACTCCTAAGGCCAGAACTGTTCCTAAACGACGGTACAGTACATCTGATAAGCACTCGTCAAGGAAAGATTTTGATACGCAGGTGGAAATGAGCGAGGCTCAGCTGCTGCAACGATTGCAGAAGCTTCGTCAGTCCCTATCGTCGCCAGATCGATCGAAGACTTCCAAATCACAACGTGGTTCAAAGAAAAAGAAGACCCAATTCTTGCCTAGCAGTGTTGCTGACAGACATCCAACTAATTCCAGCTTAAGTGCCGAACTATTTTCTGCGGCATCTGAGAATCCGCAAACGCAAGTTCCAAACATGATGCATTTGCAAGGAGTAAATCCAGGCTTGGCGAAGGAGCTACATCAGCACTGGTCTATGGACCTCAATAATGTCATGCACATGGGATTTGCGATAGAAGGCGGACAGGTGGACCAGTTTGTCGGACATGGCGACCTACATCAATACGCACAGTAATGGATGGAGCTCCCTGTTTCTGTATTTTATATCAACGTTGAACTATACTACTCCAGATTTTCTGTTTGAAAACAAGTTCAGTGCAGCAATCTAAGCTGTAGTGTTTGCTGGGGTTACGACGGTAATCCTATGCAGGTTGTCAGTACTAGGTGAGATGGTCTGACCACGATGTACACTTGTGCGTTTATAAAATAACTTAACGCCCATTCTCATCACAGGATTTATATATTCGTTCAGAGTGTTGTTTCTTATTTAGCTGTTTACAGGGTTGGAAGTGGCCTTGATCTTATTTTACAACTTGTCTTTTGCAGGCGTGCCCAAATTTGAGGTCAGAACTGCGACAGGCATTTTGTTCACATTAGGTGCGAGCCTGTGCTGAAGTTCAAGAGGTTGATTTTGATAGAATTTATAAATCTCCTTAATGCTTTTAGTGACCAGCCGGTTTAGCAACTTGAACTGGTTTCTAATCATCACGGCAAGAGACTTTGTCCACTAGAGTGTAGTATACCAATCGTGAAAAATTGTGTTGGTTGACACCTTGGCTGGGGTTATCATTCTTGTGCACTTTGGTTGCAGCGCTTGATCAGAGCCGTTGATGAGATTTGAGATTCTTAAAATTGAGGGGTTGCAAATCATGTGATGTATTTCAAAATGTTCACTATACTCTTGGATTTATATCTATGTACAATAAACCTTTGACCTCCATGCTTCAGAGAGTTAATTCATTTGCCAGTAATGCCGTGCCACCTATGCGGAAGCAGGGTCAAGGGTTTGGCCCGCATCTTGCATTGTGTCTGATTGCCCGATTGGATCTTGATCGCACGGCTGTGGACTCATCATTTTTTTGTTATTTATTTATTTTTTCCCTACACAAAATGTGGTATAATCAATGTATGGTACTGAATAATGGAACTTATAACTCTTGAAAGATGGATATTAGAGTATAAAAGACAGTGTTGGCCTATGACTGTCTTATGTTCGTTTTCTATTGTATCATGCTTAAATTGTGTTGGATTGCGATACTCTAGAGTTCCATCAAAGCAAATAATACCGTTAGATCTGTATCCAATCATATTTTTTTATATCTATAATTTATCTTACTTTAAAAAAGAAATGTTAACCTGTGGTCAGGATTCATTTTAATTTTTTTATTTGTGACTTTTCATAGAATTTTTCCATATTTGTTCATATGATTTTCTTAGTGTGGTAATTAGTTCAAATCTCAAATTCAAAATTGAATTTATTGTGTTAAATCCAAATTGTCTAGATACACAATTCTTTCAATAATAATCAAATGGTTGATAATCTTTCAAATCTAAGAAGTAAAGGTTTAGCAAGAATAGTATGTATTCATGTAAAGATTTTAGAATAAATCCACTTTTTAGAGCTAGATGTTAACTTAGACAAAAATAAAGTAGACCAAATCTAAGTACATCTTGCTTAAATGTAATCCCAAAATCTATGTAAGTTTTTTTTTTGTAAAGAAGAGCATAGAAGGTAATAAACATCAATGTTAGGGCTAGATTGTCTCCTCTATTTGTTCATTGTGTCACCTTTATGCTAAGCAAGCTAAATAAGTAATGCTCCTTTAAAAATACAAGGATAAACCTAGATACAATAATCTCTCTTTAACTCAATATTTTGTAACTCAATAATATTTGTTGCCTAATATTATTTTCTCCCACCAAGTCTATTCTATGGAGATAACTTAATATTTGTATTATATTTTCTTTGATATAGTTTTAACAATTTATTAAGTTGCAAAAGTTTATCATAGCCAAATATTTGGCATTGTTTGTAGGAAATCACGTGCATGTAATTTGTAATAGAGACCTTTTAGTGTTGTGTACATTGAGAAATATGTAGGCTTTATAATGTCAAAGAACTTGATCAAAGTGTAGAGGGCAAAAAGCTTATTCTTTCAATGTCTTATTAATCCATCAATAAAAAGTTGTAAAGCTTTATTGATGTAACATTGATAGAATTGATTTGTGCATTTAAAAGAAAAAATATATGATTCAATCAAAGAAAGTTTTTCCAAATATTATAAAAGTTCTTGGATCATAGAAGCTAATGAAAAAAACTTTAAATGTCCAAACTTTGTTAATTTTGAACTTATATTTTTATTTGTGCTCCATTTATGATTGGTTATTAATGCCCATTCAAAGTTAACTCTTCATTTTATTAAAGACAAGAGGTTTTTATGTAATAATCTTAAATTACACATATATATATATATATATATATATATATATATGTATTAAATATTTGATTGTTTTGGTTATAGTGCATTGATGATCCATTTGGTAAAATGAGACTTAATTGCATTGTTGGGATAAATTACTCTTAATCCTCCATTTTCCTTAGTTTTACATCAAATCACCTAAACAATTGTAAAACTAATTACTTTTTTGTGTATTTTTCTTCAAAAAATTCTTAACCATAGATTTGATTATGTAAATAGTGTTTATGGTGTCAATTTATGTCATAAGAAAAAAAATCAAGGAAGATATAAGAATATTATTGACGATAATAATTCTTCCTATTACATTGAACTTAGTAGAGTTTTAATATTCTAGTATATTTTTTATTTTGTAAATTAGAAATTTGACTATATCTTGTGTATGTTGTATTTATCCAAAAAATATATCCAAGAATTCGGTTTGATTATTAGAGGAGGCCATGCCCTCTTTAAATTCATAGTCTATTATGTAAAAAATTATCTTATTTATTGTATGGCTAGTATAATACCAATTCAAACTAACTTTATTTTAGTCCAAAAGTCAAATAAATTTTTATATAATATTAATTAAGATCCTCATATTAGATTTTTCTATTTTTATAGTAAAATAGAATCATGTGCATATTGAATAAAGATTTTTTGATTGGAATTCTACAAAATATTAATTCTCTTCTAATATTTTTGCTTTCACTTCTTCTTAAATATTCACATTAAACATTTCTCCTACTATGGTAAATAGGCATTAAGCTAGCAAACATCCTTGTCTTGCTCTTATTTTAATTAAAAAATGTGGTAAAAAACCATCTATTTCTATATCTATGTTGACTCTATAAAAATTAATTTGAATGTTTTGGCAAACTTTATTGTTGAAACTTGATTTTTCAATTGCTTGAAGAAGAAGCAAATGAAAAGAAAGAAAAGAAAAGAAAAGAAAAGAAAAAGCCTCATTATAAGCCTTATAAACATATATTTATAGTAATACCAAAGATTGTTTTTCATGTCTTAACTATACTAATAGTTTTTCGGAAAGTCAATACACTATAAAGAATAAAATGCATGAAAAGAAATGTTGTTTGGTCAGGATGGTGTAAGGCGCCTCGGAGATCCATTCTATTCTAGGGTTATCATGTCACCTATATAGTCTCCCATCCTCCACTCGAAATTTCATCTTCCATGTGTGGGCTTCTCCTCGCCGAGAAGTGCGCTCAGTTTTAGGGTTTGCTGTTAGCCGTCTCTTTGGTTTTGACTGTTGCTTCAATATGAACATGTCTCGTCTGTATGGTAAAGGTATTGTCTTTGCTTGCCGTCTGGTTCCAGTGTGTTAAACTCTGATGATGCAGACTGAAGTTCTTGAGGTCATCTATGAAGGCTTTCAAATATACACCAAAAGATCTGATCTGAGGAGATTAATTTGCCTGCCTCTTGGCGTTTTTTTTTTTTTTTTTTTTTTTTTTTTTTTTTCCACAATGGAGTTCTGTTTTCAAAAGCTGTTCTTACAAATGCCTAGTGAGTTGGGTCATTTCATCAATGAATGTGGTTGTTGGCGGGTACTTTCTCAGGCAGCCCGCATCACCTTCAATGTGTAAGCAAGGCGTTCCTGTATCCGGAGAGTAACTGCTTGTTCTTTTCTGGCTCTTGAAGTTAATGATACGAGCTACGTAACACAAGCTTACAGATCATAATACTCGGGTCTCGGGAGTTGTACGCAGTCGTTTTAGGTGCTATGTCCGCATGCAGTGTGGGGAGGGGGGGAGGGTTGTCCTTAGTCATAAGAACCGTTGGGGTGAAACTCGGATCGAGGTTCGGAATCCAAGTTGAAATGACGATAATGCAGTTCATTCCGATCTCTTTTAGCGGATGCATTTTCTTGTAGCCTGGAACACAATCTGTGTGTAACCTCGGCGTTCGTGGATCCGTATGGCAACTGCTTGCTCTCTTCTGGCTCTTTATATTCTGACAATTATACCTTTTGAACAATTTGAAGTATTTTCTGGAAGATTTTTGCGTAGTTCTTGTTGGAAATATTTAAAAGTGTAATTGGTATTTAATTGTTGGAGCAAAGACTTCTTTCTTTCTTTGCGCAACAAAGTTGATACTCCTTTTAATATGTTTTAAAATATTTTCTTCTTTCTTGCAATTTATTTACCATATAAATACGGTTGTTTTTATGGTGAATGGGGCTAATGGCACAACTAAGGATGTGCTGGGGCCAACAACGGGCATGAAGTGGCACTAGTGTATCTACATTTAAGACCAAGTAGGCTCGTATTCTATGACTACTATGTGAAAGGGTTATTAGATCATTTCTAAACCCAGCTACAACTTGGGCGAGGACCAACTTGAAATCTCCCAGGATATGTCTTAAACTTATTCAAGTGAAGATTTTAATAGTGTCTAAATCAAAAGTATTGTCTAAGTTCTAAATAACTTGAGGATCATATAATGGGTAACATCGTCTTTTCTTGATTTAACAATAACTAAATTTGCTGCTATGCATTTTTTTTTATTAGAAAAAACACACACATTAACACTAGCAATTCTGGTTGATGCTGTACTAAACCCTACAAGTGACTGCATTGCTCTCTTTGCACGTTTTGGAGCACTTGCCCTCAATCTTGAATCTATACTCTAAGTGAGGTTATGTTTACTTAAAGAATTTTCATGGCTATTCCTAATGCAACAAATGACTGTCGATTAAGAGTTACAAGTTTGTAAAACATCACCTAGATAGATGCAGTCGTACATCATAGATCATCAAAAGTGATTGAAATACCTCTGAGTATATCAACACGATTGTAAACTCAAATGTATTAGTTGGGAATATAATCCCTTCATACCAACACGTGCAAACTTCATCTGATCACTTAACTGATTTCATTGATTTCACAGGTGACTAATTGAGACCACTGTTATGAAAACAGCAATGTGCAAGCAAACTTGACTCTGAGGATATTATTTCACAAACTCACAATCTTTATTTATAATAATTCCTGATAACGTGATATTCGGTATTGTTCAGTTATTCTACACCCATTGTCGTTACTTTCTTATTTGAATGGTTCATTAATAATTGTTCCAGTACATTTCTATACTGATCTGAGACTCTGAACAACACCCCCCGCAGGTTGGACAATAATCGCTCATTGTTGAGGACATACGAACGGACATCCATGCCGACGACGAATATAAGATGAATGATAAAACCAATGGATGGACGAACGAGCATCCACGTGGACGACGAACGTGTAGTGGATGAGGAAACGAATGGATGGACGTTATCCAGGAGGGAGGAAGGGGAGGGGAGTGTCCGTGTGAATGGGGCCAAGGGGCAATCTTCCCTTCGGGGAGATCAAATCTGGATGGCTCATGGAAAGCAAATCCTGTTGCGGGGCGGGGAAGGTGAAGCGGAGGCGGTGATGGTGGATTCGCAGCCATGGCGAGCACGCACCCCACCTTTTGATCAGCCCCCCATTCCACCATTCATCTGCCGCATTATTCACATCTCTGCCCATTTGCCCACCTCCCTTGTCAAGTCCCCTCAGAGAATGGAAGCAGGAGCTTGAAATTGTGCGAGCACCAAGTCGTGGATTATTGTTTGTTACTTTAGAGAGGAATTATGGGTACTGCAACCGCGATTGCGCCCAAGATGGTGGTGCCGAAGCTCGGGACGCATGGCTGCTCACTTTACTCCCCTGCTGCTGGTCTACCCCCGCTGCTTTTCTCCAGGTTGGTTGGTTGCTTCCTGTTTCCTGATTTTTTTTTTGTCAAAAATGCTCTTGGGTGTGCATCTGTTGGAAGTCCTTTGCAAGTCGCAGCGCGGGTCTGAGTAGTAGGTCGGTGGCGTCGATATTGGACTGGTGCACATTGAAGTTATGCGGCCTTCACTCTCAGTTGGACCGTAATTGGCTTTCCCTGTCGAAGTCATCCTCGAAGCGTTTTGACATTGAAATTGAAATTGAACTTGGGTTTTGTTGGAGTGTGTATGGATTGACTATCATGTTTTGAACGAGTTTATTTATTTATTTGCGTGATTTTAAAAAACCACGCTTATTTTTTTGTTGCAAATTTGATTGGAATGGCTCTCAGACGATCCTCAGACGATCCTCACTTTCTCCTTGCTTTAAGTAGTGCAAAATTTGGATTTTAGCTGAATTTAGGGTTTGATTTTGCAACCTTGACGCGTAATTTGGAGAGCTTGCATTTTCTGGGTTCCTCGTTGTCTTATTTATAACCAGCTGCTGGTTATGGTACTAGGTTTTGTAAAATGAGAGTATGTCAGAAAGCCAATTCCCTGTGTACGTAAGGTTTTGGGTTTACTTCCCTGTTGTGGAGGGAATATATATATATATATATATATATATATATATATATATATATATATACAATATTTTAAAATAGTGACTGTTGGATTACCAGGAGGATTTCATCCCACTCTTCCCTATGTGCGTCAAGACGGAACCGCAACCTCTTGGTTGGCTACCTGTCTCTTGCAAACTCGCGTATGCTTCAACACGTCGCCGTGATGTCTCCACTTGGACAGATGCCCAATTGGGTCAAAGGTAGTGAGCGGATGGTAGCGACGGCGTCTCTTGCAGCTGATCAAGAGGTTGTTATCGATCCTAAGTCCCAGGTTGAGATTCCAGAGGACGCAGAAAACAAAATCATTGTTTTACCCACAAACGAGTCATCGGAGAATTTAGTCAAAATCCGCCATACGGTAAGTGAAGGTTACTAGTTAAGCTGGTGTTTTCGAAGAAAAATTTATTTCGAATTTCGCTTCCTATGCCCATTGGCCTGCACTGTTCCTCACGATTTCTCGGGATATGTTGTTCGAGTGCTGAAACCAGCATAACTTGGCTTTAGACTCGTGGTTGATATTTTTTGATGTTGAGAAACCCTCACTAATTCCCCATCGTTCAGAAACTGTATCGTTCAATATTTTGATGAAACTTTAACACGTGAGTGTGTATGCATTGATCTTACACTCTTCATTTTGCGATGTTTAAATGCCCATTTTTCCACTTTCTCACGTTGCTTCGTTGGACTTTTATTGATTTTGCAGACTGCACATGTATTAGCAATGGCTGTACAGAAGCTTTTTCCTGAAGCTCAAGTTACAATTGGTCCGTGGATTGAGAAGGGCTTCTATTATGACTTTGACATGAAAGAAGCTTTTACCGAGAAAGACTTAAAGAAGATCAAGAAAGAAATGGTAAGCTTATTATCCCGCTGCACGTGTCGTTTCAGCTATATGCCGGATTCCAATAGCTGTTACTTTCGGGCCATATCTTATTTGTTGAGGTGTGTCGGTCCTTGGAATTTGAGGAGCAAAAATTATGGCATGTAACTTTGCAGGACCGAATTATTAGTCGCAATTTACCGCTTGTAAGAGAAGAGGTGTCGAGGGAGGAAGCTGAGAGGCGTATCAAGGCCATAAATGAGCCCTACAAACTGGAGATATTGGAGGGTATCAAGTCAGAGCCGATTACGATATACAGAATTGGTTCGTACTTTGATTGAACTACTCTTTGGTTGTGTGTAGCTAACTTCAGTTGACAATAATGGTGGCCAATATGTGATTGGTTTATTTCACCTATTGCTATTCATGTTCCAATCTTTAGGCGTTTTGCGCTTGCATTGCTGAATTCACCAATCTTTAGTGCGGATAGTTTTTTTCTTATGTTTATTCCGTTTTAAACATGCCCGCAGGGGAAGACTGGTGGGACCTCTGTGCTGGGCCCCATGTGGAGCGGACCGGACAATTAAATAAACGAGCTATTGAGCTTGAGTCCGTCGCAGGAGCATATTGGAGGGGCGATGAAAAGAACCAAATGCTGCAGAGGGTGTATGGAACAGCATGGGAAACGGAGGAGCAGCTGAAGGCCTACCAAGTTCAAAAGGAAGAAGCTAAGCGCCGTGATCATCGGCGCCTTGGACAAGACCTAAATCTATTCTCTATCCAGGTAATTGCTGCTGAATCATCTTATGTTGTATCTAATATCTGTGAATGGATTTTGAGATCACTTAGTGCCTTTGTGCACCTTATCTTGATGTTTAGCAACACGTCAAAGTCGTTTGATTGGGTCAATGACTTTGTCTGAACAGTGCTTTTATTATATCATTCTTGTTGGATCTGTCATAGCGTTTTGCTTTGTTAGTGAGTTGTGGTATCACTTTGTTGCAGGAAGATGCTGGAGGAGGTCTTGTCTTTTGGCATCCGAAAGGAGCCATGATTCGTCACATTATTGAAGATTACTGGAAGAAGATGCATTTTGCAAATGGATACGAACTTCTTTACACCCCTCATATTGCCAAGCTTGACTTGTGGAAAACAAGTGGACATTATGATTTCTACAAAGAAAACATGTTTGATCAGATGCAGATAGAGGAGGAACTATACCAAATTAGGCCCATGAATTGTCCATTTCATATCCAAGTTTACAAGGATGCACTTCGATCCTATCGCGAATTGCCCATGAGAGTGGCGGAATTGGGCACAGTTTATCGATATGAACGGTCTGGGACTTTGCACGGCTTGTTCCGAGTTCGTGGTTTTACTCAGGTATGTTCAACTTATGCTTTCAGATTATGATCTGCCACTTCTCAATTCGAAGCTCCTAGGTTGTACGTTCAAAACATGCTTTGTAGTTTATGCAGTTGTGTTTATTGATCATGGAAAAAAAAAAAAAAAAAAAAAAAAAAAATCTAGTTTATTCGACCTGTTCCTCTTTTCACTACTTGGCGAAAAGCTTGACCCTGTAATTTTGCTTCTCAGGATGACGGACATATCTTCTGTCTCCCCGATCAAATTAGGGATGAGATCCGAGGAGTGCTTGATTTAACGGAGATGATTCTCAAACAATTTGGTTTTTCGAAATTCGAGATTAACTTATCAACAAGGCCTGAGAAAGCTGTCGGCAGTGATGAGATTTGGGAAAAAGCTACTACTGCTTTGAAGAGTGCGTTGGAGGACAAGGGCTGGGAATATGGCATTGATGAAGGAGGTGGTGCTTTTTACGGTCCTAAAATCGATGTGAAGATAGAGGATGCGATTGGTCGCAAATGGCAGTGCTCTACCATTCAGGTCAGGTTTTTCCAAACACAGAATTTATGCCTTAACGAAGTCATTGCATGCACGATTTGACATTTCTTCTATGTTTTGTGAAGCGTCAAATTTGTTAGATGGGCAGGCAGTTGGTGTAGCTAAAAGCTGTCAAATAGGTGGCGGGTTGTTCGACTTAAAAAAATTAATTAGAGTACGCAAGGTATAGCAAGTAGAAATCCTGATTTAAAAACCCGTTCTTATGTTGCTTAAATGAACGTTTTTATTTTGTTATATACGACATATTAAACGCATGTCATGTGATTTCTCTTTTCAGGTGGATTTTAACCTACCCGAGAGGTTCAATATGGTGTATGTGGACTCTGACACCTCAAGAAAGCAGCCCATTATGATTCATAGAGCTATATTTGGTTCTATCGAGAGATTTTTTGGTATTTTGACTGAGAATTATGCTGGCGACTTCCCATTGTGGCTTGCTCCAGTTCAAGCTCGTTTGCTTCCAGTGACCGATAATGAGGTGAGGTCCTTTTCCTTTTCGTTTAGGTAGATACTGCAAAATCACTTCTTTATCTATTGCAAACACTGTTTATTGTTTCAATTGAAATTGTTGATAAAAACCATCCAGTAAGCTGATGCTCAGTTTGTTTTTGTATTACTTAGGTTGATTACTGCAAAAAGGTGGTAGCTGAGCTTAAAGCGAGGGAAATTAGAGCTGAAGTGATTTTTGGTGAGCGGCTTGGAAAGTTGATTCGTAACGCTGAGACACAAAAAATACCCGTTATGGCTGTTGTTGGGCGTAAGGAAGTTGAGACTGAAACTCTGACTGTCCGAACCAGACATGGTGGAGAGCTTGGTAATGTTACCGTTGCTGATCTAGCGGATAGGATCCAGCTCGCAATCTCTACTCGTGGTGTGTTGTGAGTACCACAATGATATTCAAATCTGTCCCGGAGTTCTTAGAGAAAGAAACAGATTTTCATGTAGACCATTCATTCATTGATTTGGGCTGATAACTATGTCTAGAAGTGTCTCGATGAGAAGGCTGCCGATATGTGCCTCTTGTGTACTTATACAGCTCACAATACCACTTGTGGGCTCAAGTGTAGATTCAATTGAAGTAATACAATCGAATTAGCTGAAATTTATTTGTAGTATTGTATTATTAATTGGAGATTTCAATGTGAAGGATTACATTACTCTGGAAAGCATTCTGTGCGGACTAACATTCAATTTTAATGAACCGTCTCGCATTTCGTTTGGGATTAAAGAGGCGTTGTTTTCGGTAAGGCAGATTTGTAGACATTCCCACTGTGATCAGAGCCATGTGCCTGCCTTGATAGGTTTATATTCCCCTGCAACGGTGTAAATTTGGGTAGGATTGCTGCGTATTCATCGTTTTAGAATTTCCATATAAACGAATAGTGAATAAAAATAGCCTCTGAAGGAGGTATGCTACGTGCTTGCATGAAGAGCATCGAATCGATCAATGCCACCGCAGAGTAAGAAACTGCAATTAGTGTGCACAAGCTGCCTTATCTGAGCAATCATACCTCACACTTTGGTGAAGTAATCAAATGATCGGATGAGGTGTGACTTGTCAGATCAGGGACATAAGTTTTTTTGGCGGTGATCCTCTGTCCAAGGAATCGAATGACCAAGCAGATGACGAGGACAACACTAGGTCTCGAAGTAGCTTCGAAATCGGGGGTGACGCTGTGGTATCTCAGTGAAGGATGCAGATGGTCGGGCCCGATTCAGTTACTGTTCAACGATTTTAACTCCATCCCAGTTAAGCTCTCTCGTCCCTACATCAGCATGTTCACCAGGAGTCAGCAAAATGAACACTCGATGACAACAGATGATGAACATGGTATTTACAGGAAGAGAACCCAACCAATAGTTTTGCGTTGAGAAATTAGGGGGACTTTGGTCCTGGATAGAAATGATATTTCCAAGCAAGAAGACATGCAAATGTATCTTCAAAAGCAGATGAGACGGTGGGCGTTGTTATGGACTAGGACCAGAATGCATACATTGTCAGGGGTGGAACAACCCCACGGGCTGTTTTTGGGTCCCGCCTCTTCCATTGCACTCCTTGTTTGTTTGTTTGTTTGTTTGTTTGTTTTTTTTTTGTCTTTTTTGCTTCTTGTGATAAAGTGGCGAAACAAAGTGGCAAAGCGCTGATCATTGTTACCTTTGATTGATTTGAATATTTACGCGGTAGAGATTATGCGAAGGCCTTTTTCGAATACCTTTTTTTAAAAAAATACAGTAAAATCAAATTGGTGGTGACTATGCAAAGTTGGAAGTGATGCTTAGAACCATATTAGTTATGCGTTGTTAGCAAAGATATGTGGATATTTTAGATTAGTTGTAAGCTTGTAAGTTGTGAATGAGATCCTTCAATTAGACTTTAAAAACCATTTTGTATAAAAAGTAGCAATTATATTTGAGTTACTTTGGACTAATATACAAGGTGAAGAAAATGTTGCTAATGCAAACATAGAATTTTCTAAGTACAGGTTTAACAAATCTTTAATATTATTTATATTTTAATACTTTTATTATAATTTTTTCAGAGAGAATTTTTTTAGAACTACAATTAAAAAAAACCTACACATTTATTGTTGTTTTTATTTTTAAAAACACTATAACTAAGTTATGAGATATCAATTAGAAATATTAACTCTAAAGTATTTAACTTTGGAAAAATTGAATAGAAAGAAAAAAACTCAATTTATAGTTATTTTATTAAAAAATCTTTTCAAACCAATATTAATAAGAAATCAACTATATTACAATTAATGTAGGTAGATAAATGTATAATAACTCTTATTAAATATTCTAACAAGAAAATATAAGTATAGTATAGCTTCTAACAAAGTATTTTTTGCATAGCAAAAATTGAATTGAATTGAATAAACTATAAAGTTTGAAGAATATACAACAATGTAAAAAAATACAAAGATTTATATAGATTGGAGCGTAAGTTAGATATTAAAGATTAAACATTGTCTTATAAATAATAGTGTGTTGAGAATAACAAAAAAAAGAAAAAAAAGAAAAGAAAAAACAAGGTCTTGGACTTATTTCATGGCAAGTGTGATAAATGAAAAAAATCAAAATAAAGTATATAATATGAAAGCAAATGCTAAAATATTGAGTTCATTTTTTTTTTAAAAATGTGCTAACAACCAATAAAATCTATTAAATTATATATATATATATATATATATATATATATATATATAGATGGGATATATATTTTAAAGAATAAAGCTTTTATGCTTATCTAAAAATAAAATTTAAAGATTTTTTTAATTTAATTGTTTTTAAATGACTTTATTAATTAATTAGATCCTTTCAAACTATTTTATAAAGAACAAGCATTATAGAGATATAGATAGATTAGAAATATCTCATTTATTTTCTAATAAAGTCTCAAAATTTAGATATCAAAAGGATCTTGAAAGAATATAAAGAAAATTAAAATATTTCAAAAAATATATTAAATAAAGATTGTAATATTTTTTCAAGAATAAAATAGAAGATAAATAGAGATAAATATACAAATTCATATTTGTAGTAGTTTAAAAAAGACCTTCTTGGCCAATCAACTTAAAGATATGTAATAATTAAAAAACTATAGAAATTTATTGCTTATAATTAACTGCTGGATTGAAAGATTTAATTTTTTTCACTATTAGACTCCTTGGGTTATATGATAGAAACTTAACACAATATAAATAATAAATTAATGTTGGTTTTTAAAATATCACTAATTAAAAAAATAAAAAATTATAAGAATAATTATGAGTTTCTAAAGGAAATAAAAATTAAAGTATATAAGAACTAGATAGAATAGAAGTACATTGTTTTAAACAAAATAGAACTTAATTATCCGATATTGTTTGTAAAAATATTTAAATTCGGTTAGTTTTTTATTATATATATATATATATATATATATATATATATATACATATCTTTTCACTGAAAGTATATTTAAAAAGAAAAAAAGAGATAGTTATTTTATGGTGGTGTAAATAATAGATTTGCAAAAACTACTAATATATGTGCAATTATTACTTGTGTTTTATTTAAATCTTATCAATTTCTAAATATTATTAAGATTACATAAATCAATGACGTAAAGTATATGTGAAAAAAATTAAAGTATAAATAAAATTACTTAATTATTTTTATTTCAAAAAATACAGAATATTTTTAAAAATTATATTTATATTGTTATTATAAAGGAAAAATCGACTTTATACCATATTCAGTATATCTTGGTTTTATTCCTAATCTTATATTTGACAAGAATAAAAGTTTTATTTAATAGAAAAATTTACAAGTGATTTATTTTCAAACTTGGATTAAATCAAATTCATAAGAAGTATAAGTACTTCAAGTTAAGAAATAGCTTTTTGAAGTTTTTGTACAACCTTAATGTGATTTTTTAACTAAATATTTATTTTATTTTGGTTAAAAAGTATAGCTATATGATTTTTAACTTATTTGGTATTAATTATTATTTTTTAAATATTTAAGATAATAAATTATTTTAATAAATTTATGTAAAATATTCAAAATTGGCATTGGATTATATACTTTAGAATTGGTCTTTAATACCTATATTAATTTTGAAATACTAAAATTATTATTTTCATATTAATCTTATTTTATTATAAATTAAATAAAAAATTAGTAACTTAATCAAAGACATGACTAAGTAAAAAGTTACATACTCATAATTGGAAAAAAGTAAAAAAAATGAATCCTTTGTATATTTTTAAAAATATTTGATGTAATTTTTTTAAAAATGTAAATATTTTAGAATATTACGGTCTTTTAAAGATTCTAGTTTTCTATAAGATTTTAGAAAGATAGCAGGTTGTATAAAAAGAGTGTTAGTTAAGACATTATGTTTTACCACTTTAACTCTTGTATAAATATCTTTATATACAGAATAATATATCTATATCTATATATATATATATATAATATTATTTACAATGCGACATTTGAATAGGGTATTTTTCCCATGCCGACTACTTTGAGCTTCAAAGTAGTAAAAAAGAATTGTTTTTTGTGTTGTTTAAGATTTTGGAATAATTTGCAATAAATAGAGGTTGTGATAAGTATAGTAAGTAGGAGCCATTGTTAAGATCATTGATTTAAACATGAGTGCAAGTAAAGAACCATCAACCATTTTTTTCTTTTATGTTTTTATTACTAATAATGTATTATTTTGATATACAATACCTTTTTCACTTGGACTCATTACCTTTATTATCCTTAGACTACCAAGATGCATTCATAATGTTTTTAGAACTTTCTACATTATTACTTCGATTAAACATATTACATATGTATATATAGCCAACATGCAAATTGAAGAAGCTGGCTTGTCTTGCTCCAATACTTGCCCGAAAATAAGAATATTAGAACCCTAAATGCCATGTTTTTAGTAATGGTAGGTGTACTTTTAGTTGGGTCTAAACAAAGAAATCATGAAATTAGAGTGATTAAAGCATTTACATGAGACGAAAGTTTGTCAGGTTGAACACACCCCAAATAGCAAAGTGCTAGTTCAAAAGGAAAAATTCAGTACATTGATGGTAGTCAATAAGTTGAAGGGAGCCATTTTGACGGGTTACACGTAGAGAGACTGATCGCAAAAGTAAAAGCTTGGAAGCGCAAAGGCTTTCTTCGAATGACCCAATTGTGCAAGTACAGACACAACTGTAGAGAGTTTTACTAAAGACATAGTTGCTAAATAAAAAATCAAACTCAAAGCGTTGCTTGTATTCCGAGTCAGAGCCTCAGAAAATGGATTTGGAGGACTATATTCCCTTCATCAGTTTTTATCTCCTCGTATCTCTTTTTTTTGCAGTTCTTGTTGTTATTGCTGGTCTGGCTGATGCTGCCGCTGCTTTGTTTAGTGCCATCTTTTGGAAGGAGTGGATTGGCTGCGGGTGGATAAAGGTACCACCTGGCTTGAGGTCCATCGTTGCGCGAGACACTTGCGATCCCCAACTGCCTCCGCGACCGCTGATGCCACCCCCCCTTTTAATTGCATCATAACACACGAGCTTGTTGCCCCATTTGCCAGCTCTCGACGTGATGCCAGCAAGATCGGGGCCTTCCGTTTGTGCACCGATGTGCCCTTAACTTCCAGGCTAGAACAGACGACAGCTCTGGGGTGTGTCTCACGAGGGGTGCTTCAGCTTGGTTATTGGCGAACGCGTGTGAGTTGCACAGCACCTCTCGCCGAGTCCCTCCCAATCTAGAAACTGGAGTTCCTTGTTTGCAGCAGCAGCAGCAGATGCATGGCTCTGTTTAAATATATCCAACTTCTTCTTTCTGCACTGCAGCCGTAATCGCTGACCTTTATGACAATTGGGTGTGTCGGCATGTCTAGTGATTGTGTGGATATATGATGTTGCTGCGGCGTCTGTTGCCTCTGAGCTCGGGGCTGGGGGAGTTGGAATCATCAACACAAGTCGATGGATGTGGACATTCATGCATCCATTCTCGAGATCTTGATTCATCTCTTCAATTCATCACATAAATGGGGTATTGTGATTGAAATTGCAACTGATATGTGGATGATTTTTGAAACTTCTGACCGAACTGAGATTCAGAAGATGCTGTTGATTCCAACCCAGTGTAGTATTGGTGCCTTTGCGAACTCTTCTTTAGTGTTAATGCTGGTTGTTCAAATAGCAACAGACAATCATTTAGTTTGCTCAGTCAGCTCTTGTTTTTGGGTTTCGCAAAGGACTTTTGAAACTCTTTTATTCATGCTATCATGTTCAACAAAGAATAGATAAATAATAGCGAAGTAAATAAAACTTGGAGCCAGATGCAGTTTGAAGTCAAATGGGTGGTAAATTTTTTATTGAATTTATATTTAAATTCAAATGAAATTTCAAGAAAGACGTTTAACTAAGAAACTAATTGAGATGCACGGAAACTGTACGCCTGTGTGTGACATGACAATCTGAAACAATGATTTATAGTCCATGGGATATATGTGTTTGTATATATATACATATATGTGTGTGTATAAACTCAAACACACTCACACAAAGGGCTAGAAACAGGAATGAAATCCAAATTACATTTTTCATTAAAAAAAATAACGTTATTGTTATGTGTTATTTTGTAAATTCTAAAATACACATTTTAAAATGTTATTTTTTTTGCAATTATTTTTTATAAAATAAAAACTCAAGGAATATTATTGATGCAATCTCATAACTCTCTGGTAACAAAAAGCAAGAAGAATAAAAAGAATCCACCCATAGCAACTTTAGAATTTCTAGAAGTACAAAAACTCATCGATATGTAAACATGCAATCAGCGAAGCACACGTACACAGAGTGCCGGCTGTCAAGCGCTGATACACATGAAACAAAACAAGAAAAGAAGAAATTCACATGATCCATTCAGACAGAGGCACAAGTGCTGGAAGAGGGTGAGCATCATCCAAGGCACCCTGTTAATGGAACAAAATGAAGTGATGCAGTGTATTAACTGTGGAAGGAAACAGACAATCCTGTGCCCAGTGGAGCAATAAAAGATTTAGAGACTGCAGTATAGGTTGAGTCGGAGATGGGGCACCAGAATCCGAGTGCAGAAGTAGACGAGCCAGGTGGGCCCGGAAAGATTCAGGCGATGAGGAGCGGAGCACTGCGATTCATCAGAGCAGCCACAAAGATCGGAAAGCAGGGCTGATGATGAAAACGGAACGGGGTGGATTTCTAGTTGCAGATGTCGATGTGATCCGGAAATTGAAATCCATGATAACTCGGAGTTGGGAATGCTCTCTGGTTGCTGAGGCCGGGCATAGATGAATCTGACTGAGCATCGTGCCTGCGAGTTCGCGCATCCAGAGACTTGGCTCACACTCTCGCAGCACCCAACACGTCGGTTGGTCGAGGTTGCACGCTTCTTAGCCCTGCGACAACCGCACACCGACCGTCTCTGGTGCACCTCTAGCATTCAAGTTGCCGGTATCCACTGCCGGGGCTTGTATCTGTTGCGTTTTTGTTTTTGCTCATTTTTGTTGTTGCTGGGTTTGCAATTGACAGATGTCGTCATCGAGGTTGGGAGGAAGTCTTTCGGGTGCTGAGACGTGGTGACCAGACTGGGTTTCCGGAATAAGCATTTGGATGGGGGAGTTCCATTGTGTTTGAGGGATGTGGGCGCGAGGAGGGGCGTGTAGCGATGACCGGGTTACTTGGCCCTCGCATTTTCTTGCTCAGCATTGTTCTTTTCGCTATGGTGATGCACGATTGAGGGAAGCGGACGCGGATCAGCTGCTGGGCTAGTGGTGTTGATTAGTTTCAAGGCCGTAACTTGCGTTTACATTTCAACGTCTTTGGACCCTGCATGTTGACACTGGCTCTATGGACTTGCAACATGAGGGCTCAAAACCCCAAGATTTTGCAGGATCCTCTCTCGCTTCGATTCAATCCACTCAGGAGACTACGTTATATTCTTCAGCAGCTCAATCTTTGTCGACTTTGAGGAGCGCTCCACGTAATGTAGCGACGAAATTGACGTTGTCTCGGCTCTCCGAGGAATCTCGCAGTCCGAGAGTTGCTAGCAATCAGCCGACGACGCTGTTCATAGCCCTCACTTTCCCCCCCACTACTGTTCCTACACTTAAAATACGCTCGGGCGGTCGCCGCAGCAGAAAAGCTTTGGTGCCGTCATTTAAACCCGATGAGCTGTTTCCTTCACCCAGCGTTTCCGAGAAATCCCATTTTGCGTCGGGGTTGGACTCCACTGCCCCCATCATCTCCCTCATAGGCACCGAAATCTCGACAAACTCACCAGTCTACTCCTCCTTCTCACATCCGACTCCTAGTTTAGAACAATCCTCGCCTCCCTTCTCATCTTTCCCTCCCTCCGTCGAATCCCTGCTCCCACCCTCGCATTCTGAACCCTCCTATACAGAAATTCGGAATTCGTTTGATGCAACATCTGGAGAGCCGCTACAAGAACTTTTTCCGCTAGCTCTACCTTCCGGGCAAAATGTCCCATTTGTGAATCCCTTGACTGCGACAAGCACTCCCGTGTCTCTGACGCCGTCGACAGCCCACTCCCATGGCGCGTTTATCGAATGCCACACTCCTCGATCTCCACCTCCGTTCGCATTGCCCTCTTCGGCCGCCTCCCACTACGAGTACGTTTCTGAGTCAGATCGATCAGGATTTTTCACGCCAGAAACTGGAAGCTTCCTCTCCAATAGCGCGAGCACAGCATACTTCACGCCGGGCACAGTCCCCGGGAATGGAACCCCTCCACGGTTATTGCCAGGGGCGGCTCTCAACGTGCTTGAGAAACGGGATGTCCCTCGACGAAATTATATTGCATCTGATTATCAAACAAAGTCCAGGAATGGAGGTGGAACATTTGGATCGACGTCGTCGACGCAGGATACACCTTGGATTTCTTTGTCACCGGGATCCGCAGCGCACCCCCGGAGCTGCGATGTGTACATAGGTTTGTTCGGGAGGGATCCGATGCTGCTCAGATACGCTAAGTGGCTGCACGCGGAGCTGGAGTTGTATGGGTTTGCCTGTTTCTCTGCGGACCGATCACTGTATGCTGATCAGCGGAGCCACGACATTGCGCGAGGGATTCTGCATTCGGTTACTTTCGGCGTGGTACTCATCTCCCGGAAGGCTTTTAAGAATCCCTACACCGTTGAAGAACTGACCATCTTTCTGGACCGGGGGAACCTGGTGCCAGTGTTTTTTGATGTGGCGCCGCCCGACTGCCTGGTGAGGGACATCGTGGAGAAGCAGGGGGACATTTGGGAGGTCGATGGAGGGGAGCTTTGGAAGGTGTACATGGGTGAGGAGGACGGGTGGTCGGAAGCAGTGAAGGGGTTGCTTACGGTGGAGGATTGGCGGGTGGAAGCCTACAGAAAGAATTGGCGAGAGAGCATCCAGCGAGTAGTAGGCTTGGTGGGGTCGCAGTTAGGAATGCGCAGCATTGCAGAGAGGTTGAAGATCCGTGCGGAGCAAGAAGCTACAGAGGAAATTCCATGGCCGAGGAATGTTTACTTCGCAGGAAGGGAAAAGGAGCTGAAAATTCTAGAGAAGCTGTTGTTTGCTGATACCAAAGCGTCGCCGCTAGCACAAATGCTACCCTCACGGAGGAGCGACGTCTCCAGCAAGGCTAGCGACGAGGACGAAACAGAATCGAGGCTGTCGAATTATGACAGTGAGAATTTTGAAGAGTTTTCGAACCAGAGTGAAGGGGAGCGAGGAAGGGACCATGCCCGTAGTCGGCGAGGTGCAGTCCCCCGCCCAAGTGCGCAAGCCTGCGACAAACGGCAAGACTCTGCAGATCGGAGAGGAGAGGGCGGCAAAACCAGGTTTACGCACACGTGTGTTGTGACGGGAATTTCAGGACTTGGGAAATCTGAGCTAGCTTTAGAATTTGCCTACAGGCACGCACAGATGTATCGGATGGTGTTGTGGGTGGGCGGGGAGTCGCGGTACCTCCGGCAGAACTATATAAATCTGTCCACTCTGTTGGGCCTGAATGTTGGTACGGAGAATGGACCTGGGTCAGAAAGGGGTCGAATGCGGTCGTTCGATGAGCAGGAGGCAGAAGCAGTGGAGAGGGTGCGACATGAATTACAGAAAGACATTCCATACCTTCTTATCATTGACAATTTGGACTCAGAGTGCGACTCCTGGGATGGGCGAGAGATTTCAGAGCTTTTGCCTCGGCCAGGAAGTGCAACGCACGTTATCATCACCACTCGTCTCCCTCGCGTCATGCACCTGGATTCGATCGAGCTTCCTTACTTGTCAACCTTTGAAGCTCTCACCCTCATGCGCGACGGGAAGAAGTCGGAAAGATCGTTTTCTATTCAACAGATTGACAAGTTCAAAGAATTCGAAGAAAAACTCCGCCGTCTGCCGTTTGGATTAGCCATCGTCGGGAGGCTCATTAACGAATTCAACATGAAACCCACGGAGATTCTTGTGAAGATGGGAACGATTGATGCCAAACGAACTTCCACCGTACAGAAAGACGACATGGTGTTGCGCAGTAATCCATTCCTGGTGAAGCTTCTGGACGTTTGCTTCAATCTCATGGGGGGTGTGAGCGACGCCAGCGGCCTAGCAGTGCGCATGGCGTATGTTGGGGGATGGTTTGGCCCGGGGCCTTGCTCTCTCTCGCTTCTTTACAAGGCTGCCAAGAAGCTGAAGAAGGAACTCGGTGGGCGGACCAGAAACATGTTTAGCAGCTGGATGTCTAAAACTAGCACACGCGGTGAGGCTGACTCCAAAAACCTCTTGACCAGACTCGGTCTCGCTCGCGCCTCTGTGCGTCCCGATTGCCTCTACTTCCCAGATATAATCCAGGTGCGGCTTCCTCTCGACTTCATGCTCACAAGCTTTAGGGGTTGAATTCCAAATGCCTTCAAGTGCATAGCGTTTGATTTTGGTAGTTTGATAATTTACCACGCTTAGATACTGGAAAGGCTTATTTCGAGGTGATTTGGCAGGTTTATTGTCAGAAACGGGGAGGCGCAGCAGCGGCTCGGTCCTTCGTGTATGCCATTCGAAAGAGCGGCCATCTTTTACACCATTATAATCTCTTCTGGGCCGCAACTCACTTAATATGTCGGTTGAGCAATGAACCAGTGGTCTTAGAATTCCAAGTGCCAGAACTCCTTGACTTAACAAGGCGCCTTGTAATGCCATTGGCAATTCGTGCCTTCAACAATTTCTCGCGCTGCACAGCTGCATTGGAGATATTGCGCTTGTGTTACGTGATGTTGGAGGACGTTGAGAAACTATACGTTTCACAGATTCAGGATGGGTGGGATCGGTCCCGGTGCTGGGGGTGTAGCCGCAATAGTTCATTGCATCAGGTACGGCTGCATCCACTGCAATCTTCATGACATTTTTTGGTAGTATATTAAGAGCCTATACGTGTCAGTCTTGCAATTCAACAATTCTGAAAAACACTACTCCATGTCTTGGGCACTTCGAGATCGCACCCTACATAGCTAGAACATTGGTTTCTGATTCACGCGTGTCCTGAGCTGACCCTCTTCAACTTCTACCCTCAGGTGGACGAGTACGTATGGCAAGACCTGACCCTCCTAAAAGCCCTCCTGCTAGAAGCGCGAGCGAAGCTCATGCTGCGAGGTGCCCAATACGACGCTGGACAGGAGCTCTGTCGCACTTGTATCAGTATCCGACACATCATGCTTGGACCCGAGCATCCGGACACTCTCGCTGCCCAGGAAACCCTCTCCAAGTTCGACGTCCGAAACAAACTCAGCTACAAGTAACGATTCTCATTTTTATCCGTCGCATGACGCTGCTTCAGCCAGGTTGCAGGGCTCTAGTCGCCGTTTCAACTTGCCAACCGATGCAGAGAGAGTATGGACGACTCAAGGGGGTAATTATTTTCTGGCAACAAATGACCAGTATGGATTGTTGCGAGTAAATCCTGCACATGAACGCAGAGATTTCTGAGAGTACCAAACTCTTGACCCTCGACGAAGATGAGAATCCTAGTTGTGTGTTCGAGGACCTGGGTGACCAAGGAATGTTCCGGAGCTCTGCGAAACGGTGATAAAAAAGTGCCAAGGAATGAACAAGACAAGCACAGAAGCAAGAATATATCTCCAGTTCGATGGAGACTTGTGTGATTGGGAGTTACTAGACGCATTCTGCTGGAATCCTCTAGCTTCTAGCGTGTTGTGTTGTTTTGGTACGGGATCGATGAAGAAGAAGAAGAAGAAGTCTTTTCAACGCCGAGGTTGCAGGTATTCTGGGGCCTCAACACCCAATTCCTATCGTCCATTGTGGCTCCTCAGCACCCACCTCATATATAATTTGTACAATGGGTTCGTAGACAGAAAGTAGTTTGAACTTAGGATGACCTCCAGCTTTGCATTCTTTCCGATGCGCTCCATACACCCCCACACAAGGCGCCGCGTTGTTTTTATAGTGTTTTTGAGGTGTGTGCTTGTGTCCTTTTGTTCCATTTTATTTAAAAATATATATTATTGTTAATGAAATGATCCTTTTTTGAATTTGCGTCTTTGGACTTGTTAATTTTTATTCTGAATCGTGACGAAGAAAGCGGGGTTGAAGATTGAGTGCTGCGTTTTACAGGGAATTTTGGGAATATTTTCGGATGCTATTAAGGAATGTTGTTTGTATTTATGCTGCCATTGAATTACATTGCAGTGCAATTAGAGTGATGCTGTTTAAATGGTTGAGATAATGTATGGTGCTTTCCCTGCCAAAATATCACAACATATAAGTCTTTATCAATGCCATTTAAGAATTAGGCATAAGGTTTTGCAATTAGAAATTGAATTAATCAATACTATTTATAAAAATTATTCGTTGAAATGATTTTGCTTTTATATATATATATATATATATATATATATTTATCTTTTAGATTAATAATTTAATATGGCTAAATGTTGTAAACAAACTGTAACTACTGTGTGCATCATAATATATGTGTAATCATAATATATGTGTGCATCATAATATATGTGTGCATCATAATATATGTGTGCATCATAATATATGTGTGCATCATAATATATTTGTAAGATTATTATTATTTAATACTTTACTTCTATTAATTAGCATTAATTGTATTGCAAGATTTTATCTTAACAAGGTATTTATATGTATATATGTATATAAATATACAATCAAAAAATACATATATTCAACATTTTTATAAATAGTTCTACTGACATAAATAAGATATGAGAGCTCTAAAAAACTTTGTATAGAATTTATGGCTCTGAAATGATTATTATTATAGTTTCCAATATTGTTTCAAATATATATTTTTTAAAAATAAAATCATTAATTTTTTTTCTTAGGATTTTATTCCAACTTTAGTAAGGTAATTTAAAAGCTATATTCATACAACCATTCACAACCTTCTTACTTGTAGTTTGTATACAATTGTAACAAGAAGCTTTGAAACTACATACTGTAAAAAACATCATTCTAATGTTTTGTAATCATTTATTATTCTTTAAATCATTAATTTTCTAAATTATGCTTTTTATGTGTTTTTAAAATACTATGAACTTTGAGATTTACAAACAATATAATATCAAAATAAAGTTTGAATTATGTAGATCAATATTAGAACTTAATAAGACCTTTGCAATCTAAACAATCTATGAACTTTGATAAGGAAACATTAAAAATATGAAAGTATTATAGATATTAGAAAGCATATACAATTGTGGACATGAAGCCAATAAGATGGACGAGTGGAAATGTTTTCAAGAAAATTAGTTGACAATAAATTATGTCACCTTTGAGCCTTTTGATTAGAGCCACATTAGTATCCATTGAGGCATTGAGAATTTTGTTGTTCTTTTAAAAAATCTACTAAAGTTAGTTTTTACCAAAGTACAAAGAAAAACATGAAATAGAATCCTAGAGCTATTGTGGTGTTGTAACTTTGACTTTGACCATGGTATTATGATGGATGTTATAATATATAAGATATTTTAATTTAATTAATCTTACTCTTACTTTTTGATCATGTTGACACAATCTAAATCTTGCTTTAGTAGACTTGACTTGTGTCTCTGTGGTTTGAGTATAGATGGCTATGATTTTTTTGCAATTATGATTTAGCTGTAATTGAATTATTTTGGTATATGCCAAATTATTTTGATGCATTTGAACATTACCAATTTTCTTATTTAATCCATAATTAGAAATTATATTTTCTACAATAGAAATTTTTTATTGGCTTAATAAAAAAAAGTATTTGAAATAAAATGCTATTTATAATTAGCCTAAATTAAAATATATAGTTATAAATTATAATTTTTCTTTAAAAAAGATCCAAAGATACAATTTGATCAATTGTTGGTAACTTGTATGAATATTTAATAAATATGTGTGTTTTGTTGTATTCAAGTAGATTTGTAATTAAATAAGTCTATAAAACTAACCATTGATTTCAATGGTTTGTAATTGCAATGCATTATAATAAATTCTTATCATATTTTTGTAGAAAATATATATTCTTTGATATACTACTATAATTTAAAGGTCTTAAGACAATATTAAAGTAGAGTGATACAACAAGTATTGTAGAAATTAACTCCTTGATTACAATTGCATGTAAACAACAACCATTAGTGCTCAAAATTAGAGAAAGATTTATAGGATCTTAATATGTAATATGCACTTTTAGCACTATTCAATTTTAAATTGAAATAGCTAAATTTTTATTGAAGTAAGATTAGTTTTGTAAGATTGATTCCTCATTCATATATATATATATAATATTAATTTATCAAGTCAAATTATTAGCTTGCATCTAGTTAGATAAGCAAGAGTGATGATTGTAGAGTAAATATAGAGTTGCATCTTTTGATGATCCTAGTATATATTAATAATATGTTATCACAATGATAACAATTTATAAAATATATGTAATAATTTTCTTTCTTCTCTACTTTGGTTCTTTCTTGAATAGTTTTACACATTTTTTCTTCATTCCTTAAGGATCAAAAATATACTTTAAAAGAGTTTATTAAATGTGATAGATATTGTGAAATATTTGATAAATGTATAATGTAAGCATCTACTCCCTATCCATAATATCAACCTTCAAAGAAGGAGAACATGAATTTTTGATGTTTCCATCCTCAAAGAAGGGTGTCAATGTTACAACCAAATCTAACTTCTTTTCTATTCCTTGGTGTGTATTTTGGAATTTTTATGCTGTGTTTATAATTATATTTATATTTTAGATTTTGAGATTGAGAATGAGGTTTATTTGATTATTATTTGTCATTATTAAAATTGTATATATTTTACATGATACATCTTGTAAGTTGTTATTGTTAACTATGCTTGTACTAGATGCTTGTGCACGTTCTCTACCCTACACCTTCACGACCACGATTGGTTGTGTTTGGTATAGAAGGGTTTTATACCAACATCCAAATATAAATACCGGCTTCTTCTCGACCACAGCTATTTCAAACATCTGTTAATTTTCTATTAATCAGCCCAACATGCAGATTTCTTGGACCTACCACAGAAACATTTAATCCAAGCATTGTCATTTTCTGCTTCCTATGTCTGAATAATTAACTGCAAGTATGATTTGTCGGAGAGGAAAGGCATGAACTCACTTTCAAAGCCAGCATAAATGCTATCAGCCGTGACCCAAGTCAGCTATTTCAGCTCACTGCCGAAAAGTTTTCTCCTGATTCGGCACATCCAATGACATAAATATTTTTGTTACTCTGGCACCAAAGATAGTGTACCTGAAAGTCTCTGTGATTAATATTCATGACTTGCTTCAATCTTTGCCTCACTCTGCCAAGTTGAAGACGAAAGCCATGTTGAGTTAATGGGTTCTAACCAAGTATGATCTCAAAGTAAAGGACCCACCGATAGAATAGAATAAGCTGAGATAAATATAAAAGGGTGAGAACATTACATCGCACAGAAGTGGACATACAGAGAGAGAGAGAGTGAGAGACCTCATACAATCTTACTTATACTTGATACGGGATGACTTTATAGTCTGGCCAGGTGGTTACCAATCACGGTTTATCCAGTGGACAATTACCTCGAGGTGAAAGTGTTCCAACAGCTTCCCTCACCTCGAGCATCGGTGACTTGTTTTTGGAATAGGGAGTCTCTTTACTTTTCTACGCTGGAGCCCTCCCTATCTATGATTTTCAATTTCTTTGGAAGTGTTTTGTAATGCCTGAGGTTGGTTGTCCCTCCTGTAGGTGTGGACGTTAGTAATGCAACCTTCCCATGATGTTTCTTACTCAAGAGATTGGAGATCGACTCTTTGTGGTGAGTGTTGTGTCTCATTTGTGTCCTTTAGGCGAGGAATAGAATCTTGAAATATGACTAATCGTCTATGCTTGCAGACAGTGGGAGTCCTTTTTATTACTTCTATGGTCTATATTCTTGCTTGCGCAACATATTTTGGACAGAGTTGGCGCAGTTATTGGAGGTGAGCTGCTTCAGTCGATGAGCTAGCGCAAGGTTTTTGCTTCAACAAATCTACGAGTGAATGGCTACTACTTTTGCGATAGTGAATTGAGTCTGTTTTCACATGCTCTAGATATGGTGATTGAAGAGTTTTTGTGGCCAAAATTGAATTTTCCTGCTTGTCCGTTTCTCTTGTGGCGTTTTTCAAGTAATCAATAGGCGTTGGAGATCGTATGTTGCTAGCACAGTTGAGTGGCAGGGACTTTAAGACGTTAGGATTGATTATTGCGGTTATCTACGAGCAGCTTTACTGGCAGGTGAAGAGTGCAAGTCGATAGCAGCAAGATTAAATTTTAAAACTCAGCATCTACGGATTCTAGACTGACGCTCATTGTTCATATTGGTTGTTCTTCCAATCAAATATTGTGTCCTATGCTTTGTGAGTCACTTTGTGAAGAGGACATCTTCTCTAGCGTATGAGGGAAAATTCAATTCAGAAGTTCTCAAAGTCTATAAGACTCAGTATTCCAATCTGATCACAAAATTGAAGAAATTTTAGGCGACCGAGAGCTTATGTGAGGAGATCGGCCACTTGATTATTAGTTGCTAGGCAGGCGAGATTCACTATGCCTGTGACGACGTTTTCCCTTACAAAGTGTCGCCAAACTTCTACATGATTTGAGCGGGCTTGACTTACTAGATTCTTTGCTGATTTTATAGAGCTTTAATTGTTGCAGTAGATAGATAGTGATGGGTTTAGCATCTTAGCCTGTGATTTGATGCAGCATTGTGCAAAGCCAGATGGCTTCCTTAATTCCTTCTGCAATTGCTTTGGTCTCTGTTGAGAATGTTTAGAAAGACACAAGAGTAATAATAAGTCATACACACACAAGAGTAGTAGTAAGTCATACATACAAGAGGGTTTCTAAGGAGAGAGAGCTTCACACACACACATCTATTGATTTGTTTGTGTCTCGTATACAAGAAGAGAAAAAAGAAGAGGATAAACAATACTTCTCCACTAGACTCTAAATACTGTAGCTATGGTAATTACTATAGTATACAAGAA